TTAAGAGATACTTAACGAGGTATTCCATCTGAAATTTATTACTGAGGAGCTTAAAGTCACAAGAGTCACCGGAATTGTACTTAGAAAATTCACCTATTTACTGCTATGGTAGAACACCTAACAAGCCACTTAAAATTACTACTTCCTTGCAGGGTATCATATGATCTGTAAACTTATGTAACAACTTTGTACTATGTAACATGCAACAAACAAATTTTAGGTGCTGTAATAAGAATTTGAGAAGCCAACAAAGCACCTGAAGTTCAGGGCCGGCTCGTCCATAAAGGCACACTAGGCAACTACCTAGGGCGTTTGTAATTTGTGGTGGCAATGTATGGAAGCAGATTTATTTATTTAAAACTTTATTGCAAGAACAGCAAAAGGCGGACTTAATGCCAAGGGCATTCTCTACCAGTATACCAGACAGGACTTATGAGCGAACCTCCTTGCAGGGTATCATATGATCTGTAAACTTATGTAACAACTTTGTACTATGTAACATGCAACAAACAAATTTTAGGTGCTGAAATAAGAATTTGAGAAGCCAACAAAGCACCTGAAGTTCAGGGCCGGCCCGTCCATAAAGGCACACTAGGCAACTGCCTAGGTGGTTTGTAATTTGTGGTGGCAATGTATGGAAGTAGATTTATTTATTTGAAACTTTATTGCAAGAACAGCAAATGCGGACTTAATGCCAAGGGCATTCTCTACCAGTATACCAGACAGGACGTATGAGCGAAAAAAAAATGTACGGCGATTAAAGAATGCAGAAGTTCAAAAAGAAAAACAAAAGGATATATTTATACTTACAAATTAATAATAAATATACATGACATTTAAATATATTATAACATACTTAACATTTAAATACTATATATACATATATAAAATACAATAATATATACTATATATAACGTCCGTTTACTTAAGGGAAAACTATGGACTATTTAAATAGTGTTCACGCGCTAGTCTCTTGAACACATCTTTGCTTTGTCCTTTCCGAATATGTTCTGGCAGAGCATTCCAGAGGCGGGTGGAAGTCAAAGTGATGGAGCTCGACATAAAGCCTGTCTGATGAACAGGTGTTTGAAGACATAAATTGCTACTAGAGTGAAGTTCACGTTGATGGGAAACACCCAAAAACTTGAATCTGAGTTTTAGATATCCCGGAGTACGTGGATCGTAAAGGATGTTGTAAAGGGAGGAAACAACTCTAAGATTTCTGCGCTTCCGAATAGGCAACCATTTGAGATGATTCCTATACTGAGTGATATGATCGAACTTACGTAACCCGAAGATGAACCTGATGCTACTGTTAAGAATGCGATCCAATTTATCAAGAAGAATTTGATTGGTGTCAGAATAGCAGATGTCAGCGTAATCCAGAATAGGGAGGATGTGAGATTGTACGAGTGCAACCTTCGTACTAAAACTAAGAGAAAATTGAAGTTTGTAGAGCGACCTGAGCGTGTTGATCACCTTACGACACACCTCATTAACCTGGTCTTCCCAGCTAAGCGTGCAGTCGATCAACAAACCCAAGTTTTTAACTACTGCCTGAAATCGGATGTCATCACCATTGTAATTTAAACAATTGATCGTATTAATATCAATCACAGCCAACTATCGTGAACCTCCAATAATAATTGCCTGACATTTAGATGTATTAACGGCAATACCATAACTCCTGGACCACTCTAATATTTTAAGGAGATCTTGATTTATATTAGCAACTGTGTTGTTCAGGTTGCTTTTGTCAGCTTGAGTATAAAGCTGGAGATCGTCTGCGTAGGTAAAAAGAATGAAATTGAATGGTAAGAGAATTAATAAATAAAGAGAATAGGAGAGGAGACAGAATACCGCCCTGTGGTACGCCAGCAGTCAGCTCGCACCGATCAGACATAGACTGATCAACTCGAACCGCCTGCTGGCGTCCTTAAAGATAAGATGAAAACCATGCAGTAGCTAAAGAAGAGAGTCCTAATTTTGAGAGTATAGCAAGCAGGATATCATAATTAATCGCATTCGAGAAATCAATCAAGACCATAACAGTAAGTTTTGATTTGTCCATCTCTTCACGTATATCTTCCAATACATTAAGAAGAGCGGTGGTGGTGTACTATGACCAGGCCGAAAACCAGACTGAAAAGAACTCAAGATATTATTACGAAGAATGAATGAAAAAAGTTGTTTGTGAACTGTTGCTTCTAGGATTTTTTAAAGAAATGGCAGAATAGAGATAGTCCTGAAGTGTTTGAAAGATGAAGAGTTAGGGATTTTAGGAAATGGAATTGTGAATGCCTTTTTCCGAGAAGTAGGGAATACACCAGAAGAAAGTGAAAAGTTTAAGATAAAAGTGAGAATAGGGACAATATAGTCGAGAATAGGAATAATCTTTCGTCCGATATCGTCACAACCCACGGCGTTAGATTTGAGAGATAGCACGATTTTTCGAACGTCCTAATTAATGAGGAGGGTGAAAGAAAATGGTTCGTCAATAGAAGCAGCAGCGGAAGTAAAGATGGATACAGTGGAAGAAACTAAAGAGTTAGATAGAGAACATACTGAAGAAAAGTGCTTGTTTAAATCATTTAACGGGAGAGATGGACTTTTCTGTACTTTTCTGATTTGCCGAAACCTAAAGTGCGAAGAAATTTCCACGTATCAGCAACATTAGAGTTTATTATATTGGAGTGAAAGTACTGGCGTTTGGCACTTCTTACCATCCGATTGCAGCGATTTCTTGCAGTTTTGAAAGCGTTCCAATTGTCATCAGTATGACATCTTTTATATACATGAAAGCATTTATTTTGTTTCTTCATCGCCATACGTACCCCAGTAGTAATCCAAGGAGCTGGCGGCCTCTTAAATTTAATACATTTTTTAGGCGCATGCTTTTCGAAGAGATCTATTATCAGACTGTTGAAGTGCTCAACCATAGCACAGAAGTAGCTTCACTAATGGGAGACCAGTCTGCAGAGCATGCATCTATTCTAAGTTTCTCCACATTCAGCCTAGCAAAGTTACGCATTCGTACAAATTGAGGTTTTGGTTTAGAGGGTTTGGCTTTATAAGCAAGAAAAAGAAGATCATGTCTGGAGAAGCCAGGTGCCAAAAGTTGGCCATGGTTGGAAACCAGTGCAGGAGAAGAAGTGATAATGTGATCAATCCACGAGTCACAAGTAGTGAAATTGTGGTGAGTATGCTTGCTCTAATTATTCGAAACTCAAAAATGCAGCACTTTAAAAAATATATTTTGTTTGAACATTAATCCATGACCGCGGTATTCAAAAGAATGACATTTTGGGAAATATAAGTTTCTTTTACCGATGGTAAAATTATATTCTAAAATCGATGTATCCACATTAGTCTTTTATTTTGTTGTGGGCGTCGTTGCAATATTTTGCCATGGGCGCCAAGTTTCATTGAGAACTGTATATGTTGACGTCCATAATGCTTAAAATAACTTGAATGTTTGAAAAATTCGTTTTTAATCACATGTTTGCTCTTTCGACCTGCCTGTAGCATTGAAATGCCTCAAACGTAATCGAAATCAATAGATAATTTCATCATCGACACAGAGTGCGATGCGCCAGGCCGGTCCACTGACCCAGTGACCTTGACGACCAGTCACTCGCGCGTAACTGGACCGTTACGCCCACTACCGTCTTCGTCCATTCCATACGTAGTGTTTACCACAAAAAGAAAGCCGCACGCATTGATGAATGTGAATAACGAAAATGAAACGCAAAGGTCAAGTGCGATCGCTACTTTTATTTATGAATATTTTGTACCATTAGGAAAACCTTAACCTTATTTATGTGAATGAGTTATAAGCACTAGATTAACAGAGACTTGGTCAGGAATGTGTTTCAAAAGTGAAAAACTTAAGTACAAAAAGCTATTCAAAGAGAAGACGCTCGCAGCCTTCTGAGTACCTTACCTGTAGGCAATGATCTGGGAGACATTTTTTATTTAGTATAGTTATATACATAGTTACATAGTAGACATAATTTAGATAAGTAGTTTTCATTTATTTTCTATTATTCTTTAGTTAAATGTTAATGAATTCATAAGAACTATTTAGTACAAAAAATATTTTATTTACAATTTAGACTACATGACAAATAATATTTTTTATTTATAAGCTATCAGTTATAACCGTATCTTATAATAGCTTTCTGCCAGTGGCTTCGCTCGCGTCATCCCTAGGGAACTGTTTATTTGGGTATCGATTGCTGTTATCATAGCATAGTTTCTCATACATATATTATTGATATTAAAGTATATCATAGCACTAAACCCCTATTAAATATATCGGGACTCCAACAAATAGTATTATATAATAAAAATTATTTACTTATAATTACGACGACAGTGTTCTTGTTAATTTATTATTATATCAGTATTATTAACATGTAATAGAAAACAATCTTCGATATTATAACAAAATTACCTCGATGTTCATTTAATAATTGGCTAATTCTTCTTCGAAGTTTTGTTAATATTTTAATTCCCTCGAATCAGTCTCGTAGATAATTCCATTACATGTCACTTTTTACTACAACTTTAGCAACTTTCTCGCCTTCTTTCGCAAAAAAAGCACACTTACAGTGATTATGAACTGTTGTAATTATTATTAAGTAACAAAGATTTTATTCCATCAAAATTAATTCTCAATATAAATATTTTTACGACTATTTGGTACATTAGTTATATTTGTAGATTTGAATGAAAACTTGTTTATCCCGCTTTATTTTTATTTCTTATACTACAGGCGTTAAAACAAACCAAACTTAAAAAATAAACTTTTAGTTTTTGTAGTTTAGTTAGAGAGCGGCACAACAGAATTGGCACCATTGTCTTATTAATACGTTTTAATATTATGTAGTAATTAATTACGCTAACGGAGAAAATTAGTTCTCGTTATGTAAATCATAATATTTGTGGTAATATATTTAATTGGGTTTCCATGCTCATGATTCATTTATTATTTACAGATGACTACGTGTTTAATAACCGGCTTGACGAGGATACTTGTTTTAACGTATATTTTGGGGGCATCGCTGGGTCAATCTTTTCCTGATCCGAGCAGTTATCCAGCGAGTAAGTATAACTCTTACTAATTAATATGACATTTTTCTATTCTATGTGTCGTCGAACGAAAATTCGGAAAATTTCATTCGTTCTTATAATATTGTAAGAATCATATCCGTGAAGATTATCCGTGCACCAGGTGCAGTGTCAGTTTCTACTTGCGTTGCATCATAACATAAATTATCGTAGAATGCGTTTCATACTTACTAGCGTTAAGAAGATAACTTTCGAATAAATAGGTCTTCAGTATTGATTCGTACAAATAGTTTTTATAAAATTATGTAGGTCTGGGAAAACCTAGATTATTACACTATATTGCTGATACAGGCATTGTAATATTCTTCTATAGTAATATTATAAAGAGGAAAGATTTGATTGTTTGTTTGTTTGCATCAAATAGCCTCCGAAACTACGGTGGACCAATTTTAAAAATCCTTTCACCTACGCGTAACTACGTCGTATGAGGTTGACATAGGATATAATTTATTTGTATTTGTAATTCGAGGAGCTCGATGGCATAATGGTTAGCGCGTTCGGTTTACGATGCGGACGTTTAGTAACGCAGGGGCCTGTCATAAGATAGGTGACCAAAAACTTATGATATCGAGTTCCTCATTCCTTCGGAGGGCACGTAAATTAAAATAAGCCAATTATCTGTCTTTATAAGTTATCTTTTCTCTTTGTTAGATCTGTCTTAGAGATCGTAAAATATAAAACACATAATTTAAGATGCCCTTGGTTAAGTTTCATGAGTATACAACAATATACTAGAAATCTTCTCTTCTGTGAACAAATAACCTTTCGGCAATATGTATTAATTTTAAATTTGATATAGACTACTGTTTTTAAATTGACTTTACATAAAATAATTAACACTTCATCGTTAAAACTTTTAAATTAAATGTACAATATAAAGGTAACATTAATTTGTTTGAAGATATGTTTTCATGTAATTTTCATATAATCGTGTTTAAGTACGTACTTAACCAATAAATATGATATGGTAAAAAAATATTTTATTTAAAATAACATTACCTATGTCGATAAATAGAGTTTAGTTTTCTTAAACATTGAAACCAAACCAACTCATATTTTACGTCCCTTCTACTCAAAATTAACAAGTTTTATCATTTCAACTTACCAGCCGAACTATCGACTAATATTGGTGAGGCTGAACCACGCGATGGTGGAGCAGACTTAGAGTTCCGGTACCACGACCATGATCAGCTCACGCGTTACTTGCGCGCCATCTCCGCCAAGTATCCTGCACTAACAGCTCTCTACTCTATCGGGAAGTCGGTTCAAGGTGAATGAATAATTATTTCTTTACAATGATTGAAAAAAAATGTTATGCTACTAAGTTCGATAGTACAATAGTAGGTGTGCGATTGCGAATCTTAAGCAACTCTCGAGGAGGTCAGTTATCGGATGGGAGACCAAAAGTATTTAATACTCTGCTGTTTGTCACAGCTGAATTTGGAATTGTTAAATATAAGAAATCCGCATTACATATGTAGGGTTTTGACGTCACACATTTTGGCCCCTTCTGCATGTTTCTTTTCACCCGGAAGAATAACTTTGTTCGAGCAATGAGGATATTCACAAACGGATGATAAAAAAAAATGTGACATCCAATGCGGATCTAAACTAAATACCCGCCCTCAATAGTTCCATTAAAAAGACATAAACGCGCAATAAAAACTTCAAAATAATGTTTTAGCTGTTCTATTGCACAAACTAGACTAAATTTAAGTTAAATCTTTTCCGGGTCTTTACCCTAATGTGAGTGTATACTGTGGGGTTTTTAGTTGGTAGACCTCTGTGGGTCCTCTGTGGGAGCGAATACCTTCTGTATGGACTCACATACACATAACCTCATCGCCCATCATGCGGCGGCCATACATAAAAAAAGTATTAATTAAACTTGTTTTTAATTGTAAAAATACTATTGTATATTTTTAAATTATATTTGATTACAGAATATTATTAAAACAAACCTTAAATAGATTACTTTTTTTAGTTTTGAGAAGGTAACAGAATCGGCACTATTATTTAAGAAACATTTTTCTTGTATGACTAAAACAGTGTATGTTTACTTAGTAAAAAAATTTAATGTAAAGTAACGCTTACTTGGTTTCATTGTGTGGTACAATACCCGACTTGGAACAAAAAACATGTGGCTTTCGACATAATTTGAATCTGTATTCAACACAAACATTACCTTTATCCTTGATAGCTCTGTGAAATATATTTATACTATTCATTCGCTTCAATACTTTAATGAAGAGGAAAACAATTGCATCTTAATATGATTTCCTGTTAACTTGCAATTCATAGAATAACATCATTTTGACCAGTTATATTAAGTGAGAATTTTATAATATGTAATAATAATCATTTTTAATCAAACCAAAAACAGAGCTTTTTTTGTACATAATACATTAATAATATGGCATTTTTGGTTACAAATTAGCACTTAAATTATTGTGTGCCCCTGACCCCCATAGTAGGATCCAATCTGTTTTATGAAAGTCAGTGATTCCCTTATCTATAGGAACATTTTGCAACCCTCGTTTTTATATATTAGTAGCTGTTTTGTGTGTGTGTGTGCGACGTTTGTGCGTATGTGTGTCGTGTATGTGTATTTTATTGATATATTTACGGCAATATATAATACTTAAATGAAGACATGCCTAAGTCATATTTTTATGGAATCGAACGTGTGTGCAGGAAGGGATCTTTGGGTGATGGTGGTATCTGCATCCCCGTACGAGCACATGATTGGCAAACCGGACGTCAAGTACGTCGCTAACATTCACGGCAATGAGGCAGTAGGCAGAGAATTGCTACTACATCTTATACAGGTAAAAACGATTAATTTTTTATAAAGTATTGTATAATATAATATATTCAATGACATTTTACAATAAAATGTACCTACTTATTGGTTGCCTTTCACAAGAGCTCTATCTAAATAATCTGTAATCTGAGCAATGATGTGTGTAAGACAATAAACATCATTGCTCATTTAGCTTTAGTTTATTCTTATTCTGCTTTGCTTATCTGTTAAAAATACAGCGCTGAACGCAACATCGAACACAGCTGCAAACATTGGAGGTTCAATCAAATTAAACCTACGTCACAGCATAGTGCTGTTTTCGAAGTTTTTAACAGAATACCAAAAATAAATATCTACTATAGTACGCTATTAAATTACATTTACATTTTTTTTATTAGACATTGTCAATTTTAATGATTGATTTGTTCTATTGGAATATTTGACTACTATAAAAATACCTCCTGCTTTCTTTTAATGACATTAAGTGGCATTTCGTTTAAGTTACTTAATGGCAATTGAAAAAAAATCTTATCTTTAAAGAACAGTTAAATGAGTTCTAATATTATTTATTTCAGCACTTAGTGACATCATATGATACGGATTCGTACATAAAATGGCTGTTGGACAATACTAGAATACATTTGATGCCGTCCATGAACCCCGACGGTTTTTCCATTTCGAAAGAGGGGCAGTGTGACACCATACACGGCAGGTAAATTTGTGAACCAATTTAGTAATTATACGCATGAGAAGATTTAACACGTTACATTATAAAGAACTAGAAAGTCAAATAGTAATGCAGCGAGTACCTACCTATTCTCTGATTTGATGTGTTACAATTGTTGTAATCTATATGATGTTGCATAACAGTAATCACCAAATATAATTTGCGGACATTTTAAAATATTACTCAAGTATTTACTACCACGTAATAACATGCAAGTTATTGTAGGTAGGTGTATAGTTGTAATCTTATATAGTTGTTATAATATATATAACTTAAAGGTGACTGACTGATTGACATAGTGATCTATCAACGCACAGCCCAAACCACTGGACGGATCGGGCTGAAATTTGGCATGCAGGTAGATGTTATGACATAGGCATCCGCTAAGAAAAGGATTTTGATCAATTCTACCCCCAAAGTAGATAAAATAGGGGATGAAAGTTTGTATGAAACTTTGTCAATTTCTAACCGATCGAGCTGAGACTATGCACGCATAAAGTTACTATGACGTAGGCATCCCCTAAGAATGGATTTTGATCAATTCAACCCCCAAAAGGATAAAATAGGGGATGAATGTTTGTTTAATATTGTCAATTTTAAACCGATCGGGCTGAGACTTTGCATGCATAAAGCTACTAAGACGTAGGCATTCCCTAAGAAAGGATTTCGATAAATTCCATCCCTAAGAGGATAAAATAGGGGATGAAATTTTATTTCAGGTATTTTACACGATATAATGAAACAAAATTTAAGTTTGTCGGTGCCGGGTATTTTTTTATAATGTAAATTATCATATGAAAATATTTTTAAAAATGTCAGACACAACGCCCGCCGGTACGACCTCAACCGCAACTTCCCCGATTACTTCAAAGCCAACACGAAGCAGCCACAGCCGGAGACTGAGGCGGTGAAGGAATGGATCAGCAAGATTCAGTTTGTTGTGTCTGGCTCGCTCCACGGCGGAGCACTAGTTGCCTCCTACCCATTTGACAACACTCCTAGTGCTAGTAGGTATCACATTAATAATAAATTCGCAAAGTTTTTTTTTTAATAGTTAACCGTTAGTCGGCTAATTTGCCATTAATACAAAATTTATTGGTTATTTCGAAAACTAAAGCATATATTTTATATTGCTAGATGCTGACGAGAGAATGATAATTAAAATCGAGATTAAGAACGGTTGACATAATCTGTTCCTCAATAAAATAGATTCAAACTCTTCACGGTAATATTTAAAAAAAAAATATGTTCCAATTTCCAAATAGACATATTTTTAGTATCTCAACGATCGTACGTACTACAACTTACTACATTAAAAATATCCTCTGATTTAAACATGTTTTGACTATGGAAGCTGAAGAATCTTTAAAAATACAATACACAAACGGATTTCTATATTTTTACAAAAATGGTTATTTTTATTACACGCTTTACTCACAGGAATATGCAGATCATCTGTTTTATGTTCAGGTGAAGTACTTGTTGATGATTCAAGTATATTACTATACTTAACTAGTTTCAAAAAAGAACGTTGTTCGAAAATTAAATATATCCTTGCAGATGCAACCGGGACCAACGGCATAACGTGGTAAAAGCTTTTTCTCACCCATTCATTGACCAACCTTTGCAATTTCACTTCTATATCGCCAAGATCAAACGAGCTAACCACTACCATCACAGATTTGAAACATTGCAAGTTAATTAATAACCTATGGAGAATTTGAGATTTATCCCTTTGTTTTCCTCCAACATATCCCCTAAACGCAGTCTTCCAAAGCTACGCTCATACGCCGTCCATCGCACCGGACGATGACGTCTTCCGCCATTTGTCGCTTGTGTACTCTCGTAACCACGCCAAGATGGCGCGCGGAGTCTCCTGCAAGTCCGGCTCGCCGCGGTTTGAGAACGGTATCACCAATGGCGCAGCCTGGTATCCCCTTACAGGTATGCTAAAATCTTTTACCTAGATACATTACCTAGTATGTGCTGCTTCATGCTCTTTGTAACTACTTATACAGTTGTAACAATAAATTATGAAATATGTTGAAAATGGTACATATATGTTAACAACAACTATGCATATCATTTTGAAAAATAGCTTATTAAGAGTTATCTCTTTGTACAAAAGAAACTGTTGAAAGCTAGCGATTTCTAATGTACAATTATCAAATCTGGATTGACTTCAAAATTTCTTGGAATAAAAACCATGGATTTTAATTTTAATTGAACAGGCATTTAATTTCATTCTTATTTACAAGGTGGTATGCAAGATTACAATTACTTATGGCATGGATGTATGGAGATCACACTCGAGATTTCGTGCTGCAAATATCCCCCAGCGCACGAACTACCAAAGTATTGGCAAGATAATAAAGAGGTTTGTTGTAATTATATTCAAACTAATATTCGATCAAATTCAAAATCTTCATACCTGTTTAGGATTAGCTGTTTTCCCACGTGAAAGTAAATCGGGAAGTCGCGACTAAGCTCGCTCAATTATAGCCTTTATCACACAAGCTTCCCGTAGGTGAAAGAATTTATAAAATCGGTCCAGAAGTTAAAGAGCCTATTCCATGCAAACAAATAAACAATAAAATATTTCCACTTTATAATATGTATAAGTATATGTAGACAAGCTGTTTCCCCCAACTTAGTCTGCGTAAATATATTACGCAGACTAAGTTGGGGGTTGGGTTGGTTGGGCGTTATAGCCTATGTCACCTGCACGTGATGTAGCTTTTCGTAAGTGATAGAATAAAGAGTTTCGGAGCATATTCGAAGAAAACAAACCAATAATCAAATCTTACTACGTTTATCTAAGTTTAACTAGTCACTTTTAACACTTTAAATTTGGCATCGTAATTTGTATTTCTTACGCTATCGGATTAAAGACTAAATAATTGATAAAATAATTGACTATCGAAAATTTGGCCTCACGTTTCTATAGACTTTTAAATGTTCTCATTAATCTAAGTGACTAAAATACATTATCAAACTGATAGAAATTGTAATTAATCCGTATCATTATACAAGTCATTTATATCTATTCGTGCCTTTACCTTACTTAAAATCATCATAGTTGTCACCAGCCTATTATTGTCGCCACAGCTGGGGTACAGTCAAAAGTACAGTCTCAGCGTAAATTTACTCCAACGCTAAACCATGTTTATTAATAACACTGTATATTTATATTTCTACAAATGGATTACAAAAATCATCATAGTAGATATATGAAACTGTCATATATGTTCAGAATAATATGAAAATTACTATTTATATTAGGTAATTATTTAAATAATTAATTTTTCGTCTTTATTTCATTTAAAACTAGTACTATTAAATTAAGAACTTGTCGGATTATAGTCCTTATTAACACATCAAAATACCTAACGTCATATCGTCATAGTCTGACTGATGGTGTTTTTATCATATTCCATTAAATCTTTATAGATGACAGAACAAAATTAACAATAAAACTATGATGAAAACTTATGATGACGGAAACGACAAATGACTGGTGGCTTTTTCTAGTTCAAAATAAATAAATTATGATACAACCAAAACATATAAGATGTACAATGATGATGTGTTTACTGACAAATACTGTTCCTTAGTTAAAGAAACGCATAAATGCAATACCCAACAACAATAGAACTGACGGTCCTACTCTCATAGAAGAGTTCTGCCATGCTTCAACTGGAGCGTGCATTCCAATTACAGCGCAGGCAACTCGCGGACCAGCATTACCAGTCGTGAGAGAGTCTGGATGTCCTCCCAAGCCAAGGTCGTCGGGCGACTGGTGTAATACCAACGCGCGTCCCAAGATATTATTAATGCCACGGAGGGAGATGAGTCTGTCAATCGTATTCATTGTGCTTACTACTTCCGATCCAGTACTTACGAAGTGTACGTTTCCTAGATCTCCGACGTGGCGCACATTGTGTTCAGGCCCACCGTGGTTCACGCCACGAGGATTGTAGTGAGCGCCGGTGTTGTCGCAGGAAGTTAGGTCGCCTAATTCGTGCACGTGAAATCCGTAAGAGCCAGGTGGCATTCCCGTTATTCTGCCAGTGACGCGTATCCCTTCGTTTGTTTCCGTGAACAGGACGGTTCCCCTCACGATTCCATTTTCGGATGAAAAATGTGCAACTGCCGTTCGCTGTAATTGCTGTGCACTTATTAAAGTGAAACTCAAAGAAATCAAAACGAACAATCCAACACCCATTTTTTTAATAAACACGTCTGTGTTGTAAACTAACTAACAGAAAAGTGGCCTTTCTTGTTGACGGACATATTATCAAGATAATGGAGATAACGCTATCAATACAAAGAAACGTTGATTTTGGTAAATTATAATTAATTTATCAGCTAAAACCTTATAATTATTACACACAGTTATTGTTACTTGTTTAGACACGCGATTAATATATAAATTAAAATGAATAGACGCGCAGTTTCAGCCCTACCTTATAGAACTTTATACTCAAAATTTATAACCAGTTATAGGAATAGGTATTGACCATTAGCCTAAACTACAAAGAAGGCAAAGACAAGAAACGGAGATAACATTTCCTTTAAACTTCGGGACAAAATTAAAACACACTTACGAATTATGTTACTTCAATTAGGTAATTTTAACAACTTTTGCTGACATTTCTAAAGTACATGTGAAAAAATCTAACAATAGAGATGATGACTATTTTTTTTGTTTGTCCGTCAGGTAGAGTGTTCAAAAATATTAAACACGTATTTTTTTATTTTTTTCGTAATCATAAAATTACGGCGTTACATGGAGTTGAAATTTCGCATGACGTCACGTTAGAGTACGTTTTCTACTCAACTGTGACGTAGCGAGCCCCCACTCTTCAACTTTAATGCCTGTTATCTAAGCTATTTCTTGTTAAATTGAAGTAAAAAAAAATACGTATCTAATATTTTTCTATTATCTGACTGACGGACTAAATAGAATTGCATTTTTTTTTACCCAGTCATCATCCCTATTGACGTTAGAATAATAAAATGGTAATTTTTATTATTTTAGCATTCACTATACGTATTTTGGAACGAGATAGAGGATTTATCATTTCAAAAACAAAAGTTTAATTTATAATACACTTAAACTTTAAAAACTTTATTATAAATTTTATTGTAAAGGGTAACCTACAAATCAAATCAATTATTTATTTGCTCAAATATTGTGTCAGTACAGTTGTTTCATTAGTTATAAACTCAACAATATTTTGCCTTGTATAATAGGCGTGCAAATATTATACATCAAATGTCAAACTATCTATATATTTATTGAAAGATTTTTTTATAATTTATGTCAGATTACTGAATGATAGTCATATTATACACAGTCATCTCTAAATTCAACACGAAATTCTACTGTGTCAAACACAATCAATATACATATTTATGTTTATTATTGTTAGAATATACATAAGTATAATCTCAAGCAATTACTACTTAATTAAAATTTCAGAATATGCCACTTATAAATTTCAATTGATATTATAATGCCAATATTATAATGTTAAAAATACCAGTTATGCTTATAAGAGTAAAAGATTATACAATAATCGTGTAAATAATCATTAAGCGGGTAGTAGCCACGATCCAAAAGCTAATGACATAAGGAATTCTTAAATATTTTTCTTTTTTTCACATGACAGCTCCATTATTTTCGATGACAGCTTATTATATATTTTATTAGCCATACAATTAACATTTTCACTATAGAGAACATTTTCATATTGATAGTTAGCTTAGGTATACATAATTTATTCTTTCTAGAATCGCCAGCGCCTTTTTTTTGTTGACGTGTATAACAAAATATTCAAGTTAATGTTTTACAAACAGACACGTCTCTGCTATATACATGCATGGCAATGTAAGTATTCCATGTTGTTGAAATAAAGATTTACACGAGTCCCAACTGCTTATCCAACATAATGCTCTGAGGCACTTTTTATTGAGCTCTCAATGCTCTTTCTACATCGTCATTTATATAGGTGCAATAAAAATAGTAAAGATCCTTAAACGCTCCCTTGTGGTACTCCATTTTTTATGTCACTATTTTGATACAGTTTTCCAATCTAGTGATCTCAGTCCATTGTTTTCAATCTTGCAAGTAGCTGGTAAGCCATTCAACTGCTTTTCCTCTTAGGCCCCATTCACAAAGTTTTTTCAACAATGTACTATGCTTTACACAATCAAAGGCCTTTCTAGAAGAATTAATTCTAACAAAGAGTAAAGTAATTACAGGTTTTCCTGAATTAAATCAGTTGTATGTTCTTAAAACGGGAGGACTCTATTATTATTTACAATCTAAAATCAACACAATATTGACACTCATACATACATATCTTTACACATCTATATTCGTAGCTCCTCGAACAGTTTCTTTTATATATGTATCATAGAAAAGTAAAATAAACTCCTACACCATCACCGTAAAAGCAATAATTATAATTTTTTTTATGTATATATGCGATATATTTCATATCAAATATTCTATGTTTGTATAAAGTACAACGTGAAAAAAAATTAACAATCTGAACTTAAGAATCTATTTTATAATAAAAAAAACTAAGATTAGATAAGAAATCTCTTCTTCATTATTAACTTTATCCTAATAAAAACTTAACAATTAACAAAAAACGTCCATTCGACACGAACAGCAGAACACTTTAAATTTCAAGATCACAATGGCACGTAAAAGTTAGTATACTATTGATGGTAACTTAATGACGTCGTACGTACAGGGTAGAGCGAGGAGAAAATAGTTTCGATTCCTGTTGTTATATTAATTCGTACGGTAGGTAAGTGCTTTTTTAGTTTTCCAATAATATTGATAATAATAGGTAGGCTTGCTACTCAATCTACTCTAGAAGTTTTATTGTAACATGTTACTTATTTATATCGATATCGTTCGAGGTATAAGTAGATATGTATATAAGGGAACATGGAAATACAGCACTTAAATAACAAACTGAATGCCACCCTTCGCTTTTTGTTCTTCATTTCAAACCCGAAATCGTATGAATCAATAAGTTTATTCGCCACTAATGTTGACTTAAGAACCAAACATCGTTCCTTCACACGTAACATTATAAATAATTTAAACTTGCTGTTCACATAAATTAAAATGATATTGATTAATTTTCGATACTAAATTTACTTTTATTATGCCAGAAAAAAAATTGAATAAATATCACTGTCATTTTCCGATATCTAGATTGCTGCGATTATCTAGATTGCTTTCAAGATTTTTTTTAAATACTTCCTCAATGAAAGAGTATAGCTACCTTATATAACATAAACAGAACCGACTTGAAATTTAAAAAAACAGTTATAAACAATACTTATCTCAACATTAATAATTAGTTTCAAGGGGCTTACAGTTGAAGGAACTGTAGTCACTGCGACCTAAAAGATCTTTTGTGACTCGCTTCCTTCCGGGAGTCATATTCTTCATAGTAGGTATTTTATCCTGGTAGCCTTTAAGAACTCTATGACCTTCATGGCTCTCAGAGCTGTGTTGGAATAACTCAAAATTATAATTTACAATAACCTTACTGTCAGCCAGTTGCATAACGTCCATTAGTTTAAGTGCCATTACCCATACAAATTTGACTTTCATTAGAGCTTAAAGGCGTCATTAAACTTAAATCGACGTTTTTGTAGCTGATCGTTAGTATTAATTTTGGATTTAATGTTTAGGGAAATAAAATAAGAGTTATATGTAAAACAAATGTATTTAATATCACTGCGTTACACGATTTCGGTACCCGTTAAACTGATAGCTGGAATGAATAGGTAATGAGTCACAGATAAAATGTTCCAAATATATGTGGTATCCATCACGTCTAGTTTTCGAGGTACATGTCAATCATTATTTTAAACTCTCACTTTAGGAGTAAAAGAAATAGTTGAGGTTTTCGATGTATTATACTTTTTTTATTGTTTTGTTTTATTAATAAATCGTTTCTATTCGATAACCTCGATATCTCTAAACATATCTATTTATTTAAAAATCCAACATGAATACTGAACTAAGCCGTCGCGACTGTAAAAATGAACCAAATAAATAAGTTTTGTTATGTTTGTGGACAGTACATTTTTTTTCAGTTTTCATAAAAGTGAGAAGTGCATATTTACTTTATTTTGGATGTGTAAATCAAGATAAATTATGGATACCACAGTTTTTTGTGTTACGTGCTATGCTACTCTCATATCTTGGTTAAATGGAAACAAGACGTCAATGCCATTTGCCGTACCAGCTTTATGGCGTGGACCTAGTAATCATTTTTATGATTGTTACTTTTGGATGACTGACATACGTGAATTTTCAAAAGAAAATCAAGCACATAATTTAGTATCCTGATATTCCTTTATATTTGAAACAAATACCTCACAAAGAAGAAATGCCTCCTCCATTACCTCATGCCAAAGATGAAATTGGGATTTCAGAAGCGTATTTTACAACATATGCCAAATGTTGTAAAATATAATGACGACAGACGCCTGGTTATCACTGTTAAATAATTTTTAGGGAACCATAGAGCCGAAAATGCGGAACAGCTACTTAACTATATGTTAAAAGCATGCGGAAAGTTGAAAGTTGGGTTGTAGAATGCCGGCAAAAATTAACTTTCTTCATTCCCACTTTCCTTTTTTCTATCTAATCTTGGTGCTGACTGTCATGAGAGGTTCCACCAAGATATAAAGAAGCTTGAAGGACGATTTCTAGGCCATTGGGATACAACTATGCTAGGCGATTACTGCTGGCGTCTAAAATGAGAAGGTCCTTCAAAACAGAAAAGATAAAGTAAAAATATAAAGGTATTCTGGGTTTAAATTGTATGCATTGATTTTTCTTGTATTTTTTATACCAAAATGATAAAAAATAAACTCGATTAATGAAAAATATCTTGTACATTTTATTAGATATCTTTAAATTATGTTTGAGTCTTTAAATTTTTAGTGTAATTTGTCATATCCTCACGGAAAAAAAAATGAGACGTCATAAAAAGAAAATATGTATGTATTCTTACTAAACGATAGGAATAAATAGGAAAACATGACATTTCATAGCGGGTACTTAATTTTTTTTTTCATTTGGTTTAATTGGTTTTATATCAGTCGCTGATCAAGTTCCTGGCGGAAGCGCACCGAGGCGCTCATGGGTTCGTAATGGATGAGAACGGCAATCCGGTGGAGCGCGCGGCGGTGCGCGTGCGAGGCCGCGACGTCGCCTACCACACCACCAAGTACGGCGAGTTCTGGCGCATCCTGCTGCCCGGCAACTACCGACTCGAAGTAACTCAATTGACTTTTTTTTCATTACAAGCGCTAATCTTTACTTATTTTACCCATTGAATACGTCCACTGGTACATGTTAAATCTGCAGAGCGACCGCCTAATTCTAATTAAACTACAGCCGTAGGATACGACATCTTAGCGATGTTAAAGCGCTATTTCATTTCATTTTACTACTTAGACAAGTACTTTAATGACGATGAACGAATGATAAAGAAATATGAATGTGGATTTGACAGCAGTGTTTAGCCATTTATCCAGTAAAAGACATCTCAAAGTTATAAAATGAAACTACAAAAGGTAATAAAGAATTTATATGATTCCATGACAGCGGTATGTTGGACCCAGTTGGACCTGGATCACAACACCCAGTTCCGAGACCAATAGAAAAGTGAATTACCACGAATCAACCCCGTGACCTCAAAGATGGCAACTATACCTTGACATATAATACGTTCGTCTAGCAGATATTTTAAGCTATTTGATTTAAGCATGATTACAAATTTAAAAGGCACCTGCGTTTATATGATACACATGCGGTTATAAATATGATCATATATATTTTCTTGCGTATATGTCATGGTTAGCCATATAACAGTAAAGACATTAAAGAAACGATGGTTTTGATTTAATTCTAGACGTTATTTATTTAACAGACCTTTAAAAATAATTCATTGATACATTATATAGCGTTCCGCCCGCGGCTTCGCACGCGTGCATTTCGGTTCTTTCGCGAGTAAAACTATCCTATGAGATTTCCCAAGGTCTGCTCTATCTGTACGGAATTAAAATTGGTTTAGTATTTTTGGCGTACAAAACGTAACAGACACACATTTGCTTTCGCATTTATAATATTAGTATGCAATTATGAACCATTGGAATTTTTTGTGACAGGTGTCGGCAGACGGATACTTACCTCAGGAGGTAGAGTTCATTGTGGTAGACAGACACCCTACTCTACTAAACGTGACATTACATTCCGCCAAGGTAAATTGAATATATGCAAATATTTTTTGTAAATTTGTAAATTATGTAATAAATAACTGTACAGAAATATAAAAAGAAAACAATAGTTTGAACGAAGCTGTTTTATAACTTTTAACACCTCAGAAATAGTAAGAAAGTGTTAATTAATTGATTTTGACCTTCTTAGAGTAATCTTTTTTATTACATTATATAACCATCTTCTTATAACAAACGAAAAAACAGCTCTGTTTCAAACTATCGGGAGTGGTATTAAAATGTAAATACTTGCTTTTGGTTATAGATATATGATGAATAAATAACTATAGTTTAAAAAAAAGGTGTACTTTTTTTAAATCTGTTTGCATTATTAATCATGCATTTATGGACATGCGGTCCAAGTTTCGGTTGTAGAATATTCGCACTATACAGTAGTTTAGTTGAGTGACGGGTCCATAGGGGTACGTGGCCGGTCGCACGACGACGCGGAAGCCTTCCCGTGTTGTCCCGATCAACCTCGACCGTGCTGCACCAACAGTACAAACTACCGCCTCTGCCACCAGTACTACAAGCGGACAAATACATTTCCCCCAAGACTAAATAAATAGCTACACATTTAATATTTAATAATGTAGTTAATTTACAGTAATGCTTTTTATTGTTTAACGACATTGAAGTGAGAGTATGATACCAAGTAAAAACAATAACACCTCACTAATCACAAGCTTGCCCCTATATGTGTGTACCAGAACTGGGAACGAGATAATATCATAGAATTGTGTTCAAGTTCAAACATTATCCCAATATCTAAGAGTACAAACATATTTTTGTAGTATATATATTTTTAGATTAATAAATTGCAAATAGAAATTAATTTGCTGTATTAAATGAAATATTATAAATTTTCCCCTGTAGTATATAGTAACCCTTATATTGAATATTTATTTTCCTAATGAAACGAAAACTTGCGTCGACCGATTCCAGGTAAGTTTGTAAATAAGCTATCTTATCTTTGCTATCTTAGTTATCTGATCATCATACATACTAACAAGTAGTAGTATAATCATTCGTAGGTATTGAGATATTAATTTATTACTAATTAATTTATATATCAGTAAGTATAATTTATTTATATATCAGAACTGGGGAAAATGGTGAATGAATGGTGTAATGTTTTCATAACCTTTAAGTGGTAATTAATTCCATTTAATAACAACTTAAAGGGAGAAAGTCTTGTCTTAATCTAACTATATTATTCCTATGTTTCCGACACAATAATATTTTTTGCAAACACGTGACAGTCGTGTTAAATCTTCACTTGATATTAAACTTTAATACATTCATGGTAGAGTTCATAATCAATTTAGGAGATTTCACATATTGTGCCAACATAACGTGGAGCCGTGTGTACCAAACAAAAATAGAATGTTATTTTATATATTACAGCGTATCGACGGGGGGCCATACTACCGACCGGTGGCACTGCCGCCCCGGCCGCCACCACCAACACCCTCCAACGGCATCATCGCCTCCCTCACCAACTCATTTAATAGCTTCGTCTCTAATATCTTCGGTTGAAACTATTTAATTAAAATATCGATGGCATCTAGGGCCCGATCTAAGTAGGGCAAACCGGGCAATTGCCCAAAACGGCAAAAAAAAGGTGAGGAAAAATTAAAATATAGTAAACTAAATAACTAGATCGGACCCTGATTGCATCATAAAAAGGTAAACAGGAGAGAAAATCAATTCAAATCCGACTCGCAGATTTTATTATCATATTTAAAATTCGACCTTATTCATGTTTGAAGGAAATCCTTCAATTTGAAAATGCAACAAGTCGTCATCGCTGTAGATATATTGTAAAGTATTTCTTAATTATTTTAAGGATTAAACTTATTATATATTGAAACAGTCTCATTCGAAGTGTTCTGCGCTTTATTATCTACTTACCGCGTAAACTTGTTTGTAAAAAATATTTCTTTCGCATATTTGAGTGGATTGCCTGAACATTGATGAAATACGTTCACTTAAATGTAGCGAAAAGTAACAAATGCTTGAAAAATCCATCAGTACTATTGGATCTCGGGTAATTCAATAGTTAGAGCAGTCGCTCGGATTGCGAAAGGTTGTGGGTTCGAGGTACCTGGTGCGGGTGGATGTTTTAAGCATTTTTCATTAAAGTTACTTATATTATTATATTTGATCAATTTAGCATTCACAATGCTACTCCGAAAACTATCTTAAGGAAAAAAAGATTTGCTTAAGATATTACCTACTATAACCTGACATGTTTTTGATTAAAATTCAAAGTGGTTTTACTGGTTTGTAATTAAAGAATCTTGTGACAAGCATAAAGCGACAGTATAAAATAGGGCATCGTTAGCTCCTTCTGGGTACGGAACCATAATAGCGTTTCTTTTGAGTTTTTATTTTCTTGTTATTAAGAGAAATTAGACTAAAATAAAATTTGATATAACTGTAATAGGTAAAATTCATCTTTTTGATATCGAATTATCTATTTAAGATAGGGAATGAATAAAATACACAGATATAAAGACTATTTATTGCCTTTGTTGAAATAATTTGTTTCAATATTCGCAGCAGCGTGAAAAGATCTCTAATATAAGCTCCTTTGTAGGTATCATTAAACTATCTTACTTTGTAAACACTGTAAATAATTTATTTGGTTAAGTACTTACATATTTATTTATTTTAAGAGTTTATAGAAAATAAAAAACTTTTTTTAATCTAATATTATCATTTTTACTTAGATAACCTTCTTTCGAAACACAGTAACTACCAAATAAAACTTCTCCTATGTAAAATTATATTTCTTAAAAGGTTATATAGCCTTTTTGTATTTGCTTTATCCGCAATCTTTTTTAGAAAAAAGAGTGTAAATGTCATGGCCCTCTCACACAGGACCGCAGACCCGGTGATTTACTTGTAACTTGGATCATTAGCTCCTAATAGCTGTTAGTCGCTAAGATGCTATTATATTTTATCTTAAGATAATATTTTAACATCTTAAGCTATCACACACACACGGTTAAGGTACGTTATTATTTTGAAACCCCTAAATAAATAGGTATATATTTCCTTATCTCAAGACTTATCCTACGAAATATATATTTTCGTATCGCTTGACAAACAAGTTAATATGAATGTATTATATTATCTTAGTCTTAGTCTTAAGCGTGTTGTTTCATTGGATTGTATGGCGAGCGATAAATTTATCTTATATTATAACATCTTCACCGTCTGTTATAAGCTTTAAATCGTATGTTATTTATTATCTTTGTTTGCCAAATGTTAACATTGCACGCCACCTTATTTACTAAGAGTTCCCGCCGAGATCACTCGCGTAAATTTTACATAAGAATTTTTAAAATCGGTCCAGTGATTTCGAAATCTATTTATTGCACACAAAAGTAACAAACAATCAAGTCTTTCTTCTTTACAGTATTGATATTGTATGTAAATGTACGTATATTGTTTGTCAAATATCTTTGCTTAGTTATAAATTTTTCATTGTTTAATTAATGTCGCCTGGTACCTATTCTCTCGTAATTAAATACACTGTGTCCCGCTGGCGGCACAGATTAAATATTGCTATAAGAGCTATTCGGTACCTGTACTTCGCACATGGGCTCGTCGACAAATATAAATCTATTTGAAATAGTATTGTAAACACTAGTTTACATAAGAAAAAAAATCCTTTGTTTTTGCCATAGATACCGCACACATATTGCGATACTAAATAAATCAATTAATTGAATATATGTAAATTCATAATTCATTCTGAGTCCCTGTCTGTGTCATTCATTAATGACTTTTTGATATCTTTTCGTTTCGTCTTTGTCTTTCTTACGCAATATTAAACGAGTGTCACTACAGTTAACATCAAGTTATATTATAAATTTTAATTATTTGATTGTGACAATAACACCTGATCATACAAACGATTTGACACATATTTGTTAATATATTCAAATAGAAATCGTTTAAATTATGATTGTTAAAATACTGATATCGTTTATATGCATTACGGGCCTAGCAAAGAGTTCTATAATAGTGACAAACTCCGGGCCAGTTTTAGGTAAGCTTGTGAAGGATGATAACGGTGTGACGTATTACGCATATCAAGGGATACCGTACGCGGAAAGTCCAGAAGGAGAACTTCGTTTCAAGGTAAGCGTTGTCCAGAGAGTATAGGATAACATTTCATTATTACTATTAAACTGTATATTTGACATGGCTTTTTATCGAGGTTTATTTCTCAGTTCTTGATCATTATAATATATCAAGTTTATGTGCCTAGTCATGTATGCATTATGCACGTTCTGTTTAAATCTCTAGAAAATATAAATAAAAATAAACAGTAATATCCAGAATTTAACACTTTATTATAGCCCCCTGTGCCTAAGAAAAAATGGCTCTCAGTTCTTAATGCCACCGAAAAAGGTCCAATTTGTCCACAAGCAGAGGGACATATAACCAGAGAAGAAATGAGCGAAGACTGTTTAAAGCTGAACATAGTAGTGCCAGCAAAGAACGAAACTAAATTGCGACCAGTATTTTTCTACATTCATGGAGGTAGTTTCAAGTCTAATACGGGGAATATCGATAAATATCAACCACAATGGATTCTAGAAGAAGATATTATCTATGTGTCAATAAATTATAGGTAATTGTTATAATACATCATTATAAGTATAACTTTTAAATTTGCAGTCTTTGTATCAACTATAGTACCTACTTATCACTTAGCCGCGTGGTATCGATTTAAAATAGCACCACCCCCTCTCGTCGCGTGGGTGTCGTTCAAAGCGACTATGAGGATACAGCCATTAGGAGACGGACAGCAGTATCTGCGATCATCAACCCGCCCGTGGCGATTATGGCAAATCCCCTCCATGATTCATACACAAAGAAAACGGCCGCTAGTCCCTGGCAGCCCTACTGTTCCTAATAGGGTAGCGGCAGTGGTTTTGAAGAATCCCAATTTAACTCGGATAAGCAGCAATCGGTTTGGAAAACTACGAAAATCTTTGCGTCCAAATTACCTCAGTGTCTCAAGACGAAAGGGGATCCGTAAACCAATGCTCCTGACATTGCTCACCTGAACCGACTGACCGACCATATTTAAAAGATAAGGGGAAGCTACTGGATGTGGGCAGCGCTGGGAACCGATCGGCATAGAGTTCAATGGGGCAGGTCATGAAGAATGAAATCAACTCTATGGGCCAAGCCTACGCTCAGCAGTGGGCAACTAAGATTTCAACGTAGAACTTGTTATGTTCATTCGTAATTACACAACGGATTTTTGGTCCTGTTACCAATTCCAAAACAAGCAATGATATTTTAAAAAATCCAATCTCTACATTTTAAATATAGAAATACCATACAATTTTTTATTAAATTTGAAAAGGACAGAATCTGTATTGCTCATAATAACCAAGCGACGCTCTTTTTCAGACTTGGGGCATTAGGATTTCTCCAGCTTAATATGAACGAAGGATCAGAACAGAAAGAGGATGCGGCTGGAAACGCTGGAATAAAAGACGTAATATTGGCCTTAAAGTGGATAAAAAATAACATAAAAAAGTTTGGTGGAAGTTCTATTACAATTGGTGGGCAAAGTTCTGGTGCTGCAATGGTTCATTATTTATTATTGACGGAAAAATCGTCGGGACTTTTCGAACGCGCTATATTGAAAAGCGGTAGCGCTACTAATTTCCGGTTTTTCTCTGCATATCCTAAGCAACATACATTTGCCTTAGCAAAAGAACTGGGATTCGCAACCGACAATATTAAAGTTCTAATGCAGAATTTAATAAACGCTGATGTATTCGATATAATTAAAGCGCAAGAAAATCTTTATAAAAATAACAGAAGTATCATGAGACCCTTCGCACCATTTTTACCGTGTATTGAAAAGAAATCATCACATGCAGTTTTGACAAAACATCCTAAAAATATAATTCAATCGAGTATACCTCAAAATGTACCAATACTCACTGGTATTAATTCACAAGAAGGCCTTTACATGTGGCCATCAGTAATGGAAAAAACAGTTCAAGAACTAAAAGATAATTTTACTCTTTGCATTCCATATGATATAGAGTACCCTATCAGTTCAAGTAATTATAGAAGACTTGTAACATCTATCAGCCATTTGTATTTTGGAGGCCCAGACCTGAATAAATGGACACTAAACAATTTTTTCGATTTACTCTCGGATACACAATATGCCAGTAGTGTAGATTTATGGCTACGAATTCACACTTCAAAGACACTTAGCCAACCGGTATTCTACTATAATTTGGATTTCAATGGAGGTCTTAATTTTGCCAAAATTATTTATAATATAACTCATCCCGGAACAGCTCACGCAGATGATTTAGGATATATGTTCATAACTGATGTTACTCGATCCAAAATTAAGGATCTCGATATTAAGACTAGAAACACATTAAAGAACACACTAACTTATCTAACAAATTTTATAAAATTTGGGTAAGTACAAAGGATATGCATCCTCAACCGTTTTTAAAATTATTTTTTTGCTCGTAAAGCTGATGTAATTCCACCGGTTTTAAATATGTAAAGCGGGTCATAAAAAACGCGTGTGTTACCAAAGCAAATAGTTAAGTTATAGTCCATACAAATTCCATAACAGTATTATTTGCCATTTCGCGCGCTGTTGCTATTCAAATTTCAAACTAATCGCCGCGCGGCGCCAGTCAATAGGCAGCGCTAGCGCGCTGTTAAAATGGCGGGAAAGCAACAGTGTACATTCACAGATTAAGTTTATTTTAAATGTTTTTTTTCTGTTTCCTCGCAAATGTGTTAAAAACGTCGTACGATATACGTGCGTATTGGTTATAACATGCTCGGCTCAATTACGCCCTCGCCTTCGTCTCGGGCTGAAATTCCGCCTCGCATCTTATAACCATCATAACGCACTAATATCGTAATATACTATTACGTCTAATAGTTTTACCGATCGTTACCATTGTAAAAAGCCCTAAGCGGCACTTACGCCAGTATACGTAGGACCCATCGATTTGTTTGCATTGGAAAGGCTCCGAAACTATTGGTCTAATTATAAAATTCTTTCATCTAGATCTAGTGGAAGCTATATTATATACGGGGGACATATAGCTTATGATGAAGATCAGTGTCTGGCTGTCACATGCTGAGTGGCTGCCTTTTCAGTTTCATATTAATATTTTGTTTTTCTTGTATCTTCCGTGGCGACCTTAGGTTCTTGACAGCACCACTATACGCCACGTTCATAAGAGTAGTTAAATACAATACAATAATGCGCTTACGCGTTCAATGGTGAGCACGTGAAAAATTTGTATGGAGATTTGTTGTTCTTGGTAGTTACCGCTAAGGGTGCTGTATCGGATTCCATACTAAAATCTTTATGCGCTCGTTCACGATCGATCGTGAACGAGCGCATAAAGATTTTAGTATGGAATCCCACTTGTTTATTAAACATTTTAATATATATTACTCATTATCTTTAATATTCATCATATTGTACATATTTTCAGGAGTCCAAATGAAAAACTTTCTAATGGCGGCGTGTCATGGTGGCTTGAGGCTGGTCCTTTGAGGCATCATTTACTTCTAAATGATAAACCGATGAGTAAACTTCAACCGCCGTTTAAAATCAGATTTGACTTTTGGGATAATGTATATAAACAGTACACCAGGTATCTGAAGAAAGGCGGTGTGCGGGAACCTAGACTTCGGCCAAATTTTGTCATTTAATTAAGTATCTATTTAGTTTCTTGTGATTAAGTAAGCTCGGTGGCGTAGTGGATAAACGGCGCGGCCTGCGAATTTTGTTGTTAAGTGTCTATCGCAAGGGTTGGTCACAGGATGGATGACCAAAGAAATTATTGTCTCGAGCTACTCCGTGCTTCGGAAGGCACGTTAAATTGCTGATCCCAGTTGCCCATCCTCCTTAACATTTATAAGGAAGGCCTGAGCCTCTGCAGTGGGGACGTTATAGGGCTGATAATGACGATAAAGTATTTAGGTTGTAACGGTGAAACGCAATTTTGAGAATGAAAATGTAGGATGATAGTATTCCAGTCCAGAAAACACCATATGTTAAGGATTAAAAACATTATTTGGAACCTCATTTATTGCTTTTCATTGTATTGGTCTACCTCCATTTACCTGCAACTAAGGTATAGTAGCTTTCAAGTTCGTAAGGCTACGATAGCGGCAATGTAGACTTCTATATATATATATATCATAATAATTCTTTGAATAAAGCATTTAAAACAGGAACGTTTCTTACTTACTCTAAGACAGACACTACAAAAATAATTGTCACTATAAAATACATTTGATATAAGGATCAAGGAAAATAAACCCTAGGTGGTTTTTTGATAAGAACAAATAAATTTAGCTTCATAGACACAGTTATAGATATGAAGCAAAATGGTAAGATATCATGAACCTCCTTTATGCAGGTAAATCTGCTGAAAAGCCACAAATATTACTTATATACTCTCTTTTATGAAATGTTTACTCTAATAAACACATTTATTTGTATATAACTATTAATCAATAAACAAATAATGTCAATGAGGATATATTTAAAAAAGCACTCATAATGCACCTCACTAGATGGCGACTCTACCAAAAGCACAGAAGGTATAAAAGTTGATTTTTACAGTAAACGAATGGACCATAGATAGTAATTTTCATTCCTTTTAACTGCCAAATTAAAAATTTGCAAAGTTCGAAACTTCGATATCAATACAAATATGAAATGTTTATTGAGTTTTAAAAATTAATTTACTTTTATATATGAAAGAAAACCGGTAGGGCTGTCATGGAGAAATCAAGAAAGTACCGTAGCGACATCTAGTTTCATTTTGAAAACTTATATTTTTTGAAATACTTCCTCTTAAGTGTTGTATTATAAGTTGTAATCATGGACTATCGGTATAGGTTTTAATTATATAGTACATATAACAGGACAGAGTTCTCCCAGCTGAAAAGAGAGACGAGCGAGATATCAAGTACTGAGACTTTTTAATTAAGTGAGACTTTTCATATGGTTCAGTTTTTTAACAACTGCCGCTATTATCGTACGCAATAATCTTGTAAACTTTTTGGTACATATGAATATATTTTTATATTTTATTATTATTTATTTTAGATACTTATGGGCTTTTTGCAATACGATATCAATGAGCGACATCGCATGAATAGCTAACCCATATAATATGTTGTAGAATCGTGTTTGTTTACTCATAAGATTGCACAATCTATCAATATCGGTCACAAATCATTTTTATGGTCTGCGATATCACTTCAAATGTATGAGAGCTCAACTGGCTCGATCTACTTTCGATTTCCTGTTCAGAAAATCGACGAGAGATATCAATTGAGCAATCTCATATGCACTAACAGTCCGCCAATCAAAATATATTCAATTTGACAAAAAAATAACTATATAAACAAGTAAATAGCTCGATGGTGTAGTGGTTAGCGTGTTTAACTGCGATTGCGGCGATTAAGTGACGATCGCAAAGGCCGGTAATAGGATAGGTGGTTCAATGTTTTTTTCGAAACGTTTTAGGACGACCACGTTGTCCCAGTACGAATTACTGGATAGATTGACTTTATCTATGTTTTAGCACTGCCAATTCTCATTGAGTCCTTTACGTAGGCGGAAATATAATAGTGCGGAATTTTGGTTAGTTGGTATCATCCATTAAGAATATGTGGTTTAGCATTATCAATTCGTATTGGGGTAACACGCGGGCCCAGTTATGATTGGTTTTATTCACCCATTAAGAAAATAGGTGCTTTAGCGCTACCAATCTACATTGGGACCTACACTCGAGCCTAGTGAAGAATGTCGGGTGGTTAGCGCGTTTGATCTACTAATTAGATAGGTGACCGCACCCCGCTTCACCCCGCAACGCCCCGCCTCATCTTGCAACGCCTATCCTGCTCCACCACCCTCAACCAATCACAAGAAAATATCACCCATCTCATTACTGGCCTTTGAGAACGTCGCTTAAACTTAGCAATCGCAGATCAAACCCACTAACCAATGGTACACATAAGAGAAGGGATAAGAGCAAAAATCAGCAGCCAAAAAATTAAAGGCACAGGGTGGAGACGGACTGACCTCCGATCTATGCGCGGCGGCTGTAAGATCAAACACCTCCGTAGCCCTCGCCTTATACAACAAAAGTTTAGAACTCTCCCACTTCCCTGTCTCCTAGAAAGAGGCAACCGTAATAACATTTAGAAAGCCCGGAAAACCAGACTTCACGATACCCAAATCATATCGACCTATGTATAGGCTTACTACTTGTACTAGAAAACATTGTGAAAAATGCTGGTAAGATATAGTAGATATAGATAAAAAATTTAAGTATGATGTGCCCACAAACTTACTTTCAACAGTTATATTATATATATTTGCAAAAAGGCTCTTAATATTTAAAAAGGAATTACAAGATCGGCAAAAACAACGTGGGGATTAAACCCAGAGATCATAAGAACAATATATGTGGCAGTGATAGAGCCGATTATTCCCTATGCAGCAAGTGTATAGGGTAGAGAAGCAAATAAAATAGAAAGTAATAAGGTTATGAATGCAGTACACAGAGGGTCGCGCAAAAAATCGGCAAAACATATAAAACGGTATCTCTAAATTTCGCATTAGTATTGTCAGGGCTGCTTCCGCTGGACCTCAGGGTCGTCTTCGACCCTGAGGTCCCGCAGGCAGAAAAGTAGAGGAGAGGATATCACTACTAGAATCGTACCACCCCGAATGAATGCTTGGAAGATGCAAAAGAGGATAGCAAGCTGGCAGAAAGTCTAGTGAAGATCTATACAGATGGTAGCAAACTTAAGGGAAAAGTCGGTGCAGCCCTGACCTGTTGGAAAGGGGCTGATGAAATCGCTTCCCGAAGTTGGAAATATACTGTACAGTCATCCAAACTGAGCTGTATGCTGGATACATACAGCTCTTGGAGGATTCCAAGCAACAAAATGCGTGATGTGTAAAGAATGGCAAGAGTTCGCGGTGCTCAGTGACTCGAGGTCCGCTCTACAATCGCTACAAGGTCCGGTTTCATCGCACCCAATCACGAAGGCGATTCAGGGTAATATGATCCAACTTAGGGACCAAGGCCGAAAGGTCTCCCTATTTTGGATCAGGTCCACCCACGTCGGCGTGATTTGGAACGAAAGAGCGGATGAGCTGGCGAAAGGAGCGGCTCTCGGGTTAAAGTGCAAATTGCACTATGATCGCTGTCCCATCTTTTTTGTCAAAAGGCATTGTCCCATTCTACTTTTGTCAAATCGCGTAAATGTACGCGATTTGACAAAATTAGAATGGGACAGTCGTTATAGGAGCGAGAACACCGCGGTCACGACGAAAGCCTTTTTCCCAAGTGGGGCCTTCGGCGTCGAAAGAAAGATAAAGATGGATAGACGGGCTGCACAACATTTAACGGGGCATGGAGGATTTCGATCTTACCTCCATGACTATAAATGTAGGTATACCCCATTTTGCGTGTGCAACCCCCAATAGAAACAGAATGTTTTTCATGTCCTGTTAAAATGCCCCATTTTTAGCAACGATAGATACACTATACAGCAGCACATTAACACGAACTTTAGCAAAGACAACCTTGCGAAAAAGTGCAATGAAGAAAAAGAGAAATTTCTAGAACACGCAAGTACAATAGTAGCAAAAATGAATAAAGATTGAAATGTATAATATATAATATGTTAAGAAAATTGTAAAATAAGATAAAAAGACCTAAAGTAAAAAGATGAGGGAAAAAGAAAAATCCCAATGACAAGGTAATCAAATACCTAAAATATAAAAAAAGCAAATAAGCAAAAAATATTCATACACTGTAGAAAAGATGACCTGTTACTGAATGGAGAAACCCGAATAAAAAAAACCTCTTGTACACGTGCAAGCGAAGACAAAGACAAAATAATCTTCATTCAAATAAACTTCTTAAAAGTACTTTTGAATCGTCCAACATTTTTTTCCCTACCACTGGTTCGCTCTCAGCTCGGATTAGCTTCTGTAGAAGAAATAATGAAAAATATACTTTAACTAATAGTATTAAAGTTCATTTTCGTAATGACAAATTTTCAGAGTTATAAGTCCTGTTATATTAGTACTACATCACTGGTTTTACTACTAAGAACACCTGCTCCTAGTATTATCTAATACGCGATTTAAATACCTGTTCCACCGAGTCAATCTATTATTAGTAGTTTCACATAGTAATTGGTCAGAATTGAAACCGGCTGCTAGATTAATAAAAACTGTATATGGATACAAATGGATCCCAAAATAACTCCTAGCATTTCACGTACTAATTGAAACATTTTACTCTACGTCAGTGGTTCTTAACTTAGGGTTAAATACTCCTGCGGGGGTAAATTTGTGAGAGTAACAAAAAATCCTACTAATTAAGACTAAATTTAGTAATAGACTTATGTAAGTATCTCAAAATGGACCTATTTAAATAATTTGGTTTTTGTTTTTTGAGGCATACCTAAACAAAACTATACCTGCATACCATCGAGAATTGATTAGCGTCAAACGATAATAACTATTTAATAAAGAAATCTGTATTTACTTATAAAAGAACAATGGCCATCTGCCTAACATGCTTGGACTAGTAAAATCGAATAAAACGTAACTTGATGAAACATATGTTATTTTGTTTGTCTATACAACTAGAACAAAGAAAGACATTAAATATATTTTTAAAAGCTGGGAGTATCGAGTAATTGTGTAATATGTTTTTGAGGTTATGTCGTATTATTTAAACTGTAGCATTTTAAGTTAGAGGTATTACAGTTGAAATACGTAAAGCACACGTCAGATAATGCCTAATCGTAGTCCTAGAAGTGCATACTTTCACATAATACTTCAAACTTGCTCCATAACTGATATATTATTTTTATTGACTGTAAGAAATAAAATCATTTTTTGTGAACCAATGAACATCAAAAAAATAATAGAATTTTTAAGATTGTTCTCAATAACTCTACTTTTCCATCTTACACTATAACTTATATAAAGTAGTAGTGAAAATACTAATTTCAAAAGGATATAGCAAAACAACATGTTGATTTTTCTTTTCTTTATTACAACTAGAATGAATACATCATCACGGAATACTGCAGGAGCAGCTACATTCTGTTCGTGTCTGGCCCATCCAAGATACCAAACTATGGTTATTATATGAGCACAGCATCCCAGTGTACATCGACCAATAAGACAATTACAGCAATGTTCTCTTATGCCATCTAACCCGGATGTGTCATTATTTCTTAAAATATACACATAATATTGTTTTCTCCCAATGTCTCGACTTAATTCTATCCCTTATAACTAGGACTTTATTTATATTTAAGTCTAATTCTAATAAATCCAGAGAATCTGGTATATCTCTCCAGACCTCAATTCTATACTGCCCATTGAACCTAGTATGCTCCCCATAATACAGAAGATAATACAAAATCGCCGCTAAAGTTACAAAACGGTCTGCGTAGAAACACGTCTACACATACTTGTCTAAAAATGGGAGGTCGCAATCGATTATTGAATACTGTAATATCGATTCTTATAAATAATCATTAGTTTTTAATTTCATTATAAATAAACTATTTTCCTCTAGGTAACATCTAATTATATTAGTTATCTAATCTAAGTTTTATAATTTTCATGGATTTATATGGTTAGTAAATAATATAAGATTTGTATCAAATTAGATTAGTCGGAAATAAAATCGATTTTGTTCTTTGAAAAGAGAGGGACTTCTCTAGGAATTACATTATTATTAAGATGCATTCAAAAATAACATAATTTAAACTGCGTTCTAAAAAATAAAGACATATTTTAGAGAGGAATATCTTTCTTTTCCCAGCTTTTAAAAATAAATTGTTGGTATATAATAATTACATTCAACTTATACTACATTTTGGTAATAGTTTCATCTTGGTACAAGAACTTTTTTTTCGTAGTCCATTTTGGCCATTGTTCTTTGCATTACAAACCTTTTGAGGTTGGGGTCAAATGGTAATGGAAAAGTATGAAAAGGTAACCACTGCTCTTAGTCGAAATCGAAAATTGTGAAGTAATGAATAATATTAAGTGTGCCTAACATGTAAATGCAAATATGGCCTATCACTCTTTGTTATATTGTGTATAATAGTGTAATTTGTTTCTGTTAAGTGAATCAAATATTTAAAAAATCAGATAGGTTGTTAAATACCTGTTATTAGTAGTAGTAAATTTTACTTGTCGACACCTTGTCAATGTCAATGTCAATTTGTAAGTACTGGAATTTTGTGCCGCTTTTTTTTATGTTTACGTACTTAATTATTTTAGATTATTAAGTTAATTTTTATATTTTTGTGGGATTAATAGAAAAAAGAATTAGTATTAAACGAATAAAATGACTCTAGGTGAAGCTCAAAAAAACCTCCCATGGTAAGTTTAATCAAAGTGTTTTTGTTTATACCGCTAATTTAAAAATTAAACATTTCTTTAGTTGATATTATATTTATTTTATCAAACATTTTAGTGCTAATTTTTTCGGTAGATATTGCTTATTGTTTTTTTGTTCTACTAATCACTACCAATCTTTTCTGTCCACATTCTATACTTGTACAAAATATATGATAATGTAGCATTGGGTGTTTCACAGGGTTGAAAAATATCGTCCATCAAAGTTAGAAGATTTAGTGTCACATGATGATATTATAAAAACAAGTAAGTGAAAAAAAAAAAATCTCACACAATAACTGGCAAGCTTCGTTATACTAAATTTTTCCAAAATTTTTTGAGTTTGATTGATTTAATTGATTTCAAGATGAGTAGAGGATGCCCCCGTAATTTGGAGTATCTGGGACATTATTTTAAATTACCTATGGAAAAGATAAACTTATTGAGTATTAACAAAGGTACCAGATTCATGAGAATTTAAAAAAGGCCCCCATCATCATCATTAGCCATATTCGTCCACTGTTGTGCATAGGCCTCTCCAAGTGCATACCAGATCTTCGGCTATTCGCATCCAGTTTCTGTCAGCCACATTGCGAAGATCATCTTCATCTTCTGAAGGCATTTCACACTACACTTCCCGATTTCCAAAAAGTCCATCATTACATTTGCTTGACCGGGAATTGAACCTGGGACCTTAGAGATGGTAACGCCTTGAAAACAGTGTGCGAAACAATCATCTGTGGAGGTTATCATTTGTTTAAAAACTGTATATAAATCAACATAAGTAAGTTCTCAAATTTTATATTATTTTAAACCAATCAAGTACTTGTAGTAAATAAATTATAACAATTAGTCACTGAAAGTACCTTACTAGCATAAACAGTATATACTTTATTCTTTAAATTAGGATCATACACTAATATAATTATATTAAAACAACAAAATGGGAAGAAATAGGCTTGATTTTTTTAATTGTATATAAGAGTTGTCCTTAATAATGCTAATGAAATGATTTGCTGCTTACACTACTTTCAGTTAATCAATTTATGAAGGAGAATCAACTTCCGCACCTTTTATTTTATGGCCCACCGGGAACTGGTAAAACTTCAACGATATTGGCATGTGCAAGACAAATGTACACTCCACAACAGTTTAATTCTATGGTATATAATTTTAAAGTTCATATTATGAAAGTTATCTTATGTATACTGAAGGGTTACAAATTAAATTAAACTTTCACAGGTATTGGAACTTAATGCATCAGATGATAGAGGTATAGGCATTGTTAGAGGTCAAATCCTCAGTTTTGCATCCACTAGAACAATTTTCAAAGCAGGTCCAAAATTAATAATTTTGGATGAAGCTGATGCCATGACAAAAGATGCTCAAAATGCATTGAGGAGAAGTAAGTGCTTATTTCTTAGATTATCAATTTTAGTTAATATTTAATTTAGTTTATTATTGAATATAAACCAACATTTATTTGTTGGTCTAAAACTTATAAACCAAATAAAAAAGAAATAAACTAAATAAAATATATATATATATGTTAGTAATTTACAAAATTCATCATCATCATCATTAGCCCTTTTTTTAAATGAAATTAAGAAAACTTTTCATAGTAGGCAAGTCAATAACTCAACCATATAAGAAGTTAGTTACTATGGTAACTTAAAATAGAAACAAAAACTTGAATGAGTTAATACTAAGTTATGACACAATACTATTATAATAATTATTCCTATATAATATTAATTTCATAGTTAATATCTGTGATGTTAAAGTCTGATATATCAAAATGAGATTGTGTAATATTTTTGAGAATTCAAAATATTAATAAGTTTAATGTCTGATACTGATGAGGAAGAAGTTCAAAGCAGAACAGTTAAAATTAGTGTGGTTGGTGAATCTTCAACTGGAAAAGTAAGTATTTATTATTATTTATTTATTAAAAATATATATCTCGACTGTTTATCATAACAGACTGCTTTTGATAATTACTACAGATTTCATATGACAGTAGGAAGTTTCTAACTTCTTTGATTGTTTACCTTTTATTCAGTTCACTATTTTCAGTCAACTGCAGTCAATAAACAGTTCAGACAGTGTAATTGTCTGGTCTGTACGTCAGGAGTCTTCACGCTATGAAAACCAGCAGTCAGCGCCTAGCGGTTTGCGTCTCATGCTATCAACAGTATTAAACTTAATTGATTAAATGTCATCATAAATCATAGTGATAGCAACGCCTTATGAAGTTGTTTGAATGGGGCTATTTATAAAATTCATTTAATGACTGTATAAATGAATAATTTAGTAACGAGTGGCAGTCGGACTCGCGCTTGGTTCTATACCATTATCAATAAAAAAAAGCTACTAGAACATGGAGTATGCGAGCCCTTTTAAATATATATTTTGGTCTGTTTTATAGTGGCGGCAGAAATTCATAATCTGTGAATATTTCAACTGTCTAGTTATCATGGTTCATGAGATACAGCAGAGTTTTAGGGTGCCGTTATTTGTACAGAACCCTAATAACTATTTATACCTATACCTTTGTGTTTGTAACATGGCACGCATGATGTATTTTTAAAACGTTAACATTTTAGACGAGTTTGTGTACTCGTTACTTGGGTGGTGGAGGAGTGGCGGCAGGCGGCAGCGGCACACAAGGTGCTGAGGTGATGGCGGGACAATGTCTCGGACTTCGCCCGCCTGTACCGCTAGAGCTGTGTGACGTAGCCGGCAATGCGCTCGCTACTCAAATGCTCGACAATTATTTGTATGCCTCTGATGTGAGTTTTTAAATCTATATTTTATTTTGATTGACACAAAGAACCGTTTTCTCTTTCCATACATTAATTGACTACCATTAGTGTTAATTTAAATCAGTTTTTGCTTAAAATAGAATTATATTTTAGCTTTTTTCCACGGGACGCGTTAGTAAAGTTTTAGGTCAAGGTTGTACATGATTCTTTTATACTATTGAGATTTGAATGAAGTAAGAACTGTCAATGGTGTTCTAACTTTTAAGGTTTCTTATTTCATCAAATTCTTATTTATTTGTTAAAAATATTTGCTCAAGTAACATATTACTTTTAGTCCAGTAATTATTTTTATTCGAATATAGATACGAGTACAGGACGTATGAAGTTCGAGACAACTAGTATATAATATTTTCAAATAGACGAGTTCCTTTATCCTATTGAGAATGCCCATTAAAATATTAAGAAAAAAAAAAATATTTTTCAGGTGATACTTTTTGTGTATGATTTGACGAACCTTCAGAGTTTCGAAAAACTAAACATTTGGCTTGAAACTATTAAACACATATTTGAAAGGGAAACGAAAAAACCTCTGATGGCACTTTTTGGAAACAAATCTGACTTGGAACACCAAAGAGCCGTCAGATTGTCATGTGTACAAAAATTTGCATCTGAACACCTTTTGGAAAACTTTAAGGGTTCAGCTAGAACTGGAGAAATGGTAAGTAGGGGAGACCAAGGGGTTTGAAGCTGAGGTGAGTTAAAACAGCTCTGTTTTCTCGAAATTTAAAAGCTTTTGGTGGTAACATTTCGAGAAATCTGCAACAACTTTCAACTCAACTTTGTTTTTAAAACTCCTAGGTCCTTAAAATACCATGTCCGCAGTATTCAGAGAATACTTCAATGTCACTATGTATTAGAGATCAAACGAATTATTATAACTTGATAATTAATAAACCCAAGTATTATTTGCACAATCCAGATCTACCAATTCCGAAGACCGCCAAGTATTTATATTATAATCAGTATTATTTTTATAACCTGAAGAAGTTTAATATAACAGACTAGTTTCTGTCTCTATTTCATTAGAAAGTCATCTGCGCATGTATATAGGTAAACTATTTGAGTTCCGTTTTATGTGCATCTTCTATTCTAGAGTAATAACTTTATTATATCATAAATGGATCAATTTATAAATACGTACGTATTTTAATAATAATATTGCTATATAGAAATAAGGACGCCTTTCTCATGTTGTGTAATTTGTTTCTTGTCCAATATAGAGAATTATTATTATTATTTAATTTCTTAACAATGAAACGCAATATAAGTAGCTCGGCGACGTAGTGGATAAACGCCGCGGCCCGCAATCGCATTTGTTAAGCAACTTTCGCTATGGTTGGTCACGGGATGGGTGACCAAAAAATTATTATCTCGAGCTACTCCGTGCTTCGGAAGGCACGTTAAGCCGTTAGTCCCGGCTGCATTTGCAGTCGATAATACCCTCCAATCCGCATTGGGCCAGCGTGGTGGAGGGTCATGGCCCATCCTCCTTACCCATCCATAAGGAAGGCCTGAGTCCCTGCAGTGGGGACGTAAGAAGGGCTGATGATGAAGTGCAATATATTAATGTTAATGTGCAATGGTTAAGAATGTACACTAATGCGATAGCGTGATGGTACAGCGACAAATTCTTCCATTTGATTCCTTCCATAGGGTAGGGAAGTGTTCTCACTTCTGGAGCATAATCCTTCAATACGCTAGTGATGTGAATGCATTGTGTAACTTCCATAAGTACCTATTAAAATCTTTCTTTCGTTAGGTTAACAACGCATTCACTAACCTCGTAGCCCGTGTTTTGGGCGCGAAGGTACGTCGCGCTTTTGCAAATGGCCGCTCGCCGATGATGGTGAGGGAAACGCAGACGCGAGAACACGGACCTTCCTCCTCACTCATCATGACCAGGAAAGCAGTACGACGCGCCCAAAGGACAGCCTCTTCATCAGTCTGCTGTGTTATATGACTTCTTTGTTATAACAATAAAACTGTTTACTCAATAATGGTCTTTCGTACTTCTATTATATTCGCTCACATTGAAAAGAAATCTTAGCTTTTATTGCCTATACTGCTCTTCACGTGAATATTTTGATAATCCAAAGAACATTCCTTTATTATATCTTATAGTGTCTTATAGTTTCAATTTAACAAAATAATTAAATCTTGCTTCTTAAAATGTTTAGACACGTCCCCTGTTTCTGTTACTCTGAGAACAACCGAAATAAATTGTTCACCGAGGTCTTTGGGCAAGCAGTCAAACGAATAACTGATTTTGACTCATTGGCATAAGGATGACGACTAATTTTTTGTTTGTTTGTCTTTCAGGTAGATTGTTGCAAAACTGTTAAACACGTATTTTTTTTTTTCGTAATTATTAAATTACGGCCATATATTGAGTGAAAATGTCACATGACGTCGCGTTTTGGTATATTTTTTACAAAATTGACGTAGTGACTAGTGAGCCCCTACTCAACTAATGTCTGTTATCTAAGCTATTTCTTGTTAAATTGAAGTATAATAAAATACGTATCTAATATTTTTCTATTATCTAATATTATCGTACTAAATAGAATTTCTGTTTTTCTACCCAGTAGTCATCCTTATTGTTCAGTTTACACGGTGATTACGACTTTAAACTGTCAGTTGAGTTAGAGAATAGGCCTCCTGGCGTCAATGGCGTAACTACAGGGGTCAGGGGTACTCTTTACTCCTGATATTTATTATTACACAATTAGTAAAAAAGAATAGAATATCCGATGAATTTGCCCCGGGCCTCAAACGGTATAGTTACGCCACTGGCTTGGGTGCTCTAACTCTAGTCATAATATTCGTTAAGATGTAGCATAGGATACGACATCTTAGCGAATATTATGGCGATATTTCATTTCAGTTTACTACTTTGACATGTAATATTAGCCTCTCGATGGATATACTGCTAATTTGGTAACAATGCTGTGAAATCCATAATCGTCATTCTTTATCATTCGTTCTTCGTTATTAAAGTACATGTCAAAGAAATAAAAGGGAACAAAATATCATCTATACTAATATTATAAAGCTCCTCTACAGTATTCTGTTCAATCCATTTTCATCAGTTTACCTCAAGGAACACTTCACGTTCCTTCACGATACGCACGCACTAGTTTTAAGGTCGTCGGAGAATCTGAGATTAGCAATACCAATGCATTCAAGTAAATTTCTTAATACACCATAGACTACCCAATTTTACAATTGTATCCTGAATATCATGTTAAGGATGCCTGGAAAAAAAATGCGTTTTAGCAATAATATATTGTTCATTTTTTTTTTGTTTGTACAAGAAGGAGATTTTCGTTCATTCATTCAAAGCCGAAGAATTTATTTGGTTGAACGAGCTAATCTTAGGAACTGATTCGAATCTTTTTTTGTATTGATTCGTTCGTTTATTTAGGAAGACTATAGGATATATAGCAGCATTACAAATGTCGCAAAAACGGTCAAACAAAAGCTAGTCGTACCATTAAATGTTTTTGAACGACTTATTCAACGATACTCCATACCATATGGTAGGAAAAAATCATAAAACTATGCTCATCATTAAATCGTGGATAGAAAGGGGGGAGAGGAGAGACGTTATCCGATTTCAAAGTAATTATACTTACTGTATTAATTATGACTTTGGTTGCTATAAAATATAATAATAAATTATCTGTCTTGTAAACGTTTCAGTAATAGAAAAGTACACAGACAACGTGCGATTCTGCATAATATGCAACTACTTGGGCAAAATCATACCAGCACTACAGTCGCGATGCACGAGGTTCCGGTTCGCGCCGTTGCAGCAGAGCCAAATAGTGCCCCGGCTGAAAGAGATCGCGACCGCGGAAGGGTATGGATTATTATAGCATTTCCAGATATCAACAAAAATAAAGGGCTCAAGACCACAAGACACAATACTGTTTTGACCTGTATGAGATATTCTAGTCGAGGATATCAAATTACTTATACTACAGGAAAATTAACTTTTCTATTTTATCTCGGGTCTAAATGTTATGGTACCTTCGTTGTATTTTCATAATCAATGCTGTCTAGTTAATTTGGGATCTGAGTGATGTATCTGATACTGTAAAATTTTCATTTTATTTGGGATAACGACAACATCAAATTACATTTCAGTACTTAATTCTAGCATTTACTTATAAGACCAATACCTTTTTTTTTTTCTTTATAATGGACCCCAATCCAACCGAAGGACTAAACTAGACTAAATGAGATCTACGTTGGGATGAGCTTGCCCAGAAGGAACCTATTCACTCTTGCCTTAAATAGGTCTAGGTTACATGCACTCGGAAATAATACCTTATAAGCGCAAAAAATAATACACTGACATAATATGTCAGTGCAGATTTTCATATGCATGATACTCGTATATATCGGATCAATATCAAATATCGAAAATTTTGATATGCTAGGGTTTTAGATATTTCATCTTTTAAATCAAAGGTGTAAAATAAAAACTGAGTTAGAGGTATTTAATATTTATTTAGTTATTATGAAATCATTAAAAAGTAGTATGCGAGCGAGGATTTCCAGTAACGTATAGGGGAAAACGCGATAGTTCTAGTAAGATTGCTACTTCGGGTCAATGTTGCTAGCGTCACATCGGGTTGGTTAATTTTCAAGAGACTTAATACTGAATACTTAATACTCAAACTAGCAATAAATATTAATGTATACATCAATTAGTTAGTCACAAAATAGTATGGGTACCTACAGGGTAAAAATGTCCGAGGACGGTGTCAAAGCGTTGTTGACATTGTCCGGCGGCGACATGCGTAAGGTGCTGAACACCCTGCAGAGCACGTGGCTCGCATACCGTGACGTCACCGAGGACCACGTGTACACGTGCGTCGGACACCCGCTGCGTGCGGACATCAACGCTATTATCAACTGGCTACTCAACGAGAACGACTTCTCTACTTGCTTTCAAAGTATCCTTTTCATTGCACTTTTATACAGGGTCGGCTGTCCGGTGACGTCGCCCGCGTAAATACAGCCTCTGGCATCCGATCTTTGCACCAGTAGTTTCGAAGATTATTCGATGCAAACAATCAATATTTGTCTAGATAAACTATCAAGAAGAGCTAGATGACTTAGGGTTTGGTCTACGATGCGAAAAAGCAAATACGCAAGTAGTGCTCATGCGATTGGTTCTTGTACTCGTCCAATAGAGGGCTGGCGCGATGGTGACCGTAGAAGCGAAATACCGTACATAGAAACCAGGTTCTGCGTGCATATTGTAGGGATTTAGGCGAACACCTTGCGCGACAGAGATAGCACGCGAAATTTTTAGACATAACTCGTGCGAATTGTGTCATACAGTGGGATTATTCTGTTGGTGCTCGAACTGAAATTTCGAATCTTATAATTTTGTTATAATCATATTCGTGAAAATTATCTGTGCATCAGAGGCAGACCCACCTCCATTGCATTTAGAGCATTCCATACTTTTTTTAAGGTAAAATTAACTTATGGGAAATTTAAGGAAAAAATTGAACACATTTTTTGCATTTTTTATTTTTCCATGTATATTTGTTATTAATCTTAGCTTTGGTTAACAGTCTTGTTATCGTTAAATTAAAAGAATCTGAGCAATTCAGAAACCATATAGTAGAAATTACGCAAATTTAGTACGGATAGCAACCCTAATTGCATCATACATTATAATCGAAATATACGTTTATTTGAAGTTGTATTAGCATTTCAAAAAAGACGAGCTGTATCTACCCGCACATTGTGGCGGGCCAAGGCGCGTATTGCGATGTTATTAAACCAGTTCGGTCTTGTCGCTCAGCGTACGTGTGTTTTTAAAAAATAGTATTTTCGTAATTTGTAAGAATGTCGATAAATACTGAGATATTTGTAGGTGCAGTCAAATCTAAACCAGCTATTAACTACTGTTACCAACCCTACTGTTTCAATAGTAGATTTGCTGTTTTCACATCGATGCCCCGATTTTCTTTTTAATTCCTTTTTTTACTGTTTTTCAATAATAACTGATTTGAAGCCACGGAAAGGTTTTGTCACAATCAAAACATATTTTTCTTTGTTGGACAAATATCACAAAACCCCATTGACCATTCTTCCATTTTTTTCATAGATAATTATATTGCTTTTTTAAAGGGAAAGATAAATATGTGTGGCGCTTTGTACCCGAGGGCTTTACGGATCACTTTTACAATAATCGTTCCTTAATAAATATACAGATATTCAAGATGTGAAGCTTGTTAAGGGACTGGCTCTCGGTGATATTTTGACGGAAGTACATACACTCATACAAAGATGTAAGTACAGAAATGTTGTAACATTAAAAAAAAAATAGCACACAGTAGCAAGTCAGGCTGCCAAAATATATCAAATTCTGTGATTGATTTTGAACTCTATTTTCACGGCATTAAAGATCACGGTCAAGTGGAGAAATTTTACAGTTTTGTTTAACCTTACGTGTTGTTATTGTACATGATGTAATGATATAACATTCTGCACATACTCTCATGCGTATGCCATATTACCATCTGTAATAGGCTGTTTTACTGTGTTATAAAAATACTTGTATGTTTCAATTTAATAGTATAAGCTACAAAATAAGATATTTCTTTAACAGAAACTCTTGCTTTAAAATGACATCTTATCTTATATATATAAAAAAATGTGTCACGATGTATGCTGCCAATAAACTCCAAAACTACTGAACCGATTTTGATCAAATTTTACATGTACCCGTATTTTGGTCTAACTTACTGGATAGGATAGTAACCATCTCAATTATTCGCTTATGTCGTGAATGTAAATTTTATTCGTTTACATAAAGTGTTTATTTACAGTTTAGTTTTATGAAGTTTTCATAGATGGCGGTTGATTCATAGATAAAATTCTTCAATATCGTTTGGCGCTGTCCTCTAGATGACGTTTATTCTAAAGTAATCTGCGTTAACGTTTCTTTCAAAGAATTTTGCATAGAATACGTTTTCGATTAAGTTTTTTGTAAACTTCAGAACTGTTTTTGTTTTCATCTGTATTTCAAATTGCATTGAATTGGATTAATATATCTAAAGTTTCAAAGATAAAGTGCTGAAACATATTGGACATTTGCTGGTTTTTTTGTTGTACTATATTCAAACTTAAACATCAAGTTAGTTTCATCATTAGCACAAAAACAACAGCGTTTTTGGAAAATATGTGGCCAAAGTAACTATATTACGCGGATGAAGTCGCGGGCAAAAGCTAGTTAATATATATTTTTATAGGCAACATCACAAAAGCTCATGGGTTCGAGTCCCATCTCAGAGTGCCAGGGTCAAAGTAGGTTTTTAAAAAATTTCCATTAAAAATATTTTTCAGAATATATTTGTTCCTTTAATTATTTTTTGTCGAGTTTTATGTAAAAACCCTTCTCTATAAGGCGCAATTTCCGTTGATATTTCCCCCAATAAAAGGCGATACCATAATCAGTTTCAAAACCTGTAAAATGTTTGCAAAGAAATAAAATCGTAGGTAATTATTCCACCACCTTCCGGCTATCATACCATCGAAAATAAACAAAGCCAATTTAAATAACCTCTAGACGAACCATTCTGTCTCGCGGGGTATTTATGTGATGCGATATATCGCACTCCCGGTGCGACACTGTCACTTTTGCAAAAATTTAGTTTTTCAGGAGAAGAGTTTTAAACTCTGCCACCTCACAAAACAATGACTTTAGAAGATACAGATGAGATGAATTATATAGAACATAGTTCCGTATGATTCATCTACAAAAGTAACATTATCGCACCAAGTAAAGGGGGCTTTAGGACAATTATTACATATTTAACAAATTTTTGTATTTTTTGCAAAAGTGACAGTGTCGCACCGGGGGTGCGATATTAATCATTTGTTACAGTGAAACTACCTCCCGAAGTATTGATAGAGCTATTGATCAAGATGTCAGATGCGGAGGCGCGATTGGCTAGCGGATGCAGCGAGCGCGTGGAACTAGCCGCGCTCATAGCTGCTTTCCGAACCGCTCGAGAACAACTTCCATCTTACACTTTAACTTAGAAGGATTAAAAATTACTTATGCATTACTTCATTGAATTTAATATTCACATTTTTTCTAAAGCGAGGTACAGATTATTTGTAAAGTTACATACATTACAATACTAGTATAATGTCCATGAATATTACGCGCACGCCATGGAAGTGTTCTTAACTATAGCGTTTAAATTATTTTATTAAACCAGTGTAAAAAAAGACCGCAGACACCATCGTGGACGAAGAACTGGAGATGGTAGAGAAGTAACCTTATATGTTGTGAATAACCTATACCTGGCTTAAAACTAATTAGTATTTTGGATTTTAAATGTGTTAAAAAATGATAATAAACGCATTTAACTGTTAAAAACATCGTAATACTTTATTGATAAGATACCTTTTCCACGATCAGTGTGAAAATTTATTTTTATAAACTGTCTAATTTCGTATAAGGTTTTTTATTCGCGCCAAAACGGGGAGAGCCTCTCGCCATCCATTCTTACCGTTATTAGTACTTGCAGTGCCGTAGCTGGACGAATCTAATTTTCTTTACATACAGAATAACAGGCGATATTAGATTTCTGGATAAAGGGTGATACATGTTAGTGACGGCTCATGTTTTTAAAGAGAATTCTAAAATTCTTTCCTTTCGCCTCTTTGGCACCTTTATCTGAATCTAAGAAAATAGGGTATTCTACTCTTAACTTCTAAATAGGACTTATGTTTATTTTAATTTAAAAAACGCCTAAACTAGTACTTTGGAAAATAAAGACGTTTTCTTGCCTAATAATTTAATCAAAATTTTAACTTATTATCTTTACCCGACTGACCGAATCACATATTGACATGACTGACATCATTCCGTTATGTACACAACACAGATGCATCGAGTAGTGGATTTAAAAATGACTTTTAAAAATGTGACAACTAAAGATTGATTTCGAATTAAAAAGATAATGTAAGATCAGTATAACCATGTAACAATTTGATTTATAATAAATAGGCGATGTTTACGAGTAATCTGATAATGTTGCCGGAATAACGTCACACTATGGTAGGTCGTGTTTCAAGTCACGTGACGACGTGACACACAGAAAAAATCTTTACTTTAAATTATATGTTATTCATGCAATTTTACGACTCAAAATCAGAAAGTCTATATTTATTACAATGTAAATTTTAGTTTTTATGCAATTTCGTGACTCATTTTTCACTACGAAAACTACCCTACCCGTTTTACCCGTAAAGTAAAATATTAGCTCTATTTGGTCGATAGTTTTGGAGGAAATGTTGTTAGAGACGGGCAACAGCGTCTACCACCCGGTTTCTTCATTGGGTATTTAAAGTTAAGCACCTCTCAAACTACTTAAACGTCACACAAATAGGTTAAGTTATTGATAATTACCAGATGAGACAGATTCAATTCAGAAACTAGCCTTACTCTTATAAATATAAGGGTTCCCTATTTTTTTCCACTTTATGGTACTAAAATATGCAACTTTAAAAGTTTATAATAATCATCCGAGTTGATAACATCAGAATAAGGTAGAAAAATAAGACATTAAATATTGTCACAAAAATAGTATTTATTTCATCTTACACAAATTCATATTTGTAAGTAACATAACCTGTTAATGTTAACATATCTGTTTTATTGACCAAGTTTGATTAAAAAAAATCAAAATAACTTAACAACAATAACTTTAAAATATAAGGCACGGTAACCAAACAGAATTTCGTACAACATATTGCTATTGCACCCGCACAGATGCATCTAGCCAATTTTGTCATAGTAAAGTGAATGTAAAATATTTACAATATCTATCAGTAGGCACAAAGTTCAACGTAAGATATTCTTTCTGTTCGGCGACCGTGCTATAACTACATTTCATCTCTTACTTTAATATAGAACCATTTATTTAGGAACGCAAATGCTGAGCTAGTATGACTGGTCATCATCAGTCGATAGGGGCCGTCCATAAATTACGTCACACAAAATTCATGATTATAAAAAATCCCCCCCCCCCCCCCTCTCCTGTCACATATTTGTCTATACAAATTCTACTAAATATTGTTCTAGTGTCACAGTACACCCTTCCCCCCCCCTAACATGTGACGTAATTTATGGATAGCCCCATAGAGCGATTTCTGTGACGTATTTTTATTGGTCGATCAAATGAGCTTACTGAACTCACCCGCATTCTGCATGCGGGCTGTCGACCAATTGTAAATGAGCCGTTAAGATACGCGGTTTTAAGTGTCTTCAGCAGAGCGATTCTGTAAAAATCCGAATCCACGTCATTTAGTGTAGAAATTATGTTGATCCCTTTTTTGTACAAAAATACAAAACAAGATTGATCGATTCATACATGTCTGATATTCTATTCCTATATCATTTCAAAACTCACTTCACTTATGCCACGAACGTTATTACCAATTCAAGGTTGAACGGATGCCGCTTTTTGAAGTGAAATTTTACAGAATCGCAAGGCTGGTTTAAAATATTACTCGAAAAGTTTTACGCTTATTGTATCCTCATGATTTAGTCACCTATAGATACGTAATTACGTATACTTAGTTTTCTTTCGACACTTACATTATATAGGTGTATATGTCGTTTTCAGTTTATTCACCGGCCCTAGAAAAAACACCATATCGTAGAGGTAAATACGATAGTTAATGGCATATATAAAACAAAAATAATGAAAATTACTGATCAATAAGTAAAATATTAAATTAAGCAAGAAGAGACTGATAAGTTTATGTTATTAGAAAAGAAAGTTATTACAGATTTTTTTTTAAATATACTAAATAAGATACGAATTAGGTTACAAATTAGGACACTATATATAAAATGGAATACAAGATAATTTGGACGACGTCTTAAACTCCGAAATTCGAGTTCTGTTCTACAATTTTAAAATGCCAATAGTACAAGTCCTCTCGATAGGTGACTGAATCATAATAAACCGCTCTACCCTCATGTGGACTCTAAACTCTTTGAGCTCATAAAGCAAGTGCGAACGCGCACTCCATACACTGATAGTCGTCAAATATACACTTACACATCACTCTGAAAGTGTATCAATAAATAGGTGTCAAATTTATTGAATAGGATTCTTCATTCCTTACTAAGTACACTCATTTGTATTAATAAAAAATGTAAACTGTGAGTGAAAGTCAAGAATTCCAGTAAAATGCCTAACAAAATAGATCACAACAATTATCTTTTGACATTAGATGATATAAATTCTTCCATGGCTGCCCTAGATATTCTGTTGTTAACTTTGTTCTCACAAATAGCTACTGCGGCATCTTCCCAAGGCCATTGCACGCGGGACGTGTATGCAGTTGGCATATCAACACGAGCATCCTCCGTTATAAAATATTCGCTCCTATTATCTCTTGTATTATAGTAATACTTATGTTTAGTTGATTTAGATATTTGCGCTATCCATGGCTCTGAAAATAAATTAATTTTGCTATAAATATAAAATAATTGGCTATTAGAATTTTTTTACTGGTTTGCACAACATAGATATAAGAATCGCATCCGTTTATTATTTTATAGCATTTCTTTTGATATTACATGGGGCCCATTTCATAATGAATTATCACGAAACGTAATGTTTGCAGATTTACCAATACTTAAAATTAAATGAAGACAACCACTTGACGATGTGAACAATTCTATGATACATAGATTAAAGAAGAAGGAAAATATAGAAAATGATGTATAGGCTACACATACCTTTAATTTCTTTTATAAACAAAACTGATCCAACCATGTAATACATGCCATCTCTGTTGATTCTATTTGGTGTATCAATAGTCACAGCCTTTTTTATGCGTTTCATAGCACGATACTCCAAATAATTCATTGCTGTTGCAAAATTTTCCATATTAAACATTCTTTTGCATCTGATTTTCAAGGCGTAAATATCAAATGGTTTATTGAGGGCAGTGCAAAATAAATCGCACTGTATTATTCTGAAAAAAAAAACTGTATGTAGAAGTTTGTAATTTAAATAATTAACATAGTAATTACTATACATAAATATTATAAATTAAATATAAAAATAACAGAATTATTGTTTAGTTTTAATTTAAATACTCTATAGTTTTAAAGGGTATGCAATATTCACTTATATTATAATAATCTAATGCATTAATTTACTATATTTAGTAAAATTTGTTCGATCAAGTTGCGTCATTTACATTCTGGTTCAAACAGTGAATCCTTCCGCACAGTCAGGTTAACGAAATAGCTACATATGAATAACAGGGTTGGTTCCCAATTCGCTATTTTACTATTTTGGAAAAGTTTTTGAAAACTTTCATACGAACATATTAAACCACAATCTAGATTTTTTTAATTTATTATATATTTATTAACATTTCGAGCTGTGATATCACAATTCAATAAACATGAATACTGGGGACTAATTGTCTAACTTTAAATCTATCGCCATCGCTTTCAGTTTGAGAGATGTTGTATAACCATTGCTTGTTTCTGTAGATAGTTGAAAAAAAAGTATTTGTATTATGCAGCAATGGTTGTGCAACACCTTTCAAACTGAAAGCGATTGCAATAGATTTAAAATTAGACAATCAGGGGGCTGGTTGTATTCGCAACAATGAAGTTGACGTATGGTTTATTGAATTATGACGTCACAAGATGCTCCGTCATGACCGCGATTCGGCTCCTATAATACACAGACTACAATTTTATTCCAATGATACATCATCGATGCAGATTTGGGTTTGAATAGTGCAGCCATCTACCGAGTTTTGCGTAGTATTCCCTATTGGTGGGTAAGAATATACACAAAGTTGTAATACATACCGGTCAGTGAGGGACATATATGAAATGTCAACTCCACCCAACATCATAGCATCAATGATGTGTAGAGCTTTACTGAAGCTTTGTGTTGTACCTTCACCTTTATATTCTTTTATTACCTGCAAGTATAAAAATATATGTAAACCTTAACATTATTTTACTTAAAAATCGATGTACGGTAATAAAACTGTGCGTTTTTTTAACTAATAATAAAATTAAATAATAATAAAAAATTACTTCTGCATAAATTAAAGTTTTCGCCGGCAATCTCAACTGCAAGTCAGTAGCGATTTTCCATGTACTACCTTCTAACTGAAATACATGTTTTCCTCCACATCCTATGAATGAAGAATAAAGATGTTGAATGTAACAATTTTGTTTATTTATAATAGCACAAAAATAAAACTATATTACCTATAAATATTCTTAAATCTGGATTATTTTTACCGCTGCTCAGAAACATAAAATGCCAATCATATACATGCTTAAAAATGTTTAAATCAGAGGGGGTCTCTATATACGTGGGGGGTTTGTTTAAGGTATTCGTTTTAAAACCGTGAGTGCTACTAGTCAAAGTTTTTTCTTTTAGTGAAGACAATATATTTTGCAGAGTGTCATCGGGTCCGAGGCGTTCTGGTTGTTTCCTGACTTCATCTGGTAACTAAAACAGAAAAAATAAACTAAACAATGTGTTACACTGTTTGTGTGCCTGTATAAAATCCAGTTTATGTACATGTCGCGGCCATATCATAGAATCATTTCATGATCCGGCCAGCCATTTCATGAAATGGTTGTATTTCACGAAATGGCCACCTAAAATTGATCATATCGTTTAAGCGTCAATGTTGAATGATATGGCAATCCACGTTTGGATATATTATTAATGTAGGGTGCCCAAAAAAGAAATAGCTTGTTTAAACATTAGCGTTATCATTTTGTGGTCTGAAAAAAAATACCCCAAAATGTAATACGACTGCTACGCTACGCTTCGCGATCTTCTTAAATTTCTCACCTATCACGTGACTTACAGTAGTGAATCATTTCATTTTGTCCAATGGTGTAAAATAAATAATTTTTCACACATTCCATTTATTCAAATGAAGAAATAAATTCAAAAACTAAAACTCGACTACAGCTAAAGAACAATGTAAAAATTTTGAAACAAGAAATTCATTTCCGCCACACTGTCGTATCCTCAGCAGTAATCCTTAATCTACCCACGTGTTAACTGCTGTGTGTCTTTACAATTCCAAGCAATCTACAAGTGAAAAAAAGAAAGCAATATGTAGATCTTGGGAGTACAACAGCCTTTCCCAAAGTGGGCGATAACGCCCCCATGTGGGCGCTGCAGGCCTAAAGGCGGGCCAAGGGTAAGAGACCCAAAATATAAATGGGGACGTTGTGTAGAGGCTTGGGAGTTGGGTGATTTGTTATTTAATTTAGCTAGGAGTAAAAAAGAAGAGACAGCAATACAGAATATATAAAAATAGGATTCATTGAAAATCCCACAAACCCATCGTCGCCTTTGCCTTCTATGTCTAAAAACATTTTCTAATGAAGCAACTTATGAAGCACAGTAGTTTTTCTAATGAAAAACTACTGTGCTTCATAAACCGGCCACAGAGATTATCCGAAAAAATACTTTGAGTAATGTGCAGAGACGAATTAATGAAATGGCTGAAAATATTGAAGGATCATTGTGCGATTAAATGAGAATAAGTCAATTCTCAATTCAATTCGATGAGTCCACTTTACCAACTAATGAAGCATTGTTGCTGTCTTACGTGAGGTTTATTAAAGATGAGAAAATACATGAAGTAAACAATATTACTAGAAATTTAGAGACCGATACAAAAGGCGAAAGCATATTCAATACATTGAAAACGTTTTTTAATGAGAAAGAGATTACCTTGAAAAAATTATATCAGTTGCTACGGATGGTGTTTCGGCTATGACAGGGTGGGTGCCATAAAGGCTTCGTAGCGCACTTTAAAAACAGAATTCCAGATGTCCTTGCTGTACATTGCGTTATACATAGACATCGTTTGGTCGCTAGAAACTTAAGTGAACGACTATTACAATTACTGCAATATGTTATCAAGCAGTCAATAAAATCTCCAACAGCTCTTTGAATGACAGAATATTTCGTCAGCGTTGTGTTACTAATGACGAGGATTTTAACCGTTTGTTGTTCCATATTGAAGTTCGTTGGCTATCAAGAGGCAATTGTCTGACTCTATTTCGGTTAACCTGGTTCCCTCTGTAATAGTTCTTGGAAACTAAAGATACAAAATTGCACAACAAGCTCATTACATCGAAGAATGATATAGCTTACAAGACAGACCTGTATAAATTGTTCAACGACATGAATGTCCTACTGCAAAGCGATGAACTAATTTTAATCAAAACAAAAAAAAGCAGCAACGAGCTGCTTTCGCAGCCAAATTGCTTCTACACAAAAAGAATATGGGCAGACGTGAGTTTCACAATTATCCCAATTTATCAAAATCCTGCAAGAACGACGACTTATTTGCCTACTGCCAACATTTGGAAAACCTCCATATTGACTTCATCGAACGATATCAGCATTTTGAACTTGGAAATATCAGACTGGGTGTTGGATCCGTTTTCAAATATCAACACAGCAATGTCACCTCAGCTGGAAGAAGAACTTATAGAATTGACAACAAACTAGGAAATAAAAATCAAGTTCAAAAATGGTTACCACGAATTTAGGCTACAAAAACCGATCTCGCAATTGTACCCTGAATTGAGATCGTTCTATGATTCTTGTTAGCATTCGTCATATTTTATTTTATTTTCGTCATATTTATGGATTTAGTGCTGTGGCGACACTTCTTACTAAAAAGAGAAATCGTTTACTTATTACCGAATGTGGCGACTTGCGACTGTTCTTAAGTAAATTGGAACCTGATATCAACAGACTTAATAAACAGCATCAGATTCATCCTTCACATTAGTTTTTATATAAGAATCAATTATGCTTGTTTTATTTTGAATAAAAGATACTCTGTTTGAATAATATTAAGTTGCGTTTCAATAATCATTTTCATTTTCATGTGTAGCCCGTAAGAGTTAACTTGAGACCTGAGCGCCATTGCGTATTACCTACTGCGCTCAGGTTTTAAGTTAACTCTTGCGAGTTACAGGAAAAATCTCGTTTAATGTTAATGTTTAATCTCCGTTTATATGGCTTACAATAATGAATAAAGTTAATTTGAAGTTATAGTGGTTTTTAAGTAGGTACAAAATGGGGGCGCTAAAAAATAATTTATTCTCATAGTGGGCAATAGACAAAATAAGTTTGGGAACCCACCCCTGGAGTAAAATGTAAGCCATCTCAAAATCACTACACCCAGGATCGACGTCTTTAAAGTACCAATAACAAGGACGTCAATGAACCCATCCAGCCTGTCGAGAGCCTCCTATAGGTGAGCCAAATATTGCATTAACTTATTACCTCATATCCAAAAAATAACTCATACAGAAGATATATCCTGCCTGCATGTGTTGTTCTTTTTGATGTTGCCACATATACAAGTTTGTTTTGTCATGATAAGTGGCATACGACTACGCTGTCCCTTGGTCATCCCTATTATAATTTAGCCATCGCTATAAAATAAATTTCATGTTTCAAACTTTTTAGAGCGTGATTTAGCTGTGGTCGGGTTTTTTATTTATATACTCGATATATATCAAATATACTCGCACGAACTAACATAACTCGTACGAGCTAGAATGACAATTTTACAACGTGCAAATAAGTTGTAATTCGAACTTAAAAATATATTTAAAAAAAAACACAAAGTTAGTAAATCTTATCTTTATAAAAAAAAAACAAAAATAATTTGAAACTAAGATATTATAAAAAACACGAAACTATTTCATATTTATTAATTTTCGATACTCAATTTACTTTTATTACGTCAGAAAGAAAATTTGAATGAATATCATAGACAATTATCCGAAAATCTCTAGTGACATCTATTTTACTTTCAAGAACTAATTTTTACTATCATATTTCATCAACTTGCAATCACAATGCTATACTGGAAAATATTCGTAATTAAAAATTTCAGATAAAAGTCATAAATAACCAATGAGTTCCGTTTTTTAAATATACGTAGAGAAAATTAAGATTTTTTAAATACATATATTTTTCTGCAACTACTTTTTATAATTAACTTAAACTTCAAATATAATTATAAACGTTATAAGATTATTTAACTTGTAAATAACAAAATAAGACTTTTACTGAAAATGGGAAGTGACGACGTACCTATAGATTATTCAGTGATAATGAATCGGACCGGTTTTTTAAAGGTTCTGGTCACGTTCTGATATATAATATTAGAAGCCATTTATTATTTAGTTTTTCATTAACATGGGACCCAGGGTGAGCCGGGCCCACACCTACAAAATATATCTACGCCAATGTGAATGCTATGTTAACAGATCAGAATCGCGCAATTATTTTTATGTGTTAACTATTCCGTTGTCTACCGCTTATGTTCCTATACAAATACTCATCGAGATTAAAGACGCATTCGCTTCATACAATTTCATACATTATTAATCACAGAAAATAAAGGTAATTGATAAACACAAAAAAATATGTATACTTTAGATTATATCAAAACCTATTTTGTTTATAATTTTAGATAGTTAAGATTTTACGACTAATATAGTTGTAAAATCGATCCAAAAACCTATTTCGAGTCACCTTTGCGTTTTCTTTCTATCAAGCCAATTACTTCAATTTATGTTTCTGTTTTCATCAAGCAATCGATCATGTTTAATTTTCATAAAATTATTTTTTTATTCTTAGAATAAAATTGGTTTAAAAAGTGGTAATTTCGTACAACCTCGATTTCCGATTCAGAATCATTTATTCATTCACCAGAAACATGGCACGCTATACGCTTGTTAATGTTATAGGTATAATTATATAAATTTAAATAACTATTCAATGTCACTTTACACACATACATACTATTCAATGTCACAATACTACTATTCAATGTCACTTTACACACATATACACATATACTATTTAAATTATGCGCCTCGGTATATTTCGTGTTTACGAATTTAACCTATCAAGAAACCAATGTGTGATCATCGTTTTAGCCGCCAAAACTCGTCAGTACCTCGACTGTGATGGAAGTGACAGCACGCAATATTTCAGTATTAAGAATTGTATAGAGCTGTAATACGCCAAATTACCTTATTTGAATATAGGTACTAAAACGTTGGTTCCAGCAGCGACAGTAAGGGGGCGTCCGTAAATTACGTGAGATGTTTAAGGGGGGGAGGGGGTCGAGGCAAATCTCATCTAATCTTACGTTGGAGAGAGGGGGGGGTCTCGGCAAATATCACGCAATTTTTTTTCTGATTGAAACAAAAAAAAATACTATTTTGGTCCATTTAATCTAGATTGTACATGCTTAAGATTTAATCTTAAGCGTAATCGTATACGATTAAAATCATTCACTAATTCGTTCGAAAGAAAATAATTTCATTCATATTTCGACGCTATACATCGACTGAATGTCAAACCACCATATTTGTAGGGCTCGAACGATACTTTCGATACCGAGTAGGTATCGATACTTTCAAAAGCGATACTCGATACTGAGTACTCGATACTACAACAAGGCAAATACTCGCAAGTACTCATCAAATTGCATTTTGAAAAATCTCACGTGAGATTGGGGGATGGGGGAGGGGGTTGAATAAAATCTCACGATATCTCACCAGAGGGGGAGGGAGGGGCAGAAAATTTAAAAAAATACCTCACGTAATTTATGGACCCCCTAATGATTCTTGAGTCTGAAATGTCGGGTATAGAAGTCATATCAAATTGTGATTAATTGATAAATTTATATTAATTGATGAATTTTGTTTTATAATAAAACTGTTCTACTTACTGGTGTCAGAAACTTATTTAGTTAGTACAACCGATTTATCATAATTCGACTTTCTTTAATCTTGGGTTTTCATTTTGGTATCAGCTAATGGCAAGAAACACAGTATACTTTAATTTTTAAATTGGCTGACCTAATCTAAATTTAAGCGAAATGATTAATTATGTAATAACAACTCTATATAGATATCTTGAAAAATACTTTAGGATTACCGAAGCTTGATGAATATAACCGAAGCGCATAATTTAAATAGTATATGTGTACCTTTGTATTAATTTAGTTATTATAATCATCAATGTCAAGTAATTATTATTATGTTAAACATATAAAAGAAGAATTTAATGTATTTAGCTAATACGAACAGACAGCAGAAAGCCACTTTGTCTTATATTATGTATGATGATGTTAGATACTTACATGCCACAGTTTCAGACATTGTTCCCTCATGGTCGCTTGGTTACTTTCCTTCAAACTTTTATCTTTACTATAAGCAGCTATTTTAAGCAAATTTTTAATTTGTTTCTCACCTAAACTGGTAAACAAAAATTTTATTTAAATAAATACCAAAATGTACTTAAGCAATGCTTATATACTATCACAGTATTATAGTATTTCTGTAGCACAAATTAGAGATTTTTCCTAGAGCAGGCGAAAAAAAGTGTATTGATAAAAACTAATGTGTGTTAAGTAAGCGAAATAAATCGCTACCACGATACCAGTGCAAAGCACTACATTTTGTGGTACTGGACAGTATAGGTCACTGTTCCCACCCGGTACAAGAAAACGCAATACTCCGCAGAAACGATAAAAGAGTATAAGGTATTTACTTTTAACACTCACATAATACTCTGTATCATTTACCAATTTTTCACCTGACCCGGAAGGCCTACTCTGTTTCTTCGAAAACGACAATTTGTCTACTTTCGAAACCCTAATACGACTCTAAACATTTTTCGATAATTAATATTGAAACGAAGGTAGGACCCTGACACTACTTCTGATGCACAGATAATATTGACGCATATGGTTGATTAAAAATTGTAAGAACGATTCGAAGTTTTTGTAATTTTCGACCGTAGACAAACAGTAACCTCTCGGGATTCGATTATAGATTAAATTTAGTTTTATACCTGTCAAACGGTTTTTAATCTTTAAAACTAAGGTAACATAAATTAATTTATTATATAATAGTATACAGGTGTCTAATGAATAACTTCAAAACACTACCAAATTAAGATTAGATTGTTTTTTGTGTAACAGAATGGATCAACAGAATAGGGATGATGACTGGATAAAAAAAATGCAATTCTATTTACTACGTCAGTCAGATAATAGAAAAATATTAGATACGTATTTTTTTTACTTCAATTTAACAAGAAATAGTATAGATAACAGGCATTAAAGTTGAGGAGTGGGGGCACGCTACGTCACAGTTGAGTAGAAAACGTACTCTAACGTGACGTCATGCGAAATTTCAACTCAATGTAACGCCATAATTTTATGATTACGAAAAAAATAAAAAATACGTGTTTAATATTTTTTAACACTCTACCTGACGGACAAACAAACAAAAATTAGTCATCATCCCTATTGCTAGCAGTATATGTGATACATAATATAAAGTGATACATACACACAGTTACTTGAGAATATGTATTCAAAAAATTTGCTGTCCTCCTGGATAACATTTAAGGGGACGAGTTCTGTGACATCATCATCGCTATCGCGCTCATCAGATAAGATACAATTCACATGATACAAATGTTGCTCAGCAGATTCCGTACCCAATTTTTTCCATTTACATATCAAATATCTTTCAGAGTTGGCAGGTCTTGACGTCACAGGTTTGTGAATGCACACTAAAAATATTAATTATTTTGTTATATAACTTGGAGACATTTAAAATTGCTGTAACAATATTCTGGTGATAATCACATGTACCTTGATCAAAACATTTATACATGATGTAAATTAAACCCACGCTAAAGAGAGTAAATACATCAAACAATTTAACGACAAAATGTCCTCCAGTCCTAACAAGCATGAGTGCAGCTAAACATTGACATAGATACAATTGTTTTGAAAGGATCTCCTGTATATTTTCTTGACCTTCTACTGAAAAACCCTGTAAGTAACATAAACGCTTAGTTAATCAAAGATATATTGTTTTGTAACAAAGTTTGCCAAAAGCTTTGAACGACGAAAACGACGGTGCTTCTCTTAGATTTGATCGTAACGTAACATAATAATGAGCAATACTTACACCATCTGCCATTAAAAAGTGTACTCCTTTATCATTTGTTTGTTTTAAGACGTAATCTTTCAAAGACGTCAGGTTTTCAGGATCAAATATATTACCGTCGCCCTTCTTACCGTAGTACGCGTCAAAGGTTTCCGGGGGACCCGCATAAAAATCGGACAGCTTGAAATCGCATGGGCCTTGCAAAGTAAATCCAAAACCTATAATTTTAATTAATATCATCAAAACAATGTTGTGTTGAATGTATCAACACTTAGGTATAATATGTAGTGCTCTAAAAAACTAAGTGCAAGGGTAATGCTATTAAAAAAATAGTAAATAAAAAATAAGAAAACACGAAGTCGAAAATTTTTATTAATTGACAAAAAGTATTTGCAGGGAATTTAAAAACAAGATTAGTGTTACAACACATCTCGTTAACATGTATAAAACTAAGTATTTGTACCTACCTTTAGCCCGCCATCCTTTTTTATACAAAACATATTCAGAGAAACCGCCGGGACCAGCACAGACATCCGCGAAATATAATATTTCTTTATTATCTATAACAGGCTTTCCACTTCGAGTTTTTGGATTAGTAAACATAAAATCAAATACTGCATCAATATTTGCCATTTTTACAGCTGCTCTGTTAAGAAATATTACAGAACCAATTGTTTCATAGGGATTGCTACGAAAACGTGCGTGTCTTAGGTCTTCGTCATCCAAGGTATCAAAAATAGTCTGTAACAATAATTAAGTAATTATAATATTGAGAAGTAATAAGAACCACAAACACGAAATTTTCGATTTGCCATCTACTTAGACCAAATGTTTTTTTTATATCTAAACAAATGATATGTTGAGGGAAACCTTTGAATCAAGAACTCCTTTTAATATATGTGGCTCCACGAACAAAGTTTCATCATTTATAGTCAATTTCTTTGGTCCTTTTCGAAGCCATTCATCTAATAAATCTCCAGACAATGGTTCGTCCATTTCAGATGTTAACCAGACCTATAGGATAGAACATTACATTTTGTTAATATCAAATTTATTGATTAAAGAATCAGTATTTCCAACACCGTATTGACATCATAAAGTAACTGTTATAGTAGGAAACAACTTACTGGCTCTTCTTTTGCTTCTGGGCTGACTTCATCAGGAGACCATTTTAAATCTTTAGGAAGTTCCCCAAGAATAGATGGTTTGGAGCCCAATCCTCTTCGTCCTTTTTGTGTTGACGCTTCTACAGGTTCGACACGCCCATGCTCGAATTTACCCAAGCCTTTTCCAGGTTTGTACCCCATGTTACTCATAATACGTTTTGACTTTTCTGAATAATCTTTGCTAAAGGCTTCATCCATTTCACCATGACTAGAGGAGTTTTTATTGTAAAATGTATCATCGTTAGGTTCTTGATGAAAACTTGGACGCATAGACCCCTCTCCTTGTTCTGCATTATCAGCAAATCCAATACGGTAATCATCATAACCGTCATTTGGTGAAGAACAATTCTCACTTAAACTACTTCTGCTTATTCGCAGATTATTTCCTTCTGTATTGCGTATCGGTGAATCATCACCAGATTCTTGGGCAACTACAAATAAATTAATGGTAGTGTTCTAGGATTAAAACAGAAAAAGAACAAATCATACTTTTTTAGAGCTTGCATGATTTGTTGAAACTGTACTATGAACTAAAAATCATTGGAGATAAATTGTAGTAGTATTAAATAATAAATAGTATTCATAGCTTAATACTAGTCATACCTGATCCTTGAGATGTGGTAGAAGAAGCTCCATATGTATCCACTCGTTTGCGTTTGGCTGGCACAGAAGACTCATCACTGCTTGAATCTTCATCACCAGATGGATCTATAATTTTTTAAATAAGAGCAAGCACCTAAATTAATATGTATGTTCATACATGAGTTGTAATTAAAACTAAATTGTAGATAGGCATGTATGTTCATACATGAGTTGCAATTAAAACTTAATTGCAACTCAACAATGAAGTAAAAATTATTAATGGTACTTGCTATCAAGAGGAAGACAATAATTCCAAGGGACTCACAAACTCAGGATAAACTTGTTTTCTTATCAACAATGTTTTTCAGGATGGGTACAGGTTTGGCGAGCCTTTGTCTAAGGAAATAGGAAATAGGAGCTAGATAGCACAGTGGTCAGCATGTTTGATAAACAATGTGTAAGGACATTCATAGGATGGTTAAACGAAATTAATTATCCCCAGCTATTCCATACTTCAAAAGGCATTAAAATTGTATTAGTCCATCTGCTGATATGGATATTTGGAGTAAATTTTTACATATACAGATCTTAACTATCTTATGTGACCTTCAGTTATTGAATATCAAAAATATTATATATATAGAACTCCATAGGGATATGATTGGTCACTTGATTATGGGGTGGATTTTTATTTACATCAACATTGGCTAGAACAAAAGTTACTGTTCATAGTGTTACTATCACATACCTCAGACTTGCAGTGGATATTATTGAAAATTTATACAGTAAAATATCCACCGAAAAAGTAACAGGATACGATATTTCTATCTAGTATATTCGCGTATACAGATATTCGCATATACAGGTGATATCCGACACCTCACTAGTTAAACCAACCCTTCCAAGACTTCCTATTATATTTATACTTCAAAGTTCTGCGATTGCGACCTACAATTTATTGCACAATTCAAAGCACGAGTGCTTTATTTATTTGATTTATTGATTGAACAAATATTTGTTCACGTATCCGCTTTATAAACTAAAAATAATACTAAATAAAATGCAAGAGAGGTTCTTGAATATGAAATCTTAAGGAAAAATGTTATCAAGTGCTACTTTCCTTTAAGAAAAAACGGCTAGTGCGATCATTTATGATCACTATCGCTCGATATAAAACTTTGATTCAAAGATACAAATATTTTGCTTACCTGACAAGTTCATGATTGCTGTCGTAGAATGAGACTCGTCGAGTAGTAAAAATAATCAGGTTAATAATCAAATCAAATTCATATCAAATATAAACGTACACAGGTAGGTACAAAGATTAATAAATTGTATACTATTCAATTATTGAATTACTTGCTTAATCACAAATAGCAGAACTTTTCTGAAAACATAACCCCTTGCAACCAAAGAGCAGTGTTGCCAGATGCCATTAGGAACTCGTCTGTTTAAAAAAAATTGCCGGAAATAGTGAATAGTGAAAGTAAACATTAAACGGTCCAGTCCAGTCAGCACATTATTGCGTTTTAAAACGGCGTAAACTTTATTGTTGTAACGTTGCATAATAATACAACTACAAAGGGCGCGAAGAAATCATAAATAGTTATCTACCTATTAGAATCATACAGCATACCTCTTGTTAGAACGTGATAAACATACTTGCTTAGCTTTACGTGTTTACTCTAATCTCCCCTAAATGCACAAAAAAATAGCCGCGCTTGCGTAAATAAATACAGTACTTACGCATGAAATGATATCTTTTTTGCTTTTCTCATCGTTAATGTGGCATTTTTTCTACAACTTTTCATAGAAAATTACATTACCCATAACGCTTGCTGAAACGTCACTAAATGGAAATGTACGCAGTTTACCCATCTTAACTATTTTAATACATTATTGGTTCCAGCCCTAATATGACGTTTCACATTTTTTAATACTTCATTCACAGTGTACATAGGCTGACTTAATACCGTAGGCATTTTCTACTAGTTAACCAAATGTATGATGTGTATATAAAAGGTGGCAGATTGCACAATATGGAGATGTAGATAAAGGAAATAAAACCTATAACAATTTTTTTTTATTATTATTCTATTAGAAAGTTACAATTTTTTACATGGAATTACATCTGCCAAACTGCGCAGCAGTTGGTCGGTAGTAGTTCTCTTCTTAACATATATAAGTACGTAAATAACTTAAAGTACATATAAATATACAATTGCTATACATACATACAGTTTTAAAACACACCATGCAGTTTTTTTTTTTAACAAATCGATCGTATCCGTAAACAGTTTTAAGATGCTTAGTCATTATCTTTATTCCATCCGAGGTATCTGTAACATGAAACTTGTTTCATATTTTCACATTTACAGTTACCAATACTACGCTTGTCATGCAAGCTGCACATAATATATCAGTCTAGATTTGCAACGATCCTATTCATATCGATAACATTGCATTACATTTTTATATTACAGATACCTTATGTAAATCATTCATTATGACATTCAGATTAATTGCAATGGCTAATAGATAACAACCTCATTACATTATTAGTCCAAACCTCATTTTAATTCTTTATTAATTAATTCAATCAATACCAATAAACATTAATTCATTACAACAATCCAAAATGTGTATATACAAAAATAAAACTTCAATAAATAATATCCAAATTTCATAAAATAATACTTATAATTCTAATTTGCATGGACCCCTCTCAGGTAAAGGCCTCCTCCAAGGATTTCCATTTTTCTCTATTTTTTGCTACCTGTAGCCAGTTTATTCCTGCGATCTTTCTTATATCATCCTCCCATCTCATGTAGGGTCTCCCTACCCGGCGTTTGCCTGGCGGGCCCTTCCATGTGGTTACATTTATGGTCCACCTGTTGTCCAGGTATCGGGCTATATGACCGGCCCATCTGAATTTTTGTGTTTGGGCATAAGCCAGCGCGTCTATCACTTTGGTGTTTTTTCTTATTTCTGAGTGTCGTATTTTGTGCATTTTTTTAATGTTTAGCATACTACGTTCCATTCCTTTCTGGCACGAACTGATTTTGTTTTTCATTTTCTTTGTAAATTTCCACGTCTGACAGGCATATGTTAGAGAGGGCAGAATGCACGAATCCATGGTTTTCTTTTTGAGCTTTATTGACATATTGCTTTTAAATACTTCCTTTAGGCTCCAATATTTGTTCCAAGCATGTTTGATTCTGCGCTCTATCTCCAATCCATTGCTGTTGTTTTTAAAACTTATTTGTTTTCCAAGATAGATGTACTGTTATTATTATTATTTCAATAAATAGATCGCCAGAAAATATACTTTTTTTATTTATTTTTACCACTCCGAATTTAGGGTTGGAACTCATCCGCGACGCCAATTTCAATCGTTAGATCTTCACATTATGGACGAATTTTGGGAATACGGTAAATATGTAGCAGCAAGGGGTCCACCGAAACCAGTAAATTTTTTAAATGGGTCTACGAGAAAAAATTGTTTTGGAACCTCTGATTTATACTTTACTCTTTCTTTGGTATACCTTGTTTCATTAAAAGTGGCGAATAATGTAAACAAATAATTCACCGAAACTGTTTATGGAGTTTTCACAATGATCAAACGACTTTTAACTCAACTTTTTAAAGAAACATTAGAGAAAAAATAGTAAAATTACAGTTTTCATGGAAATAATATATTCCTAACTAAGAATTGACGTGTAACTTACAGTAAAAAAAAATGAGCTAGTGATGAGAACATATAAATAAGTGATTGAAAGAACAACTCAGTTGGACGTATTGAAATAGTTGATAAAAAATTGTTTTTTTTTTAGTTAATATATCCAAAAATGTATTAAGCGTAAAAAACGACACTAAATAAAATTAGGAAACTAGGAAAAAAGTTTGAATGAAATAATAATATAAAAATTAATTTAAAGATTTGCGTCATGTGCAGTTGCAATTGTCCCTATAAACATCTACTGCAACTTCAAGTTTATTATTCGTTCAAGTTTTAAGTTTGATTAAAGTGCACGGTCCAAATAGTTGTTTGTTTGTACGGGAGTTTTTCCAAACGATGCGAAGGCGAACGAACGGAAAATCTTATTTGATGTTTATTTGTTCACTCAGTCTGGGCTAGGTTTGCCAATCGTACAATCATCATCGTCAGCCCTTTTACGTCCCCACTGCAGGGGCTCAGGCCTTCCTTATGGATGGTTAAGGAGGATGGGTCATGAACCTCCAAGCTGGCCCAATGCGGATAGGAGAGTATTAACGACTGCAAATGCAGCCGGCACCAACCTTGGATTTCTATTACTGTTTGCTTTTCGATTTGGATAATGTTCTTCATTGGATCAACGATTTCTGCAAGGCTTCACGAACTCTGATACTGTACTTTGTGATAACAAAAGGGCTTATTTTTCAATAAAAACGTTCAAGGATTCAGATTTTTCTATCAGTTATTTACAAGACAATTTCGTAATCAATAAGGTAAGTTTTTTATATACCTATTTTTTTATTATAAAAATGTTGTATTTTATAATATGAACGGTGTTCGGTGACGTAAAATATAGCCTAAATAAGATTTAATTTTTAGGATTTTAAATAATAGTCTGACTTATAAAAAATAGTTCGCTTTTCACTTTGAAATAATGTATTATTTAATTTTGTTTATAGGTTTAAGCAAATCTTGGATAAGTTAGAAGCGGAGTCAGTAGTCGTGATGGATAATACTACCGACCATTCCAGAAATATTGATCATCTGCCTAATAGAGTTGGAGGAAGGCCGATATACAAGAGTGGCTGCATGTAAAGAAGTCGAGTTTGAAAATACTGAAATCAAAGTGCAACTACTAGCGAAATTTGACTAAATTAAATAAAAAAAATTGATAAATTTGCAACTACTAAAAATGTAACCTTTCTCCATATCACTGTGAGCTATTGAACTCATAGGGGCGCAGCTCAAATCGAGAAAGAACAAAACTTTTAAATTGCAGAGGTCAAATAACTGGTAGAAGAAGGATTAAAAAATATTGGTTTACGAGCATGGTGAAAATGCATCCAAAATGTGTCTGATATGAAGTCAGAATCTCCAGTACACGAGACAAGTGAAAGTACCTAAAAATTCATATGGACAGTTCAGAGGCAAAATGCATTGCAATATTTTAAAAACGTTATCGAAAGGAGTTTCAAAGTTTAATCTGTAGAAGGAAAAGCATATCAAAAAGCTATAATTTTTATAATTTTTTTTTCCATAGTAAAATTTCTATAAAAAAGTTTTTCTAAAGATTTACTGTTTAATGTGAAACTAAAATCAAACGACGAAGAAAAATACAATAAAACTTAATATTCACCGGAAGTATTATATTTATTTCCGCTTAATATTTATTTCCCATGAACCCTCAATTAATAAGTAGTATATAATTGAGTAAACTTGTCTAGTTGTCATACTAATACATGGATTTCTTAGAATCTAACAACACTCATTTTAGTATATGTGTGGAACAGAAAGGAGTTTGGACTTACTTTTAGTTTCTTCGATAGCCCAGGGTATTAAGCCACTGGTCGTAAGTCTCCCGATTTGTACTGAGATAATTTTGTTATTGTCCTAACTGTACCTCCACACAGCGTTGATTTTCTAGGTATTTGCTGTATACACTTTCGTGCTTCAAGATTTGGATGCAATGGGACGTTGCGGGATCGACCATTCGCTATGGCAGCGGAGTTGCAACATACAGCTCTCAGGGACTGTCTGTCTACCCTCGATTATTTTATATTTATAAGTTAAGTTGTGTAACCATATTCAACACTTTGTTTGTAACATATTTGAAACCGAATATATAATTATATACTACTCTGAGAATAATCACTGCACGACAAAAATGAGATAGTTCAATCAAATGTCCCATTACTAAAACTCTAACAAGGTATAGTGTTCTTTAGAGATGCGAACAGGGTGCGAGATGATCAGGATTGATCCGATTTTGCAGAGGATGTCCAGAGTCCTGAAAACGAAAATGTCCTGTCAAATTATTAAACCAACCAATCAATCGCTATTAAATAGAAATAATTCCATTATATTTGCTTATCAATCTTTTTCGAATGCAAGCTTCAATTAAAATGTATCTAAAAAAATTCTATTGTACATTATGGTAGATCCGAGGGCTCTTTAGGCTCACACCAAATAAAAAGTAAAGACGGAGTTCGCTGAATAACAAAGTGAAGCCGATTTTTAGCAATTGTAGTGTGCGTGCCAATGTGTCCATAGTCATTAAAAACACCCCAATAACTTAACGTTACGACGTTATAGAGTTAAGTTAAAAGGTTCATTTCGACTATTAGGAATGACTGAAATCCACTTCCCTTTCACATTTTGATGTCGGTTTGGAAAAGAAAAAAATGTATGCAAACCCGTTTAGTAAAAATAAAGAAGTTTAAAATGAAACCCGTTTTTTATTTTTTACTTCCTTATTCTAACACTTCAATATCTGTAATCTGGACCTCTATATAGCATTTTGAATGCAAATTTTATTATAAATATCATTTCCATACAACAAGAAAAAAATACATAACGTATTTTGTTTTGTTAGAAATAACGCGTTATAAAATTAAAGTTACCTGATTTCGGGGTAAATAATAACGTTTAACGATGGTAATATTTGGCTGAGGTTTTGTGTTCCAAGCAATTACTTATATTTAATTTTTAAATTTCTGAAAATGTAAGTTTTCTTCAATACTTTGAAATGTTTTGTTTTTACCTTTTACTACACAATTCGGCAGTTAGTAAGAAATTTTTGATTTTTTTTTAATGAAACGTTCCGCACACTGTCTTTAGTTAGACTGTTAAAGAAGGCGTAGTTTCGTTTTTTTTTTAATTTATTTCTTAACCTGGATTCAAGTCCATACTATGCATGAAGCTAAAGAAATAACTGAAGATTATTGATTAAAAAGATTGACATGACGACGGTAAAAAGTTAATAATTTTTATTAATTTGCAGCTATGTATCTGCCTTCTGATTATAATATTTGCGTACCATTTTTTATTATAGATTTTATTTAATTGTAGTTATTGCTTAATAACCCTTTTGTTTAAGTTTTTTGTTACATTGGATTGGATTTCAGAGTATATTTAATGTACAATCTTATTTCTGATATATAAATAAAGTTTCAAGTCCTATGCAATTAGTGACGTGTAAAACTATACTATTAGTACCAATATTGCCAAAAAGTTTATGAAACATAAAATTAGCGAATAACATCAATGACCGGTTCAAGTTCCGGGAAAATTTAGATCAATCAATAGAAGTCAAATAACTTTGCTTCAACCAATAGTTCTGAGTTTGGCCTCCAGTTCTTTTACTTTATCTTCATGATACTATGTTTGTCAGTGTTGCCAGGTCATTTTTTGTGTTACCCCAGACTTTGTCTCGGTTTACCCTAGATTAAGCACACAAGCTTTCACAACAAACATACCACAGAATACATACTCCAACAAACTCCAACCAAATTTAGGCTACAGACAATAGACACAATGGTAAAAAAGACAACAAAATATGCGTTCATCAATTACTACATTATTGTTGCGTTCAGAAGCACTAAACTGAGAGTTTATATGTCTTTGACAGTTGATTAAATAATATGCTATTAAACGTTAAAGCTTTCAAGCTATTATATTATAGCTCGAAGCATTCATACCCTGAAAATTATCCTGTAAGATCCATTTTACTCTAAATCTAGGGTAAATTAGTAAGTTACCTTTTTGTTACCTAAGTTGGGTAACCTATTAATTTCGAAATTTTAATGTTCGAATTTCAAAACTTCGAAAACGGTATAACGAAGTTTTGAATACCAGATATGTTTTTTGACATAATATTCTATGTAATAAATTTATTTTACACATGTTTCATTTTCCAGAAACATTAAAAGACGATTTTCAAAAGCTGTTTTTTTCTTTTTACAGATGTATTACTTTCAATATTTTTTTATTCTAGATGTATGAAATATCGAAGTAACCTGTACCATATTTTTACTAACGCACTTATTTATTTTTCAACATTATTTATTGACAAAAAAATAGAAAATATAAATTCGATGCAACATGCATAATCATTATTAATATAACAATTATCATGAAATCCCAAACAATAATTTTTTGCAACGAAATGTATTGACAGAAGTGAATCGCTGCAAAACCGCTTTCACGTAGTCTTGTCTGCCCTACCCCTAGAGTGCAATTTAATCCCGCGTAGGCGCGGAGGGGCGAGGCGGCCCGCGAGTTGAGGAGCTGATGGTTTTCGCTCGCCGCCGGTGTCGAGCGAAAATCATCTGCGACGATAAACTCGCGTGGGACCGCCGGAGCCTCGCAGCGCCGGAGCCGTGACAGAAACAATGCATGTTGTATGTTTGAATGCCTGCTTGCATGCATTTCAACACATTGAAAAATTAGATTGTTTTCGATTTAATGAAATTCGCACTGAAAAAATTCGATATTAAAATAGGTAACCCCTAAGCTGGCATCACTGATGTACGTGTGCGTGAAACGGTGTATGAATACGCCGAGGCGTAGTTTTGTCGGCTTCACTTTTCTGTTAGGCAAAACTCCGTCTATACTTTTTATTTGGTCTGAGTCTTTAGGCAGAAGCATCTGTTCTTTATTTACAAAACCTTAAATTTCCCTAATGGAAATATAAACAACTTTATCAAGATGAAAAAACATTTTTTCACTTAAAACCAGATATTCAGAAAAACGTAAAAACGAGATGAAAATATCTTTAAGTAAACTTATTTCAAACACTTTTGAATCGTCCAAAAAATTTTTCCCTTACTATTATTACTTCCCCTTTCCTCAGGAAAAGATAAATAACTTTTAGAATTCAGTATTTTTACAGGCCCGTTTGTATGTAAATCTTCATTTGACCATGGATTACTGATCCCATGACCTGATTGTTTGTTCATCTAACTTTTTTTTTCAACATGTAAGTTTATTAAGAATTATTTTTTCTCCAATTTAAAATATAAATTTTTGCTATAGTAGTATTTACATTTTAATAAATTACATGATCTTATAACTTATATTAATAATTTTGAAAAGTATAATATACTTATAATTTCATCTATTTTTCAGAAACTTTCTTGTGCACATACATAAGTTTTTATTTTTCTTTGTGCGACCCACTCTCCCCCCTCCCTCCTAGATACACCTATGGAAATATTCTACAATTTGTGCTGCCACCTAGTGACATGATTTTTTTGATTATTTTTTAAATACTTAATTAATTTTTAATACTGAAACTGAGTCTTTTTAAAACAGATGATGTATTTTTCAACAATTTATGATACCAATGAAATTAGATTACATAATTATGAAATAGCTTTTTTTATTAAAAAAATACGGTCCAACTGTACTTAGCACAATATACACTGTAGTCATACTTAAATGAAATAGTATAAACCAATTAATTAGTTTTAATAAACATTACATCCTATTTTTAATTCTAAGTTAAAAGTAAACTATCAGTCCCAAACACTGCACAGTAATTAAGAATTTCACTTTATTTCTTTGACATAGGCATCAAGTTCAGCATCCAGTTGTTCAGCAGTAGGCACAGGACGCTTGCCTCTACCTGCGCCACCACGTCCCCGTCTTGCGCCACCACGACCACCACCACCTCCACTACCACCACTTTGATTTCTAATTGGTGCATTATCTAAAAAAGATACAAAGAGTAGAATAATGACAATTAAAAAAAAATACACCTAGATAAAACAAGAAAAGTGCTGATTATCTCACTTCTATTTGAATTTCTTCTATTTGGACCTCTGCCTCCAGCACCAATGCTGCCAAGTCGACCTCCTCTATCTTGACTTCTTAATGAACTGATTTCTGATGTAGCCAATTGAATGTTCATTGCTCGGCCATCTAATGGAACTCCATTATATTGTTTCATTGCCTTCAAAGCATCAGCTCTTCTCTCAAATACTACATCAGCAGTCCCTGAAAAATAGATGAAAAATATATATTATTATATTTCTAAAATATATGAATAAAAGTTATAAAATTGTGTAATTAATTAAATGTAAATAGTACAGTATTAACATAAGAAAAAAATTGAACTTTTTAATAAACTTTCATATCAAAAACAAACAATCAGTCAAGAGAAGATTTTCATACAAACAGGCATGTACTAATACTCAATTTTTAAATTTGTTTATCTTTTAACAGGTTCTTCTGAACATCTGGCTTTATGTTTTCATGTTAAATGTTTAAACATGTTTTTTCATCTTGAATAATCATTTATATTTCCTTTAGGGAAATGTAAGATTTTATAACTTTGGAACAGATGCTTACCTAAAGACCTCCCAGATCTATCATAATGTACAGCAGCACTTTTCAGAATACCAAATTCTGAAAATAACTCTTGAATGTCAGAGTCAGAGACTCCAAAGTCCAGATTGGACACTAAGAGTTTTGTTGGTCCAGTAGAAAGTGCTCCTCCTCCTCTTTGAATCTTGCGGTCGGTGAATTCATTGAACATGTCATGTTTCCAAGTGCTGTTAACATCACCCTGAAATAGGTCGTCCTTCATAGAGCTTGCCGGCGAGCCACTTACAGCCTCATAGAGTATAAGTACACTCATAATGCACGGCAAACACCACTTGTACAACTAATTTATTTCACATTACAGAAAAGTTGAATTACAATACAATAGTAATGTATAGATACATCAAAATGTATGACTAAAGATATTCATATTTATATAAGAAATCTATTTATGGCTTGATTGTCACTTTACACAGCACTGGAATTAACAGATTCAACACATTGCTATGGTCTGTTGTCACAGTGGATGTAGGTGTTCAGTGATGCCTTTCGCTCCATTGTCCCGCCACTCGTCTTCCCAGGTCAAGTTATTCAGCATCATTTTCCCCATAAATGCTATCAATTCGTCTTCAATTTCCATCAATAAAATGTTGTTAGTACCATTACTAACAAAGTGTGACAGCAACTTTGAGAGCAGAGCCAAACCAATAAAAACCGCTTATACATTATCAAAAAAACCACAAATGTTGAACAACCTCAACTGACATTAACTTAATTATAAAAGAAAGCTAATGATATTGGGTAGAGGCCACATGTTTGTAAATGAACTGTGAGTTTCATTGGAACGCTCTTAGTATTGTTTTATTATCAATCCGAGCAGACGCATTTTGGTAGTTTGGAGTGATGCGTCATTTGAACACGTTCATCCGCCGCCATTTGCAATCGTAACGTAACTCATAATGTAATTTACCCTGGTATAATTAGTTGGCTTAGAAACTCCACCGCGGTTTCTTCCACGTATCACACCGCTAGTGCGACCATTCCGTAATCCACCACCGCCACCTCCGCCTCGTCCTGGTTTTCTAGTTTCAAACTTACGGCCAGCTCCTCCGCCTCTTCCTTTTTTACTTGCTCTAATAATATCGTCCAAAGCCATATCAATTCGGTCAACCATTGTTTCCGTAATTAATATCTTATTACTACTCTATTAGTTAATATAATTTGTTTAAATAAAATAAAACACTTCAGAAAACCACAACGAACAATCAGCTAAATGAACAAACTCCACGTGAAATCGTGAAATAAAATGGAGTAGGTAGGAATGGGCAAAAACTATCGATATATCAAATTATCGATATTTTTTTTCTAAAAATATCGATATAAATAAGCGATATATTTTTCCCGCGATATATCGGCTTTCGATATTTATTTTCAGATATCAAAATCGATATATATTTTTTTAATTTCGGCTGTCTGCACATGCGTTACATCATGTATTTCTTAAATTTAGAAAAAGAGTAGGTGGACAGTAGACTGTATGAGTTTAGTCTATGACCTGTTTGTGTTTTTTGTTTGTCTTTTTATTTGAAAGTGACACTGCTTGTTGGTTTAGTTGGTATCACTGAGTGTGCTCCTGATGTCAATATCAGAGAAATGCACGTTTGTTTGAACAATCTAATTTTGGTTCTGTTAATAATGTTGTTTTCTTAGCTTTATGTGCCTATTTTAAATAATAAAACTGATATTAAAACAGCCAGGTGTGTAGTTGCGTCAAAATTTCGAATATTTTGAAATTGTCAGTGATAATCGCTGAATACGCCGAAAATATCGATATATCAACACTAGTGGACGCCCGCGACTTCGTCCGCGTGGAAGTCGGTATCCCGTGGGAGTGAGAAGTTTTCCCAGTAAAAAGTACCCTATGTGTTATTCTGATGTATAACCTATATTGCTGTAAAGTTTTATCCAAATCCGTCCAGTAGTTTTTTCGTGAAAGAGTAACAAACATCCATACATCCATACTTACAAACTTTCGCCTTTATAATATTAATAGGATATCGAAATATTTTTGACGATATTTATCGATACATTTGAAAAGTTAGTGAAGTTCAGCTTTAATTATGAAATCGAGTTAACTCGACTTGGGCAAAACTCGAGTTGCATTCTACTTAACTGTGTCCTAAATACTCTTGCCATCATAGTGCATAAAACGAATGACGCGACATATTCATTGGCTATAAATCTCAAAATATTGCAGACAAATGCGGAAAGATGGACTACGGGTTATCAATTATTGTTATAAGTACTGTTTAAAAAATGTCATGATTTAAAAACAAATATCTTTCATGAGATATGGACATGGTGAACAATGTTAAAATTCAATCAAATACATTGGGAATACAACTTTGGGGTCGTCCATTTATCACGTGAGGCTCGAAAATGGGGGAGCATGTTCGTCATAACTCACGAAAAATCACAAGGGGGATACTAATATTTCTATTGCGCAGAATGGTCTGCGTATGGTATACATGGGTTTATGTATTCTCGTGCTTATATCGCTGTGCATACACATTTTTGCGTTACAGTCTAGGATAAATAGTCAACTTTATTATTTATTAAATGGATATTAATTTGGTTGTTACCTGTAGTTTGTGCTTATGTAAATAAATAACTAAATATATCGCGTGTATTTATTTTTTGCTCAAACGCGCGATTACTAAACCGAAAGTCGATATCACTAATGAGGAAGTTTTAAAAAAAACATTAGTTCGTGAAATTAAACTAAATGTCGCTACGGTACGTTCTTGATTTCTCCATGACAACCTTTCCCGTTTTCTTTCAAATTAAAAATTAAATTGGTTTTCAAACTCAATAAACAACTCGTATTCTATTTGGCCTTTTTCGTATTTGTATTGATATCTAAATTTCGAACTTTTCAAATATCAGTTTTTAAATATGTTAGTTAAAAGAAACGGAAATAACTGTCTTTGGTCCATTCGTTTCCTGCAAAAATCAACTTTTGCTAGGGTCGCCATCTAGTGGAGGTGCTTTTTTAGTGCTTTTGTTTTTTTAAACATCCTCATTAAGATTTTTTTCTAGGTACTAAAAATACACGTGATTTGGGTGGAGGGGGAGTGGGCGTAGTCTTAATCTTCACCATGTATCACCAAGAGGGAGGGAGGGTTAAAAAACAGCTGAAAAAACATCTAGTGAATAATGAACGACCCCTTTGTCAAAACACATTAAAAATGCCATTGAGGTTTGGAGGCTCAATCTCCAATTTAAAAAATATAGAGGCAAACTATAACGCACTTGATTCAAAGAAGAAGAAGAAGAAAGTAGTAAAAAGAAAATAAACTAATTACTTATTTTATGTAACTCTAAAGTTTTTTTTTTAATCGAGTCGTGTTTATTACATGTTGGCACATTTCACAAACTTTTTGGTATGCACATCTCTAGGCGGAATCGATAATTTTTCTTGTTGAATTTAAGGCAAAGGAGTCGGGAGTTTTAGACACATACACACAGATTAAGAATTAGTCACAGACTTAGTAGGTTGGTAGGAATAAGTGTCGAAAGTAGAGTGAAGTCATTTACTATAAAACAACATTTATTTGAATCGATTCAACCCCGAAAAAATGGTAATTGATGACGACCTTATACCCCGAAGAATCGGTATGAAACTCAACAGAGCTCTGTATTAGATAGTTACGTCATAAAGAATTTAAGCACTACTTACTTACTCCGTTTTGCTTTTTTGGTACATACATACCTAATCCTAAAACAAGTCATAAACATCCCGAATCTACTTTTACTCCCTTCAATAAGGAAGTATTTAAAGAAAAAAAGAAAGCGCTAAAAAGCACCTTACTAGATGGCGACATCTCAGATTACACAAATGTCACATTACTTTACTCGATTTCTTTTTCGACCTTAATACGTTGAAGCTTTAGTTGAAAATCAATTGTATTAGAACAAAAATTGTAAATGTAGGGGTAGTTATTTTTTTCTATCAAATGAAAAAAAATCACCAACTTTCACCAAAGGATCTCTTCAAGATTTACAAATTCACTAGTTTTTGCCCGCGACTTCGTCCGCGTGATATAGTTACTTTGGGCATCATATTTTCCAAAAACGCTGTTGTTTTTTAAGCTGATGATGAAATTACCTTGATGTTTAAGTTCGAAGATAGTACAACAAAATACCAACGAATGTCCAATATGTTTCAGCACTTTATCTTTGAAACTTTAGAGATATTAATCCAATTCAATGCAATTTGAAATAAAGATGAAAAAGTTATGAAATTTACACAAAACTTAATCGAAAACGTAATCTACGCAAAATTCTTTGAAAGAAACGTTACCGCAGATTACTTTAGAATAAACGCCATCTAGAATACAGCGCCATCTGTTGGGTGTATTTGCAACCTAGATGTCTAACGATATTGAAGAATTTTATCTATGAATCAACGTACACCGCCATCTATGAGAACTTCATAAAACTAAACAGTAAATAAACACTTTCATAAGAAACAATTAAGTAGAACATTTTATTTGTTTACATTCACGACATAAGTGAATAATTGAGATGATAACTATCCTATCCAGTAAGTTAGACCAAAATACGGCTATATGTGAAATTTGATAGAAATCTGTTCAGTAGTTTTGGAGTTTATTGGCAACATACATCGTGACACAAAATTTTTATATATATAGGTTTACCGTCTTTAGGTAATCCAATTACGTTACATTTATATGGCAGCAAATCAGTTTGACAGACGGACAGAACGGACAGACATCAGTGTAATCCTGTTAGGGCGTTAAGTGGACGCTCGCGCATTTCCATACAAGTGCTCCGGCACGGGGACTGTCGCGCGGGGAGGCGTCTAAAACTCAACTCCGTATTCCGATCTCTACGACGGGTGCCGTAACGGAGACCATCGCTTTTACAAGACAGCAGTGTCGGGCGGTATCATGCGAAATGTGCCGGCCACGGGCACACGTTTAATGCAATATAGGTCCTAAGGGTTTCCTTTTTTAGAGGTAATAAACCGTAAAAATGGAAAGTAATTCCAGGATAAATTAAAAATTAAATCAATAAAACCACTCAGTTATTTCCAATTATTTTTAATGTATTGGACTATCTGATGCAATCCTTCTTTTCCAGCACTACCACTCAAGTACTCAACTTCGAAGAACAAATTATCGTCTTTTTCAAACACTTTAAGAAATGCTTGAATAATTGGGTCCATATCACCATGCTCTTTAGAATTTTTCGTATTATGACAGTTAGCATCAGGAATTTCTTGAACCATATCGGAAGGATTGTTAGTACTATTACCGTTAATGGTTTCATTATTCATTTTAAGTTTCTTTGCATCATTTTCATTTATTCTTTTCATTAACCTCCGCTTTCGCCTCTGATGAGACCATGTGTCCTTGGTAGCAGTAAATTGCATGTTTACTTTATTTCCTATTTTGTTTAGAAGTTTATACTCAATATCAAGGCTTTGAAAAATGGTTTTAATTTTTTCCGTACAGCTTTCCACATTGTTGGCACATTCTGGTAGTTTTGGTAATGAATATGCTATTGGTGTATTCTTTTTCCGTACCTTATCTCTTGGACTAACTGTGAAATCGAAATATACCAAAATTAAATTAAGTAATTTATGCAAAGAAACAGCATAACAAGGGTTTACTTCCTAATTATACTATTTATAAAGGGCTATTCTAAAGAAAGGATGTTAAAATATAATATGCATTTAATGTTAACACGCATGGAAACGTGGTATTTATAACGGTAACTAGCAATCAAGACTCACGCACAAGTTTTCAAATAAAATGGAATCTCAGTAATCCAGCACTACTTTTCCCTTCAATAGCGACAAATCGGTTTTATCTTTAGAAGTATAAATATAAATGTCGCCACATTCATAATCTAATAATTCAAATTATTATTTGATTATAAAAAAGAACACTTAATATCAAAAATGTGGTGTTTTAAATAGAAGCATATCAGTTTAATTCTATTTGAATTGTTCGCCTTTATTATAGTGCAATTGAGATTTAAATAAATTAAAGATTAATTAAGAAATTACTGAATGTTGTTAGTGTACTACTACTTATTAGCGTCATATCAGTCATGTTCAATAAAATCTTTTACTAGCGAGAAAAATGAGGGTGCAGTTCGCAAAATCAGGTTTCAAGGGTTATAGTTATGTTTTATTTGTGTGTTTGTATATAAATTCAGCACACGATATTTCAATATTTTTATTGTTTTTTTTTGTTTCAAGTGCCCGTACAATGAAACTTGGCACCTTAATCAAAACACTGAAAATAAGCCCCCTAGGCAAAACACGTAACGACATCCATAAAAAATCGAAACAAAATAAAAGACTAATTAATGTACACCGCCAATGACAAGAGCGCCTCAATAAATACCATTAAGTGAAATACCATTGAACATGTAAACATGGTACAACATGTTACATGCTAACACGGTTTAACATGTACATGTTCAAAGAACGAAATTATTTTTTTAAGGTAATACTACATTTTTATGGTTGAAATAATGAGAGCAAACATAATTTGTTTGCCATGTCAAGCCGCCCCCTTAAAACGAGCGCCCTAGGCAGTTTCCTAGTTTGCCTGTGTGAACAGGCCTGTCCTGCATTTATCCACAAATAAAGTCACTTCCTCAGAGTGTGTTTACACGGCTATTCAAAACAGTTAATTTTTATATATAGTTTTGGGTGCATAACTATGCTTATTTATACCTATAAAATTACAGATTTGTGCGATAAAAAATCCATACTATGGAACCTATGGAACTCTCTTCCTTTAGACCTAAGAATGTCTACCAGTCGGTATGCGTTTAAAATTAAGTTACGCAGCTATCTTTTAGAGCAAGCGGATCACTTTAATGGTTAATCGTGTATGTATGTATTTAATATATTATATTTTTATTTATGTATGTTTCTATGTTCGATATTATATAGTGTGTATTTTAAAGTATGTATATTAATTAGGTTATCTAGTTTAGTCTATTCTTATAATTATTTTCTTATAATTGTGCACCTGACCAGGTATTCTTCTCCACATTACCTTAAGGTTGACTGGCAGAAAATGCCGCAGGCATTAAGTCCGCCTATGTACATTTGTGCATAAATTATAAATAAATACTGATGATACACAACTTAAAACAGTTACTGATTAAAAAAATTATAAGTTATCCAATCCCCTATTAACTGGCTTGCTTCTACCCCTTCGATCTTGACCCGAGGAATTACATAATCGTATCTAGTGTATTATTTATGCTATAGTAAATATGTTGTGATATTATCTAAAAATGACATACTACTTACCCAATTTATAAATATCGTAGTCTTGATAAGTCCACGCTAGACCCCAACGGGTAACGCGACCTTGACAAAATTCTGTATGTGTAAATCTTATTCGTTCAGCAGTAAGGTCTTGCAATAATTCTTTCAAATTATACTTGTGGCCAATCATTGTGGTGAAAATCCTGGAATCAACATCAAAATTATTTTTTATCCATCCAGTGACGAAATTTCCATATAAACAAAAAACTATAATGGACTTCAATATAATGTAACAATTTTTTATAACATATTTGCATAGGAGTATGTACAGCAGACAGACATTAAATGAAGCATGCTAGGGTAACGAAAACCAGAGGTACCATCAGAGTGGGTGCAAAATTCACTTTTGAAGAAGGTTAGATAGTCTATCATAAACTCTTAAATTGTATAATATCCAGAATCGTGTCTGCAAGCTAGAAATCAAGCCAACATCTTTGTCTTGGCGTTTTTGTTTGGTATAACGTCAAAAGAGTTGCATTTGTCAAGATTTTTTTCATAAAAATGACCATTTAAGTAGTGAGTGAATCATACATAAAATATATTCATAAGGAAGATAAAGATATGAACATAGCTTTTTATTAAAAAGGACTTTTTTATAATTTCTTGTCATATTTCTCTAAAAAACAATAAATCAAAAAGTAATTAAAACAACACACTTTTTCGCAAGGATCTTCTAAATATTTCCTATCATATTATGGCTTCATTTTCGTTGACTCTTTGTATGTAATATAGAATCTGGCATATACATAAAAATAGTCTGTTACATAGGGTATGTTCCGATATACACTGCGAGCACTGCGCAGTGGTCTTACTGCTGAAAAATCCGTTCCGTTATGGACTGCCAGTACACTGCTACAGTACCCTAGGGAAATTTATGACGTCATAAATTGCCGCCATATTTGTGCTGTGAGCACTGGAGATTTCGAGGTAAGGTGCTCGCAATGCTTTTGATCACGTGATCAGTCGAAACAAAATCAGAAAATGATAATTTTCTAAATAAACAAAAAAAAAATATACTTACGTTTAGATGGATTTAATTGATAAATATTTTTTTTATACAATTTTCCAATTTTCTTTTGAAAAGAGGGAATCTTCATATTTATATTCACCTTGCATTAACAAATTTGAAAATGGCGCCAAAAAATAGGATTAACAGTATACTGGACTGCGTTCCGTTTTAAAAAGTCACCAGTATAACTAGCTCTATAAAGGAACGGGCTTCCAGTATACTAAATTGACGTCATACTGTTCAGTGGTCGCAGTGTATATCGGAACATACCCTTAATCACAATGAGGAAGTATTTTAAAAAAAACATTAGTTCCCGAAATCTAACTAGATGTCGCCACGCTACGTTCTTGGCTTCTCCATGACAACCTTTCCGCTTTCTTTCATGTTTAAAAGTAAATTAGTTTTCAAAACTCAATAAACAACTTATATTCTATTTTTACTTTTTCGTATTTGTGTTGATATTAAAGTTTCGAACTTTTCAAATTTCAGTTTTTTAATACGTATGTCAGTTAATAGGAACGGAAATGACTGTCTTTGGTCTATTCGTTTCCTGCAAAAATCAACTTTTGCTAGAGTTGCCATCTAGCGGAGGTGCTTTTTAGTGCTTTTGTTTCTTTAATTAAAAATACTTCCTCATTGATTTCAAAATAATAGTAAATCGTAATGTTTACCTCACTCTGTCCTTGTAATTTTGACTTTCACTGATTAGGTTTCTACAAAAGGTTAACTCTCCACCTTCCGTAATAAGTTCTTGAGGTGATCCCGTGAAAGCATTTTTTGGAGGAGGTCTGAAATAAAAAATAGGTAATCATTATTTTAAAAATGGCTATAAATGATTCTATGCCCACACTCTACTCACCAGAAAATTTTCATATCAGTTAGTTATTGGTGGGGGGAGGGGGGGCAATGGGCAATGAGTGAATTCGAATTTGGGTTTTGTCGGGAAGGCCAAATGCACTGGATCGCAGTCCCTTACAGTTGGATCGCCCCGGTCTAGTTGGACTTCCTTCCGGTCGATAAAATGTTAAAATCAGTTCCCTTTGGTTTAAAAATAAGCATTTACCTGGCAGGACTCCGAGATTCAAAAAGATCTTGAATACTGCTATAGAATGGAGGATTGCACATGCAAAAATCAAATAATTGATCCTTTTCATTATCCAACACAAAACTAATAATTGTTGATGATGGCGTCTTGATTACTGAAAATTTTAAAAAGATACACAAAATACACTTACCGACTTTATGTATAAACAACAGGTTACATAGACACACACACATTAACATAAGTATCACAGTGTCTTTGTAATTTAGTTTTCATTACCTACAATGTTTTCAAATTATATTTGTTACTTAATGCATGCTGTATTTACCTATAAGTAGTTGTATAACAACTGTTGGTGACCCTAATAAAATATCAGGTTATACAAACTGCAAAATTTCTCCACTTCATTTTAAACCTTAATGTTTGCAGGTAGTTTAAATTAAGCTAGATAATTTTGGCATATTGTGATAACTTGACATGCAGCAGCTCTTTTCTCAACCTACTAATCAAAATAAAGTATAAAGGCATTTTTTAATTTCTATCAGCCCTTTTATGTCTCCACTGCATGGGCTCAGGCCTTGCTTATGGACGGTTAAGGAGGGTGAGCCATGACCCTCCATGCTGGCTTTATGCAGATTGGATGGTATTAATGACTGCAAGTCAGCCGGGACCAAGGGCTTAATGTGACTTCCGAAGCACCGAGTAGGTCGAGATAATAAATTTTTGGTCACGCATCCTGTGATGGACCCTTGCGAAAGTTACTTGACAACAAGAATCGCCACCGAGCTAATAAATAAGTGTTTGACTTATCTTTAATCGCTTGTTCAATGTGTCAGATAGAAGCAGAGCCAGAGGGGATCCCCTCAATTTCTTTCACTTAATAATATGACAAATAAAAAGTGAAGAGTACAATCTCTGGTACTTTCACCTTTTATTTGTCATGTTATATACAAAAATAATTAAGAGTTTAACACATTACTTACATTTTATAAGAGAGTCTAAATTGTTTATTTTAATATTACTCTGAGCTTTTTGAAAACTGTCTTCATCTGTTTCTGTACCAATCATACTCCATTTATTTTTAATAGCACCTAAAACAGGATAAATAGCACAAGCTCCAGTACCTGTAAAAAGAGAAAATTTAAGTAATTATATAGATATATATTATATAAATTTATAGAAGCTAAAGAGTTTGTCTGTTATTCAGAAATTTTAAAAATTCAGATTGCACATAATATATAGACATGACTAAACCAAGATCTATTACTAATGCTAAGATGAAAGACTCATTATAGAGACCAGATTACCAAGATAGGATATATTTATCAAAGGACACTTTACAAATCATAGCTATAAATAATACTATTATTAGTAAACTGAATTTGAAATAAGTAATTCAAACTTGTTTTTATTTGTTCCTGTTTTCATGCATATATGTATTCATATATCAAGCTTTTTATGTTGCATATAATCTAGTCCCTACTAATTACTATTGCCTCATTTCACTCAATGGAATGAAATCTAAATCTCATCTTCACACCAGTTTTATGATATCCCCCTCTGTTATATCACAGACCTTCTCTATAGATGGAATCAAATAAGGGTAATAGCCATTACCCATCATTAGGGTTGCCAGGCTATTAGATTTAGCGATCTGGTAATCCTACCCATCATGCAGGTTTAGTGAGTTGTTCATGAGTGTAGATATTAAATGTACTTCACCACTTTTATGACATCATGTAAGTGATATTGAAGATGTGACAACACTATGTTTATAATAAGTTAAGCACAACAATATATATACTCTAATATTTTTATTTAATAAAATAAGTAGTATGTCTCAAGTTTATGAGACACTTAAGTCTAAAGAATAAAGAAGACTATAGTACCCTTACCAATATCTATTCCATTAATATTTGTAATTCTTTTGATAGATGCCATTAAATCTTCAATCCACAGAATATAGTTTAATCTTAATGGAAGCGTAGGTACTAATTTATCTTCTGGAATGTCAATGTTTACATTGAAGTCCGATTTCAATAAGCATTTGGTTAAAATCCTCAATGATTTAGGGTCCTTAAAATCAATAGTAACTTTGCCAGACAGATCCTGAAAAATTAAAGATACATATTTGTACAATAAATAGCCAATTACGCGACTCGTTTATATCAAAACCATTAATGTTATCGATATGTTAAACATAGAAAATCTTCAATAAAACTTCTTAATTGAACCATCACAAACCATTTTAGAAATACATTTAAATTCTGGATAGTTTTCTGCTAGCTTCGCAAAATCCGGAGGGGTTTTGTAAATGTTACGAGGGTGCATATAGTTATTCATTGCCATAACTAACGTATTAAATTTGTTATGTGATATTAATAATGAGTGATATTAAAGTATTAAATTTTTGAAGACTAAGAATTCAGATTATAAATTTTCTTTGATTATTTTCTACATTGAATGAAAATGTGAGATAAAAAGTAAAATGCAGCTTTTTTTAAATCTTAAATCTACTTATAATTGCTTCTTTATTATAATAAATCGCTGAAATCATGCTAAAAGCCGATTTTATCAAAATAAAACTATACATTGACAATGTCAAATTGACATTTCATGCGAACACTAGCGATGGGCGTTGAATCAACGGACTAGTTAAATCAACCGTTGACGTAGAATCAACGTGTCGACAGTTAACAGTGTTTTATCAACTAGTTAAAAAAGTCGACGCCTAAACGAAGAACGTACCGTTCGTCTAGCAACATGTTACAAAATAGTGATGAGCCCTTCACTCGCGAGGTGCCTCGTTTCACTAATTAATATCGATTAATTAGTGATTAATTCGAAGTATAAATGATTAATCGATTTTAATAATGGAACATTTGACACTATTAATAATAAGTTGCGGTTTGTGGTCATTCTATTAAATAATAATAAGCCTGAACATTGATGAGCGTATTCTCATATTCTCTTTAGTAGCGAAAAGTAACAAGTGCTTGAAAGAGTCCTGTTAGGTCCTGGGTAGCTAGCTCAGTGGTTAGAGAACTCGCCCGGATTGCGAAAGGTCATGGGTTCGATTCCCATCTCAGGGTGCTGGCACCCTGAGACCAAGTGGATTTTTGTTGTGCTGGGACCAAGTGGATTTTTTAAGCATTTGGTATTAAGAATAATCTAATAAAGTTTATTTTTTAGAATTTGAAGACAAAATATGTTTTCTTTAGCATTACCGACTCTCTCCCTCATTTTGTACCAAACGGCAACGTTGCGCGCACCTCGCTACGTGCTCATTCACTGCTACTGTAACATTACCTATCCTCACCTCAAATAAGGGGTAACTTGCGAGCCCCTCACGAGGGAAAATGAGGTCCTCACTCATCCTCGTTAAAAAAGACTGAGTTACACAACGCTATTACAAAACTGCAACGCATAACTTTATCTGTATAATACAATAGTATTCGGTTGCTTTCCATTCATAAAGATTCGATGTAACTTTGACAGATTCAATAATTTAAACTCTTAAGTCAAAGGAAGTAAGTAAATATTTGAACACGCGTGTCTAATACATAGGCCTTGTTTAAATAAATGTTAAACTTGATTGTTGTTTACGATGACGCGCGAAGAATTCCGTACCATCATCTATAAAATGGCAAAAAAATCAAATCTGTTGTTTTTGTATGGGAACCAACCTGGGTATTTGGTTTATTTAAATTTAATTATTTATTTTCAAAGTGAATAACTGTATAGCCATATCTTCTGTAAATATTTCAAGCGTCTTGACCTAATATTTCAAGCAATTATCGAGCAAAAACATTATTCTATTTTATAAAAGCAAATGTTTATTCTAGTAACGCAACTTATATGAAAATTTTAACTATTTATCTATCAAGGTTCTTGAGATACACCCTGGTGGCAGACGGGCGGACGGCGAAGACTTAATAATAGGGTTTCGTTTAACCCTTTGATTACGAAACCCTAAAAAACATCTAATCAGAATAATAGAGCCATCTTTTGAATAAAAAAAAATAAGGAACTGTTTAGTTTTACCATCATAATCACATATATAGAAAATAATTAATCATAACCTAACTTATAATAGGTAGTTCTTGGTTAACACGAAAAAAACCATCACCAGTTACAGATGATTAATAATTTTAAATCAAATCAAAATTATTTATTCAGTCTAGGCTATTACAAGCACTTGTGAAAGTCAAGAGCTACGCTATCGGTTCGTAAATCTACGGCGGGAGACCTTGTACCGAGAAGAACCGGCAAGAAACTCGGCAAGGGCTGCTTTTTTCTCCCTGTTTTATTTCATACAGAGCGTCAAGTTTAAAAAATGACTTCATTAAAATTTGAAGTCACTTTTCATTACAATATTACACAATTTAAGAGTAAAACAGTATTTTCGTCAATCCAATCACATGTGTAGCCAAAGAAGCTCACCGATAAACAATTTAATATATATGAAAAATGAGCCATATTTAACTCCAAGCAGTTTTGTCGTTTAAATATTCATTAACAGTATAATATCCTTTACTGAGTAGACAATTCTTAATATGGGTTTTAAACTTAGGTAATGGTAAATTTAAAATTTCCACAGGAATTTTGTTATAGTAGTATACACCTTGACCCATAAATGACGATAGAACCTACTTTAGCCTGCATGACGGCAAAACAAGTTTATCTTTGTTTCTAGTATTAATATTGTGTACATGACTATGTTTAATATAATTGTTAATATTTTTTCTAACATAAAGTATACAATTGTATATGAATTGGGAGGCCACTGTTAATATTCCAATTTCTTTGAATTTATCTCTAAGTGACGTTCTTGAACTCAATTGATAAATGGCCCTTACTGCTCTTTTTTGTAAAATAAATATAGACTCTATATCTGCAGCCATACCCCACATCAGAATGCCATATGACATAACGCTATGGAAATAACTAAAGTATACCTGAAGTTGACATCGAAAACATCATGTTGTCTTTTTTATCTAATAAGAAGTTTCTTTAGTAAACAAAGATCGCACTAGTGTGACAGTTCAAAATTTTTTACGTGACGTCAACATATAGCTATCGTACCACCTGTCCGCCATTTGCAAAGTTGCAGTGCGTATTCTCGGAAGTAGTTCAGCTGTCAGTGTTATAAGTTTTGTGGTTATTTTCATTTATAACTTTAATTTATATAATTTAAATTTAGAAAACTGTAAATTATTTATGCAAAACAATGCCTAGGTGCAGTGTAATTGGTTGTGCGTCATCGATATCCCGAAAACCGAGCAATATTACGTTTCACCGGTAAGTTAAACACTTTCTTAGAAAAACAGTATTTAAAACGTAAGTAAGTTATTCTGAAAATAATTGCGTGTATAAATCGATACATATCGTATTTTGGCGTGTTCTATTTATGTTATATTGCTCTTTTCGTTTATATTTTTATAATATTTCGGTCCGTAAATAATGTTGTTTACATGGCTAGTGTTGTTACTTTAACATTTGGTTTATATCGGTAATTTTATTATTTAAAAATATATTCATTATTTTAGATTACCAAAAGATGAAACAAAAAGAGGAATATGGCCGAGTTCCATTGGAGCAGAAAATATTAAATATAATGAAAAAGTTACTTTTATCTGCTCACTTCATTTTAGGGAAAGTTGTTTGGATCGAACTTTAAATATAATAAAATTACGAGATGATGCATTGCCAATGAAATACGCTGGTAAGAATTTTTGACAATTGCTTTTAACTTAATTTTACAATTTTTTTGTCTATTACACTTAGTTAATTTTCATTTGATTTTACTATTTTATTTATTTAGTTTTTTATATAGTCATTTTGCTATTCTATAAATGTACCTTATTTTTAGTCTTGCGGTCATATGACAACTATTTTAATTGAAAAAAATCAGAATGCAATATATAATAATATTAAAACATAAAATTCTGATCATAATGTACTCCCAGTAAAATTACAATAAAATGAGTTTAATAATTTTAATAAAAATTTAAAGGTTTTCTTTGCTGTTCAATAGTATAATCTTAATACCCAAATAAAAGGGATGATGACTGGGTAAAAAAAAATGCAATTCTATTTAGTCCGTCACTCAGATAATAGAAAAATATTAGATACGTATTTTTTTTTACTTCTATTTAATAACAGGCATTAAAGTTGAGGAGTGGGGGCTCGCTACGTTACAGTTGAGTAGAAAACGAACTCTAACGTGACGTCATACAAAATTTCAACTCAATGTAACGCCGTAATTTTATGATTACGAATATAATAAAAAAATACGTGTTTAATATTTTTTAACACTCTACCTGACGGACAAACAAACAAAAATTAGTCATCATCCCTATTATTTTGCGGCGTGGCTGTTTATTTTGCTGATGCATCATAAAATACGCTACCTTTTTGTATTTAAATTGCTGACCGTTATCATGATTGTTCACAGAACATGAATTGCAGACAGTTTTAGTGCTGAGAAAATATTTGTATGCTTGCCCATTGATTTATCGGCTGTTTTCTTTTTGCTAACCAAATTTTTAAATAAAATGCCAATTGTTACTTTTTTAATAAATTATATTACTTTTTCATCTACCAACTTTGTTTTCTTTATTTTCTCTTGTTTATTCATCAAAGTTTCTTTTACAAATAATATAATACAAAGATGTTTCAAGTTTTCTATGTTTACTACTAAACAAGATGCTCTGAACTAAAATTGTGATACAGTACGCACGGTATCTCACTTAATGAGGAGTAAGCGAAATTTATTCAGTCAATACAATTTATTGAATAAATTTATAGACAAGTTGGCTTACTAGTTACAAGCATATAAGAAAGTCGAAACTCTGTGCTTATAGTTCGTAAATCTATTACGGGGAACCTTGTACCGAGAAAAGAAGAAGGGGAACCGGTAAGAAACTGCAAGTGCTGCTTTTGCACCCTGTTTAATTTCGTACTGAAAAATTAAAAAATGACTTCATTGCACCAAAATGTCACCTTCCACTATAACAATAAAAAATATATAACAGACAAAAAAAACATAATAATTCATTCGTCAATCGAGTCATTTAAAGCTTATAATAGTTACCGTGGCAGTTATCTTGGACAGTGGTCACACTTCCCGTGGATGCAAAATTAAACTTATGTTAAAAAAAAAACTAATTATAGTTGCAAAATACATATGGAAATAATTATAAAACACGATTGATATTATTGTTAAACTTTTAAGATATATATTTTGGTACTATAGTTCTTAAAACTACGTAAAATTGTCTATATTAGAGGAAAAAGAAACATATTTATCGAGGTACAATCATATTTATAATAATATTTGTATAGTATAAATGTGAAAGTTTGTGAGGATGGATGTTGGTTACTCTCACGCAAAAACTACTGAACGGATTTTGATGAAATTTGGAATACGAATAATCTTTTACCGGTGGGAAGCGCCATCATACGCTGGTAACATAGGTTATAATTACTATACTGACGCAACGGAGTCGCAAGAACAATGAGACTTTTAGATGTATAACAAAACACGAGCAAAAGATTGCATAAAGATTTATAAATAATTGATAAATTCTCGCCACTTTTAACAAAATATTATTTTCTTAAAACTGGCGTGAATTTATCTATTTAATTAATAATAATCATAAATAGGATTGCTACGTAAGTGTGAAACGAATAGAGGTATAATAGGTATAGTTTAGCATGCCCTAAAATGGAAATATATTATATTATTTAATAAGTAGTTGTTTTGTAGCAATTTCACGAAATACTAACTTTTATTTAATATGACTTCAATGTCGATACAAATATCGATATCATGGGTCGCGCCCTATGACAGTCCGCCATCGAAGAATTTGCATTTCAAGTTTAGGCATATACGCTTTTTTCGTAGGTATGGCCGGTCCTCTTCTTTTAAGCTGAACTTAGTTTTCCTGCCAATAATGAAATGTGATGAATTAATTAATTTTTCAATATTGATATACGGCTTATTTAAACCATACAAATCGTTGAACTTCACCCAAAGTTCATACCGACGCAGTTTCATACGTTAACTATAGCTTAAATTAACTAGTTGATCGACTAGTCGATGAAGGTCCATGAACGGCTTCGTTTCGTCGATGGTAAATCTCTCAACGACCCACATCTGGCGAAATATTTATTTTTATTTTATTGTACACAACAAACAGTTTCCACAATACATATTAATACAATGATATCTTACAATAAATATGTATAGGTCATTGTGAAACACTCACCGTTATCCATATGTTACTAAGTGTTAAATTGATGCAAACAAAGCGTCTACGATGAGGAAGTATTTAAAAACATCTGTTCACGAAATCAAAAAAGATGTTGCTACGGTACTTTCTTGATTTCTCCATGACAACCTTAACGGTTTTCTTTCATGTATAAAAGTAAATTAATTTTCAAAACTCGCACGTACAACGCATGTACACAGTGCCGGTACACCGCGTGAGGTACCACATAGCACAGTTTATTGCTCAGCTCCACGCAATCAAATTTATTATTACAAATGTTTATAAATAAGAAATGCCATCTATATAATGTTCGTCTATCTGTACTTGTTTACCAGTTGATCGTATGACTGACGGATACTACAAATCTTATAGTCAACAAAAGGTACAATGAAAATTTATACAAAAAAAAGGCAGACGGTCGATTAAAATAGCACGTCTTTGATTGCACTAATATGGTAGGTGCAATTCAAAGTCAAATAAAATACCTAGGTCCTTAATGGACCTGAGTATTTATCACATAACCGGTATTTGTAATCAAATATGTGATGGTTTATCGTTAAAGTAATTTGGTTACATCTGGAAATATTGAGTTGTAACTTATTCTCAAGACAGTACTTTACGAAGTACAGTACGAATCTCTCTAGATCTTGTTGTAATAAGTGAGTATTAATGACATTTATTATTATTGTTTTATAAATTTTAAGATCGTCGGCTAATATTAAAAAATGTGAGTGCACAAAGCAGTTCATAATGTCGTTGACATATAAAATAAATAACATAGGCCCAAGAATGGAGCCTTGTGGAACTTCTAATGTTATGCAGACGGTTTCACTACAGCCATCTGAAGTCTACCGAGATTAACGATGAGAACCATCTTAATATGTCAGGGGCAAGGTGAATAATAAGTCACAAATGAGGAAGTATTAAAAAAAAAACAGTAGTTCCCGGAATTAAAATAGATGTTGCTACGGTACTTTCTTGATTTGTCCATGACAACCCTCCCGGTTTTCTTTTATGAATAAAATAAAATTGATTTTCATAATTCCATAAACAATCCTTACTCTATTTGTACTTTTTCATATTTGTATTGATATCTTAGTTTCGAACTTTGCAAATTTCCTTTTTTTAATATGTTTGTTAAAAGGATCGGATATGATTATTTTTAGTCCATTCGTTTCTTGCAAAAATTTACTTTTACTTTTGCATCTAGTGAGGTGCTTTTTAGTGCCTCCTTTTTTTCTTATAAACTTCCTCATTCACCAGAGAAAACTTTATAATTCACCATCTTTTCATTTATTTTCGATACTATGAATTAACAACAATACTATCCTTCAACATTAATATTAGCTGTTAAATGAGTGATAATAAATTAAATACCGAATTCAATGGTAAATAACATGCAGCTAGCAACCCAAAATACATATGAACCAATCACAACACCTGACAACTACAACATCTCTATGTACTTATAGAAAAAAAAGAAGAAGAACGACAACATTAATCTGTCAGAACGTCTTTCGTGAGGCAGACTTCTTCTTCTTTTTTATTAATGGGTTATCTGTGCATTTCACACAATTCTGTCATTGTCAAATGAATACATTAATTTGTATATGTAAAATTAAAATGAAACGAAATATGGCGATAATCACGATAATCTTTATTTTTTCTTTCAGTAATATCTTTTCTGCGCATTTCGCAATATTCTGCTAAGGTCAAGTCAATAAATTGATTGAAAGATATGCTCTAGTCTACGGTGACGTTTGGAATTTGAAGCTTTTAGTGATGTAATATAAAATTCATCATTAAGATATTTGATTTTGAGGTCAATGTAAAAAGCAGGAGTTACAGACATCTCTTAGTTTCAATTTCAAAGTAATCTTATAATGTAATAAATATTATTATGCATTTTTCTTAATGAAAACTTTTTTAACATTTTTTTGTTTTTAAAATATATTTACTAACTCTTAATACAACACTAAAGTAATGTACGTCTTTACATCCTCTTTTTCCACCTATTTGTCGTGAGCAAAGAGACACTTAGATATTTTGGATATATTATTATGCATTACACTTAGTAATAACTTATTGGTGCGTTATTCATTTATTATTTGTGATTTTCTTCTATTATTCATAGTATAATACCGATAAAATACATAATTTAACAAATCAATATCACGAAGTTGTGTATTAATAATAATCATAGTAGTTAAACGCATGGGGGACCCATCAGACTGCTTGTGCTTACAGGAAGACTTAAATAGACTTGTGGATTGGAGTGATCGTAATCACATGACATTGAACATAAACAAATGTAAATATATTCGATTTACTCGCAAAAAAACATACAACCCATACAAATATAAAGTTAAAAACCAAGAATTGCAGGAAGTTACTGTGTTTCGCGATCTGGGCATCTATTTTGATAAAAAACTTAACTTTAATACTCACATAGATGAGCTTGTCAAAAAATGTTTTAAAATACTTGGTTTTGTCATAAGAAATACAAAAGACTTTGGGCTTCCTAATAGCAAGATTCTTATATTTAACGCATTAATTAGATCTTCCTTGGAATATGGTAGTGTGGTGTCGTCTCCTCGTTACGAAGTACATATAAAAAGAATAGAATCGGTACAAAAAAGATTTTTATGGCATTTGTCTTTTCAACATAATATGGCTAAAGAGTTACCTTCCTATAAAGAACGATTATCACATTTTAATTTATCTAGTCTACAAGACCGAAGACTATTATTGGATCAGTTATTTCTATATAAAATGGTTAACGGTGCATTGGATTGCTCAGCTCTTTTACAACAAATTAATTTTAATATTCCACGTAAGCATGTTAGACCCTCGCGTTTTAAATTGTTCTCTCCTAAATCTTTTAAAAGTAATCTAGGACACAATTCGGCATTAAATAGAAGCAAGAATCAATATAATGTAATTGCGAAAAGAAATAAAGTATTAGATATTTTTTCCAAATTTAACTTGTTTTAATCTAACATGATTGCTGCTATAACAGATAAGTAATTGTTATCATAATGATAGAATAACTAAGCATAAACTTATTATACATCTCTCACGTATTTCCTCCTGTGTAACTGTACATGCCGTGGCAGCTTGTAATTGAGGCATATTAGATGGCACACTTCATCTAATTGCATCGATAGTTGCGTTCAGAGTGTCGAAGAATAAAATGGTTTTAACAAATAATAAATATATTTTGGTTGTAAAATATATATATTAATGAATGACTTATAAACGACAGTGAAAAAAGACAAAATAATAGAACAAGCAAAAACAGTAGTTGACAGTATCATAAAAGAATAAAATTATTGTCAAGAAAAAGGTTGTCTTCAAAACCTCTTTTCTCTAACAAGGCAACACTTATTTGCATGCTATTTTATTATTGTAATAATGCTATTAGCAGTGTATTGCTTGTAAGCTGTCCTTAAATAAATAAATCATAAAACTGATATGGTTTTTGCACAATAACTTAATTTGGTTCGTATTTCTTTGAAAACCATATCGTTTAGTAAATATAACAGAAAATTTAAAAAGGTGCTTTACTATCAAGTTCTTCGATAGATGTCAAACCCAAGATTTGGCTGTATGGTTTAGTTTCTTCTCCAGTCTCATGTATGAAGCTACTACTACTACTACTTGATAGATGTCAACCCAAGATTTGGCAGTATGGCTTAGTTCCTTGAAATGAAATTACTACTTGGTAGATGTCAAAAACTGTCAAATATGACGTTAATACCTACTAAGTCTGTGGTTATTACTGGAATTTATGTTTGATGTTTTGATTTGTAGTTTTAAATGCTAATAATTAAAAGAAGACGAAGATTAGTAGTTTTATTTTACCTTATTCGTAAAGTTTTAAAAGAACTACCTACCTTTGAAAATGCAATCCGACACACAGATTCAGCAAACAGAACAACAAATCGAGGCACAGCCTGCAAGTGAAGATTCAACAAACGCCATGGTCGTGAAACAAGATAATATTGTAATTGCACCGGCAATGGTGGTCCCATCTGAACAGGCTTCGAATAATCCCATAGTCAAAGAAGCACAGAAAACTCCTCCGAAAAAGCCAAAAAAACGAAAACCAAAAGTTCCTCGTGACAATACAGCTCCTCGGCAGCCACTTACTGGTAAACATATATTTATCCTTATAAAAGTCAATATATAATCTAAGTTTAAGGTATGGAAAACAGCCTAAAAATTTGTATAAAAGATAAGTTATTAAAAGATACCATATTAGTGAGTATAATATATGAAACTTATTATATTTATTATATATATAAGTCACCCACCAAGGGTCCCATTATATGATTCATAGTTAACATAATTTGCTGATTGTTCTTTGCTCAGCTTTACTATAATTAGAAGATTTCCAATTAATATCCCCACTACAGGCTTTCAATATGGCCCAGTCTGGATTGGTGGATGTAAACAACTGCAGCTGCAGCTGGGAGCTATAGCGTCATATGCCTTCCAAAGTATGGAAGAGCACAAGATTATGAATTTTTTACAACATCCTATCAATGTTCCTTGCAAAAGATGAATGACTTGCACATCAAGGACTGAACAAGCTAACTACTGAGCCACAGAGCTCCACTAAATAGTAAAACAAAATTAACCTCATATTTCCATTTAGATTTGAGTTTACAACTGATTTTAATTGTTAAAAACTTGTAATTAGCAACCATTCTATTTTTTTTTAACTCAGGATGGATTACATATAGAAATATAAAACAATATATCCTTAGTTTTAAATGTAGTATCTGCCTGATTGTAACTTCACATTCTGATTGGGAGGATACCATATAATGACAGTATAATTGTCATTTACTTGTTTCTGATGCAGACCATCAATAAGTAGAACTGATCTTCCAATTCAAGTTATTAAATGAATTCTGATTGTAGGTTATGTAAGATTCTTAAATGAACGTCGTGACCAACTTCGTGCTGAACAACCAGATTTGGGCTTCGCAGAGCTGACACGCCAGTTAGCAAGTGAGTGGAGTAAGCTACCTACTGAAGAAAAACGGCATTACTTAGATGCTGCTGATCAAGACAAAGAAAGGTAATAAAAATTTGTCTGTTGATGACGTTGAAAGAGATACAGTTACTCAAAGTTACTTTTTTAAATATTAAATTTAATATAGAGAATAAGAAAAAATGTAAATGTACTATGTACTGGTATTAATATATTTTTTCTAGTTCTAGTTAAAACCTGATTTTAAAGTTAGTCCTCATTTAATATAACAATACAATACTAATAAAAAAAAAAAGTTTGATAACATTTAAAAGGAGACATTTTATATTAAGGTATATCAAAGAATGGGCAGAGTATAAAAAAACTGACTCATATAAGGAATTCAGACGGCAACAAGTGGAACAAAAGGAATCAAGTATTGCTGCAAAGAAGATGAAACATAATACTACTACAGAAATAACATCAAATTCAAGTAAACTTAAATCTTATATTAATTTGTTTTTTTTATTCACTGTGCTATATTAGATGTTTATCAGATTGAAAATAGTTAAACAAATCATGTCCTAAATGTCAGAGATTAATTAGCTTTTTATATTATTTGTTTGATTTTTAGGGCTCCCTACCCAGAGGGTAAAAACCGGGACTCTATTACTAAGACTGCTGTATATGCGTTTGTCCGTCACCGTGCTGTTCTCATGAACCGTGATAAACAGTTGAAATTTTCATAGATGATGTATTTTTGTTGACACTATAACAAAAAAACTGAACAAATTTTAAAAAATACATGAAAAAATGAACTTAAATAAAAACTAAAAAGAAAAAATCAAGCCCAGTAGTTTAGTATTCTGTTAAGTAATACTAAATAACTACACAATTGAAATAGTTTTATAATCGATACACACATAAAACAAGTAATAAATTTCATTCAAATTTTACCAACCAAATCTTCCCAAGGGGCCCCGCCTATGAGTCGTTCTGTTCTGCATTAGAATTTCTTATTCGTTTTATGTGTGTATCCATTATAAAACTATTTCAAGTATGTAGTTATTTAGTATTACTTAACAGAATTCTAAACTACTGGGCTTGTTTTTTTCTTTTTAGTTTTTAAGTTAATTTTTTCATGTATTTTTTTTAAATTTGTTTTCAAGCAGTCAGGATTTTTGTTTTTCTTTAAATTTTTTATTTTTTACTTTTTTACCAAAAATATTTGTGCTTCTTAATTTTCACTGCTTTTTTTTGTTTGTATATCGTTTATACTTTAAATAAAAATTTAAATCAATAAGTAAGAAAATTAGCCAATATAATTGTTTTGTTAAACAACTTTAAATCGTAATATATCCTAAACTATTATTTAAAATGAAAAGTGATAAAAGGAACCTAAAGATGATTTTAAAATACCTATTTAACGACACCCCACTTGACATAGCTATCCGATTTTTTTTTATCATTTTGACAATATGGCGTCTGGTTGTCGCTGTGGTGAATTTTGATTACTGTCATGTCTTTAGTGACACTCGCAAGGTTAAGACGAATCGATTGACGTAAGAATCATCAAAATCGGCCTACGCATTTGGTCTCTAGAACGCCACATAGAAACAAACATACATACATAAATAGACTTATAAACACATTACCCTCCTTTACGTCGCGCATTTGGGTAAAAACAGAATAGAATAAAAATTGAAGGAGGCTTCTATCCACTAAGAGTAATTTATTTGTTCGTTTTCTGATACAGAACATTCACTTGGCCAGTTTTTATCATTAATGAGTGTGCTATTAACATTATTTTATAATCGTCATTACCCTATTCATTTCTCCGATGTGTTTACAGCAACAAGTCAAACAATAGCAGATCAAAATGTAACAACGGTAAATTGTAATAATGCTATAATCCCAGCAATAACAACCCCGCGCCAGCAGACTCCACCAAGACCTAAACCATGCATCACTCCAGCATTAGTAAGTAAAGTAAAGTTTAAAAGAAAAATTTCATATCAAAATTACATATGTTGGTGATTATATCTGTTTTAGATTTTGTTGATATCAAATATTATGTTTATTCTTACGTAACTAGCTTAAGCAATTATGCACATGTGGTGTGGTAATATGATAACTTCTCAGACTCACAATAATATGTTAAACGTAAAATATACTCACCTTTTTGAAGTTAGATTATGGAATATTACATGGAATTTTTTTTCCCCATCAGGGTGAAGATATGCACAATGGTGATACGGACATACCAATATTTACAGATCAATTTCTTCAGCACAATAAATTGAGAGAATCTGAACTTAGGCAACTAAGGAAAGCTAACTCTGATTATGAACAACAGGTAAGTTAACATTAAAAAATACATTGATTTCGTTGCAATAGGACTGACATATGGACATACGTCTATTTTTAAATGCTATTACCACTCCAAAGAAACTTTTTTTTTATATTTTATTATGCAACGAAGATAGGAGCCGACACTGTCTTTGATGCAAGGGTCATCTTCATGAGTATAATAAAAAAAAATAGATTGATTCAATATTTTTCGTATTTTCGTTCAAGGACAAAGTTCTCGCTCAGGTGTCATTTTAATTCGTAAGGGTTATAGTAGTTAGTAGTAGTCGTCTTCATTCAGTCGTGATTCACGATCTTTAACTGCTGAGAATCTAACCAAACGCATCAATTTGAAGTCACGACAGTAGGTGTTAATATTGACTACACACAACTGCACGAAACCGCGTGATGTATATTATTATTATACATATATTATGCGGTTGCTGGGTAAAATACAATGTATTAAAGACCATTTGTAAATTAAGTCGCATTAATTTCATGATTTTTTCGATATATAAAAACGTAAGTATTTCGAAACTAGATTTAATTTACATATCATATCGTGTCGTATCAATAACCCACGTTGCTTTTCCCCATTACTAAATTGAAAATTGCAAATTCTGAATGCGTTAGCTTGATATTGGCGCTTTCTCTTTTTAATGGTTCTTGGTGCAAAACAGATGAAATGTTTATGATATCCACGGTTCAGAACTACGAGCGCTCGAGTCTCGATAAATGACCGTTATCTTCGTGGCAATAAGGTTTATTTTGCAGTAGCCAAGGTAAGTTTACTATTTCAGCACTGACTAATAAATACTAAGGACTTATTAGACCAAGAGTTCATTCAACTCTGTAAGGTTCGTCAGTACCTCTTTAGATTAATGTTAGCATTTACTAAGAAACTGGGAAATACTCTACGACGATGAATACAGATGTGTTATTTTCAGAATGCCATACTACAGCGACATGCGGAAGAAGTAAGTGGCGCCACATCACGACTTCGCGCTGAAACTGCGGCCGCCGCTGAAAGAACTGCAGCGTTGCTGGCTCACAGACGTGCACTCGTCAATGCGTTAGTGCAAGCACTGCAAACATTTTCTTTGCCAGGTTTGTAGTTATACTTTCATTTCTATGTTATACATCCCCGTCGGTGACGTATCCGCGTAGTGCATAAATATACAAAAGCCAGGGACAAAGTGGCTTTTTCAAACATTTTTCATTACGAATGTTTTTGTGAATGTAAAATTGATCAAATATAATAATTAGAACAAACAAATATTATTTGTCAGATTGTGACTTTTATTTGCAATGCTATCTTTAGGTGGTCCTGCTGGTGCAACAGAAGCTAACATTGAAGAATACATGGAGAAGTTACAAGCTCTCGCAGCAGAAACGAAACCAAATGCGGTTGTGAAGCAGGCTCGTGACATTTTGAATAGGATCGAGTTGCCTCTGAATTAAAGATAATGCAGTATTTAAATAAATTATTTATAATGTCTTTGGTTGTTGTTTCATTAAAGAGATTTCTTTTTCCCGTTTAGGTAATACATAATGGACAGATTATATTAAATAGCAATCTATAGTAGATGCGTATTGTAGTTTTGGAGAACTAACTAGATTAGCTGGGAACTCTTGATACACATTCAAATTGGTTTTTTGCGAATTATTTTTATTGCTTAAATGATTATCTCTATTTAAGATATATAAGTGAGAATGAATTAGTCTCAAGATCAAAATGTTGCCAGCCTGATGTCAGCACAGCAAAACCAGTCTCGTTTATCTCTAAAATTGTAACTTGACTATTGGCCTCTTTTGTAACGGACTGGTAAATCAGTGACTAGATCAAGATTAATTAAATCAATGGCCAGATCAAGAATTATTTTCAAAAAGAGGGTGGCAATGCCAGACATACACTATTTTCTTCCTACAGCTGACATGACCCAATAAATTGATGAAATACCAAGTCAACAACATGGACACATTCTTTCATAATTTCTGTTGGTTTTAAAGCTTGGGGTTGAAATTTCTATCTCCACAAGAATGTTAGCACACAAGTAACACGCCTTGATACTTTTGGATTTTGTCAAAACTACTTAGTTTATATGTAGGAGATTTTGAGATGGAACAAATGATGTGACACAGTATAAAAAATTAAAAACTTATCAATATAATTTAACCAAAAGGTTTGATTACAGTTTTCTACAATTAAAATTTATTTATTTAGTGCAACTGCCATCAGAATCTGCCTCATCCTCATTATCATCTATTTCATTTGATCTGTTTGTGTCATACTCATGTAGTTTTTTTCTCCACATTTTAATTAATGTGTCCCATGATCTTCTGCTATATTTAGTGTATTTATCAGGCGTTTTTGGATGGTCTTTGGTACGGCTGTCCCTAAAAAAAGTAACTTCAATTAGTATCTCACAAACCCTTTTGAAATTGCTTGCATTAAGTGTAGTTCATATGTTCCCATACATTGGCACTTGTTGTAGGTAATTGTGGTACCCAACAGTATTTTTTCCATAGTCAATTTGTTTTTGCCGTCTTTGAAGAATTGCTATATCTGTTTCCAGTTCAATAGGCTTCCTGGAGGGATGGCTAAAAATATAACAAATGATAAAGTTAACATTTGGCATTATTGAATATAATAATTAATGATATATATTCTCAAAAACAACATACTTAGATTTGGTTGAATCTGAATCACTGTTGCTATGATACTTTACTCTTTTCCTATTCCGTGAATTCTCCCTGCTTTCTGGTTTGAATTTTTCTTTAATTCCTCTTATTACTGCCATTTCCTCGGAAGATGATACAATTTTATCTGCTATTAAAATTTCTCAGTTAATTTATTTCATACATTACTTGCATTATTTATTTACTGCTTACTGTATTGTTTCATAAGTATGTAATATACTTTTAATGTATTGACTTTAACTTAACTGCTTTTGACAAAGTCTAATTTCATCTAGTGTACAATATAAATTGCAATAAATGTGTTTATATGCTAAAACCACAAGGTTCTAAATGTTTTTATGGTACCTTTTCAGGTAGGTCAGGAAAAATTAAATCATTTATCAATAAATTATAATACATGAAAAATTACATATCAAATCCTTCACTAGATGCAATTGTTTTCAAGTTCATAAAATTACAACTAAAGGTACTTGTGTATAATTATGTATCTAAAATATATTGTCAGAGTATAAATTATTGCGGGTGTAGGTTAGGTAAGATTATATCAAGTAAGCACCAATATAACATATCAGTAATGTATTATCTTACTAGAATTATTATAATTTAACCTTATTATAATTTTACGTCGACATTTAAATACTAGTTTAATAAGAAAAAAGAATAAAAGTCACTTGATTCTCTAATCACAATTAAAGAAAACTGCCGCCAACTATAAAATATCAGTTGAAAAAATTTACTCTGTGCATCATTTCACCCGACCATTTTTTACTCGAATGAATGAATTTTAACTTACCACTTTCATTTTCCGAGCCATTGTAGTTTAAGCGCTCCATATTGTATATTAAAAGAACTTAGCTTAATGTTATAAAATGAGGAGCTTTATTTTTGTTTGTAATATTCGTTTTGAAACGAAAAGAAGCACCATTACGAGAACACCAATTTGTTTGTTGTTTGAGGGATGTACGATGTAAAAATCGATACACATCAATATATTGCTACTTAAGAAAATCGGTATATATTTAAATCAATGAAACAGTAAAATCAATATAGAAAAATACCATCATTTCGAAACCATATTGTCTAAATTTTAATATTCAATGACTGCTGTTCACAGTGACATTTTTATAGTATTAAGTAACCCTGATTTAAAATTTATAGTAGATTTTAAGTTTTCGTGCCTAAAGGCCAAAACGCGACTCCGCTGTCTATTTAACTGTGTTAGATCGAATAATGAGACGAATATTCTTAAGAAAGTTTTAACTGTAACATAAATCACACTATATATATGTTAAAATCATTGTATCCAGTAAATAACCAGTAAAGACAATTGCCACGTACAATCAAAAGCAAATTGATATATGGAATAGTCTGCACGTCATTTAGTTACCAGGACATAACTCATGTAAATCATGAACAGTGACAGTTAGGTTGTTGAAATATTCACAAATGATTCTTTTCTGATGCCGCCATGACAAAAAAAAAAATCACAGTATAAAATACATAAAGGAACCCCAAACAACACTAATAAATTTTTCATTTTTTTTATATTGAACTCTTCATGGGCCAAGTAATGGTCCTGATTAATAAAACATGGTCATTGATGCTAGAAGCACGAAATTTTTTAATGGTTTTTCACTAGGATAGCTTATTAGAAAAAAAAATAATAATCCTACCATAACTGTTTCTAAATGAAAAAATATGTATTTTTTTTTAATGAAACAAATTAAATTTCAATTACTTTCTCGAAATTCTTGAAAGATGTATTATCACATATCTTAGAAAACAAGTGATTATGAGTATTTCATGCAAAGATAGATTTTAGTTATCTCGCAATTCTTAGTTGACTTTTAAAAAATGTCAATTTACTTATGATACTTTTGAATCTAAAAAAAATAACATAAGACATAACGACATTGTGAAGTAATATACCGATATTTTAGTAAACCTTGCATCCTTGTCTTTTATAAAGAGTGTATTTTTGTTAATGTCAATGTCATACTAACTGCCAATGTCAGATTGACATAATTCGGTTTGGTTCAGTTAGACAAAATGTCCAAATGTCCATGAGTTTGGTCAATGCTTTCTTCGATTTTACTATTATAAGCAAGTGTATAGCTTTTGTAATTTTTTAGAAAAATTGATCAGGAAAATGAATATATAAAGTTTGTGGAAATTGTTCCTGAACAATTTGCAGTAATCAATTGTATTTCATTGGTATTATTGGACAGAGTTAGATTGTATTACTTTGCTTTCATTGAAATGGTAATATTAAAAGTCCTACGTAACTCATATCATTTTAAATTTAATAATAGATTTATTACATATTTAATTAATGTTTGTTACTAGTTCTCTTTACTTTATATCAATTGTTTTTTGCTTAAAAACATAAATACCTATGGCTTTCAGACTGACATGGAGGTACAAGAAGCATTAGCTTCTTTGGACATGTTGATGTCTGAATTTTTTGCATCAGCTACAAGTAATTATAGGAAAAGGGAAATTGAGAACATGCTTGAAAATTTTTCTAATCGACAAGATTCATGGAAACATTGTTTATTGTTTCTACAAAAATCACAGAATCAGTATGTTCTAATGTTCACATTAACCACATTAGAGGTAAGTTGAAGTAGATTGTTAAATGTAAACTCTACAAGTATAGTATTTATTTGATAAGCCTTAAAATATCACAAGTTTGATAGATGTTCATTGACTGCAATCATTCATTTTAATATGGATTCATCTTAATAATTGGATTTTATGAATTTTATTATTGTTATCAATAACATTGAAAATGGTTTATGTAAGCCAATAAGTTTACATAAAACATTTTTAAAGTTATATGTTTAATATAACTTTAAAAATGTTTTATGTAAACTTATAAACTTATAAACATGCAAAATTTAGAAAAAATAATGGGTTATTGTTTTAACTCAGTCTTAATCAGTCTTTAAATGAAGCTGAAGACGAACTAAACTAAGAAATATACATATGTCATTTTTTGTTTAAATAAGTAATTAATATTTAAATGTGTTGATAATTTTAGTGAAGATTTTATTGTAACTTAAAATAATTTGTTCTGTTTGATCATATTTTGATTTTTTGAGGAATACATAATTTGTATGATAATACGTTCTTGTACAACTTCATAATCACAATGTTAAGTAATTGTTGATTCTTGTATAAATATTATATTTTTTTTTCATAAAAAGGTATTTATTTAGTTTAATGAATTAAGTCTCTATTTATTGTACTATCCTTAAACTTAAGCCCATTCTTCTTATACTTACATGTTGGAGAAGTTTATTCTTTTATTACTCCCTAATGTGTGAATTTTTGATTGGGATTTGGGGATTATCCATATTATTGGTAAATTTTGTAAACGCAAATGGGCCATGAATTAAAGAAGAAGTATTATTCTAACATATGGCAAGTATATAAAATAGCTCTACTAACTCCTATCTATTTATGTAACTGAACAATTTAAAAATGCAATTATAGTTATTGCATATTTAAACTGTTTATAATAAAGTTTTAACTAAGAACAGCTCCTGTGATTGTAATAAAAATTTGGATATATTTTTTTAGAATATTATCAACCGGCAATGGATAAGTTTGTCTGACAATGAAAAGTCAGAAATACGGCTTACATTATGGAATGAGTTGATGGCAAGGCATGAAGTAATGTTATACTTCATAAGAAACAAAGTTGCAGCATTGATGGTGTCTATTGCCCGCTATGATTGGCCACATCTCTATTCCGACTTTTTCAGTAATATTGTTGAGGTATGCTTATTATTAGCGTCCGACCAAAGTTTCATTTTCAAATCAGTAAAAGTCAGTATTTTTGACAAATTATATTTGCTGTATTTTTCCAAACCAATTCTTTTCAAATTCCTAGAACTTAGATTAAAGTTGTCTGTTGATAATTATTTATAAATAGTATATAGTCTATCAATAGTAGACTATCACTAAACTTTCAATAGCATGTCAGTAGCAGATGTCATAGCAATAGTATTGATAACATCAATAGTTCTTTACTGGGCAATGTTATTGATAGTGACCAATAGTATTGATAGTAATGCTCTGATAATATTGATCAAGATATAATAGTATTGCCTTGGTAGAGACTAATATGGCTCAACTGTGTACCTATACAAAAGGCTAAATTGAATAAATTGTTTTTGTACATAGAAAGTACTATTCAAAAGATTTAAACTTTGTAAGTAGCATCTTATTTCTTGTTATTTAACTAAGTGTCTATATAGGAATACAATGTATAAGACAGTCATTGATAGCAGTCTAAAGTACTTTGCATATAAGCTATAATTGGGGATGTTGCCGGTTACTAAACTATTGATAGTGGCATTGAATTGATATAACAGTTTCCATGATTTTTTTCACCAAAAATATCAGCTAATAGTAGTATAAACCATGGAACATATTCTAGGTTACTCTCTACTGTCATATTCGCGGCATTTCCTAAAAGATCTAGAATCGTTACCCATCCCTTTCTTTAGTGTCTTTCTTGTGTTGAGATCCCCGTTGATGCTGTTCAAACGACTACCAACGCCATCTAGTGACGTTTAGCACTAGTGCTTGATTAGCTAACGTGCGACGAGTTGCAGTATTTGTTACTATAGTGTGCGCGGAAGTGCTAGTCACCGCCTGAGGTATGCGGGCGGTGAGACGGGGAAGGGCGCGATTGACAAGACGCACATATTTACGGTCAGATAAATCTCAGGATAACATGATAGAATCTATCTTAATCAATGTAATCGCGGTATTAAGGAACGCGGTAGAAAGGAGTTCGGGTTGAGTATTTTCTGGTGTAAAGTCAACATAACCAATATTCGCGTAACCAATCTGAGAAAAAAACTGTGGACATTATAAATAATATTTTTCACTTGTGTAATTGGCGAACACATCTTAGGATATTTTATCTCATGTGTTTCGAATAAAGTGACACAAATAACTGAATCGTGTAATCGTCACGGCGGTCGACGGCAGACTGAGTCAGCTTGACGTTTATTTACCTCCCCAGTCCTGCCGCGGCGGTGACTAGCACTTCCGCGGACACAATAGCGACAGGACCTTTCACTTATTTAACAGTACCTCCTTCATAAACATGCTCTTTCCTAGCATGGTTGGTGCCATGATATCGCGCTCTTCGCTCGTAATCGTAAACCCTTCTGTATAACCCTTATGTTTAGGGTTGCCATAAAGTAAAAAAGCCTTACTCTGCATTGGACCGGACATTTTCGCATAAAAGCTAAACTTTAATAGTCAATCATCACTTAAATATAGGTCGTATGTTATTAATTTCGAATAAAATTCTCATTAATTATTAAACATTCAATAATTTTTGAAAATATAAACACACCGTTTGTTTATAAGTTTTGTATTAATTTCAGCTAATTAAATGTGAAGGTCGCCGTTGCCTTCTTGGCCTGGTGCTAGCACAGGCTGCTAGCGAGGAGCTAGGTGCAGCAAGGGATACTGGTGTCTTGCTTCCCTCCGCTCGTCGCAACCAGCTGGAACGTCTAATGCTCAAAGGCATGCCTCAAATGCTTTCCGCTCTAAGTGGTTAGTCTCTTTTTATTAGTGTGTATTATATAATTTATTTCCTATCCTAATTTAATTCTATATGGTGATTTAAAACATTACAGCTATACTGGAGAGAAATGCTCAGAAGGAAGAGCAATCTAATCCTCCACCATCTCCAACTAGCGGTATTCCACAGACTTCTGCACTTCCTGATTTGTTAGCAAATGCACATGATGTTCACAATGTCGATAAGTAAGTATTATGTCTGAAACACCTTTTCATTCCCACTGATTGAACGCATGCTAGATCGAATGAAAATATAGTATTTCCATCTATATTAGAATCACAGCTTGTTAAATTTATCCACAAATAACTTTATTTCTTCATAGGGCTCTCAATATGGAAATAGTAGTTAAATGTTTGACTACACTTCAGCATTTGTTTTCTTGGCTGCCTTTGTCATCTCATGTGCCGCCATCACTCGTGACTACAGTATTTTATTGGGGCAGTATAGCAACACAAACGCAGGTATTCAACTCATTATATTAAAGGAGATTAACCAAATATGGTTTTGATTTGTAACGGAATGAATTTTGTTAGTTACATTTATAAATAATAACGTCGATAGAAGTAAGAAATGACAAGTTTTTTTGCATTGGAATCCTATGACGGAGTAACTTGTAAATCTTTATTTTCATTTAAAAAACCTTATAATAAACATTTTGGAAAAATAAACACGTTTTCTTTCCTTAAAATTAAATCAAAATTTTAACTTTTTTATACCGGCCAAAACGCTGGAGGCATATTCATGACGTCATAATATAATAATAAATACACAAAAAATCCATAGATTAGAAGATTGGAAGATGTCAATAAAACAAGAACAATGCCATCTAACGATCGATGTAGAAATAAAATGTTATAATTAAGCTAAGAACAGCGCCATCTAAGGATTTTTTTTATACTCTAAATCTTGTCAGATTCGTTGTCGTCACAGCGACGTCACACAATGGCGAGTCGTGTTTCAAGTCACGTGACAAATAGACAAAAAATCACGACTTTTAATTTTAAGATAATAAGATAATCGTGCGACATAAGATAATCGACACTCAAAATCAGAATATCTGTGTTTATTACGATGTACGTTTTAGTTTTTATGCAATTTCGTGACTTATTTTTCACTACTGAAGTTACCCTATAGATAGATAACTTGAAAAATGACGCAAGTTACATCGTGATTGTAATAAATAGTATAATATTAAAGAGAAGCTTGGTGACTATCGCAAGGGTTAGTCATTGGTGACCAAAAATGTATTATCTCGTACTCCTTCGTGCAAAAGCAAACAAATCAATTAGAAGCGGAACCAAACTAATCATAAATACTGAGGAATCGTCAATTTTTATATCGTACTTTGACTTTTGTTTATAGTTACTTTGAGAAGAAGACCCTTCAAAACCCCATTTGCTTATCAGTTTTAAGGATTTTTTGTCTGCAGAGTTGTGCTGAATTGTTTTTAATATCCTATTAGTAGTTAAATCTAGAAGAGATTGAAGTCTTATCCTACCTTCAGATTCAGTTACAATAATGTCTGTCTCGGGAGGATAACATCTTTTTTTAGCGTCCAGAAGCTTGTGATAGGACGGAAGACCAAAAATATTATCTGAAGCAAGAATAGATCTCAAATTAAGATATTGCCATTTTGACAGATTTAATGACGTGACAAGCGCCAACGCCTTATTATCAGGTAAACACGGTTTCACAGTTTTCACAGTTTTTACAGTGAATAAAACGTCACTTACGATTTCACATTTTTCTTCATTTTGACTAAGTTCTTTTATTATAGATGCTAATATTGCTTTGTTGGATTCTTTTAATTTAAAACATAAAGCATAAAGAAGTTCCTCCTCAGTGTAATCTAGAAGTGTGAGAGAACGCCTTTTCTTTTGCTTATCAGATAAATCCAAAAAAGGTTTTTTACTAGTACTACAACTTGCTTGATTATCTACTAGCGTATCAATGATTGGAACTTCTTCCTCGGTAACTCTGAAAATGTTGTTTAAATCAATATTCTTACATTTTGGCCAAACGATTTCAGACTCTAACCAGTGTGAATTTTTGTTCAAAAACGTTTTTTGGGTTCGGCTAGAAGCAGACCATCTTTTTGAGACATTACTTGAAAAATTACGACAATATAATTTAATAATACTTAAATCTTCGGAAGATAATTCAACACCAATGCGTTCGGTAAGAGTTTTAAAAAGAAAATCAATATTTTTTGAACCACCTCCAGATTTAAGAGCAACGTATAAATCTAAGTTGGTGACAAATGCGGACATGTTCTATAATTTTTAAGGAAACTCTATTCAACCTATTTGTTTTACAAAAAGGATATTTAAAGACAAGACAAGTCAAAGACAAGGTGATTTTGTCCCAAAAACAAAAAAAACAACAAAAGCAAAATAGAGCTATCTCTTGTCGATATGAACAAAAAATGATTGAATTGTAAAATCCAAGGAGTGGAAAACGATAATACAAAAAACAATTAAAAAAAAACTTCAAAACCTACGTTAAAAACCTATCAAAGACAAAGGTACCTATCAAAAACAAAGGTATTTTAAACCAAAAATAAAAAATAACGAAAATAAAATCAACGAGAGCTAAACAAACATAAAATTTTAAATTATAATAATCCAAAGACTCTAAAAAAATAACAAAAACAAGTAACAATAATATAACAAACAATTTAACAACTGAGGTATTTATCCAAGCGTACAGAAAACGAAACACGTCTAATCGCAATCACATTTAGCTGTATACTGACGTGTGCGAGAGCGTGTCATGATACGTCATGAAAGGCGGCCATATTGTTATTCCGGCAAACTCGCGTCGAAGCTTCATATTTCTGGCCAGCGGACCTATAATCCATAAAAATGTAGCATTTTGAATGTAAAAACAAGATGTTTTTGAATATATACTTAACAGTGGTGTGTAACCTGCGTTATTATTACTAAACAGTCCATTTTAAAACTCATTTTCATATATTTAACTCGTACAAAACTATAATTTGAATTTACAAAATACATGAATTTTGATGCTTATTATCTCCAAAGTACGCAGCGATAGGCAGTAAGTTTCTTCGAATGAAATACTCAGAATAATTAGTTTTGTCACATATGTGATTGCCATCTTGACATCGCTTAAATTTTTTGAGAAAATCAATAAAATGTAATTTCTCCCATACAAAAAAAAACGAAATATTTTTTTTACCGAAAAGTATATGTGTCAGGGTAATAATATTTTTTTGCCTTATATGTTATCACTGTATCAACGTTCAAAAAAATTTTCGTCGCTGTAGCTTCAATGTCCATGACGAAGAAGTTTAAATCAAAAATATTTGAAAGGTAGTTAAAATATCATGTATGGGGTGTAGAGTATGGAGGCGGCGCTGGGCGGGTTGGGTGGTGTTTGCGAGCTCCTTTACCGTCGTTATGCGCCGCCGTCGTCCGCCGCGACCGCACTGCGGCTGCATCACTGCGCGCTGAGACTGCTCAGGCACCTCACGCACTCGCCTCACTATATGATGCACGCCCATCATGAGTATGTATCGATATGGCTGTATGGCAAAACCGAATTTGCCGCGAATTCAGATGCTATTTCAAGTTCAACGATGCTTAAGTTTTATTTATTTGTAATAATAATAAGGATGATGAGTAATTTGTGTTTGTCAGTTCGTATATAAGCATTTATTTATTTTTATTTTTTTGTAATCAATAAATTACGGCAATACATTTTCTACACAGTTGTGACGTAGCGAGCCCACACTCGAAACAAAAAGAAATAGGTGTCTAATATCTTTCTGTTATCTAACTGAGAAATTTTTTTACCCAGTTGTCATCCTTATTCTTATTAAGGAGCAATGTATAACGAAAAAACTAGTTTGTAAGCAGCTCCGGACAGAGTTTAAAATGGAACGACGCGGTTTAATTCGTGTGGTCAATTATATATGTTTAATTGGTATATAACACCAAAATAATATAAAAGTTGGATAAAAATCTGAACATTTATAATTTTAATTGTAAATAAAAGTTAATACCATTTGTCTTCCGCTTTAAACATAATACTATTATAATTATATGTAACCGGTTCTTGTTCGTGCATTATTTTAAAACTATTTATTTACCTCACACATAATTATAATGTATATATAATATCCGGTTACATATAATTATAATGTATACAAATCGTGTGAGTTTAGAAGCATTATAATATTATTAATATGTTATTTTATTAGTTGTGGTATTATTTGATTAAATTTAAAAGTTTCTTACCACTGTTTGTGTGTGAATTTGAAATACAAAGCTTTTAAGACTTTCAAGGGTCGGTGCAAATCTGATGTATAACGTGCCCAGCGTCTTACGGAAGTATGAATATACGCGACAGATCTTTTGCCAAGTGTGCAAGGTTTTTTGAGCTGTGTTACAATACTAAAACATAGATTTGCAACATGAATAGAAAAAAGGGTGAATTGAGTTGGCAGTTTAGTCCATCTAATAAAAAATCTGAGTTTAGTTACTTGCTAGTTCCGTTTGACGATCGAAAAATACGCAACGCATCTTGTCAGATATGTATCGACCCTTACGTGACGTGTCTTTTCGAAAGGAATGTTAGAAGTAAAGTGGTATTTCTTTTTTCTTTTCAGTTATCTAAATAAGTTAGCAGAGTTCTTGAAATTATTTGTATCGTTACATTTCAAACGGTTAGAAGCAGAACCTGAGTTTAATGCTATTGAGTTTTTATCATATTTATTCCAATATACATTCCAGGTGTGTATGAAGATTGATTTGGTTCAAAATTTAATAACATATTATACAGTAGAAATTAAGTTTTATTGTAAAAATGAAATTACCCCAAGCAAATATTGGAACCTTAAACAAATTAATATCACAATCAAACTAGACTTTCATATTAATTTAAAATACTTTTTGGACAATATTTTAACTTTTACAGCTTTGAAAGTAATTTAATTAATAATTCAAATCATAATTTTATTCTTTTATCTTATCACTAAGATTATAAAAACTATTTATTTCGTTACAGGTGCCCACATGTGCTATTTTCGTAAATTGTTTAGATATATGGATACAGTTCATTGATATATTAAAGCCAGAAGATACTGCTAAGTAAGTTGTAACTCTTATAGATATAAATCTCGTTTTTATTATTTTCTAGGGTACTTCATTATTTGAAATTTTAACTAAAGAAACCGTAAAACAAGCATCCCAGAGATTTTTCTTGAATTAAAATTTAAACTATTTTTAAACCCACGAAAACGCTGTCCGATATTCATGACATATTCATGACGTCATTCCGATATGTACACAAAATAAATACATAGAGTAGTAGATCAAAATATGTTAATAAAACAAGAACAGTGCCATCTAGCAATCGACTACAAATAACAACACAAATAATGAGCAGAGCGTCATCTAGGATTTTATATGTTTACAACTAATCAGACAAATGTTGTCGTAGCGATGTCACAAAATGGCGAGTAGTGTTTCAAGTCATGTGACATACAAAAAAAATCTTGACTTTAAATTTTAAGATGAGATTTCATGACTCAAAATCAGAATGTGTATTAAAATTTTAATTTTAGTTTTTGTGTTATTTCGTGATTTATTTTTCACTAACGAAACTACCCTATCGGTGCATGCATGTTAGGTTGTATAAGTTGTCCTTCCCTGCTTGAATTTAAACTTTGATGCTTTGAGGGTAGAGTTAAAAATCTACTACGGTTATGTATTTGGGATATTGTAAGATGAGGTGCAATCATATTCCACTATATATTAATAAAAATAATTTAATTTCTAGATATTGGGAGGCTTTACAGGCACTCGTTGACAGAGTATTGAATAAGATACAGTTTCAACATAACAAGGCCCAACTTCAACATCTTGATAATGACGTATGCGATGATGATGTAAGTAAAATGCTAGCACTAGCTTTTTAATAAATAATTTATTATATCTACAAAAGTCCGAAAACCGATCAGAATTTATATGGTGTTTCATTTTTCTATATTAAGTGTAACATATCGTAGTTCATCATTAATGAACTAAATTGTATTGTTGTTGTACTAATTGTATGGTGATGTATTTCATGGAACATAAAGTAAGAAAAAAAATTTCTCAAAGAAAATTAAATTTCACAGGGTGAGACTGAATGGCAAACATTTTTGAAACACTGCATTGAATGCATAGCTCGAGTTGCTGATTTAGCAC